AATGAGAAAATGTGCCCATTAGACGGAGCAGCCAAGCAAAACCTCAAATTTCTTATAGGGTTACGCAATGAAATTGAACATCATATGCCTGCTGGATCAGAAGATTACTTTTCTTCTAGATACTTAGCCTGTTGCCTCAACTATGAGCGTTATTTGTGTGAACTATTCGGTGACAAGTACTCTCTGGGATCTATGGCTGCATTTACGCTCCAATTCCGTGACTTCACGAATGCAGGTAAGGTAACTCTCCTAGAAGTAAGGACTCCATTACCTTCCAATGTGGCCAAGTATGTTCAGGAGTTCGATGCAGAACTATCAGAAGAAGAATACAGTTCCCCTAGCTTCAGGTGCCGCTTCCTATTTGCTCCGTTAATTACCAGTAAGAAAGCGCAGGCTGACGAAGTCATCCAGTTCATACCGTACGATTCAGAACTCGGCAAAGAGATCGTGGGCGAGTATCAACGAGTTCTTCTAAAGGAAACTGAGCGACCTAAACATTTACCTGGAGAGATCGTAGATTTGATGAATTTGGAGGGTTTCGAAAAGTTCAGAATGCACCACCACACAGGGTTATGGAAAGGACTTGATGGGAAGAATCCTGGTAAGGGTTACGGCACCAAAGTGTCCGGTGCGTGGTATTGGTATGACCGATGGGTGTATGAAGTGCGGGAACACTGCATCGCCAACAAAGAGATGTATACAGATCATCCCGAGAAAGTAACGCAGATGTGACAGACCCAGCGTAGTTCAATTAGTTCACCTCGGCTCCACAATCCTGTCCATCATCGTAAGCCTCTCCGCCTGCAATCCTTGCCCATCCTAAGCCCCCACCCTCGCCATCTGCGCCGCCACCATCCGCCGCGTGAACTCCGCCAGCGCCCTCAGCGCCGTCTCCAGCGCACCCTCCCAGTCCGCCCCCAGCGCATCCATCGGCAGCCGCACCTGCGTATTCCCAATCTCCGCTTGCCGCCCCAGCACCCGCTCCATCGCGCGCCGCGCCCCTCCAATATCCCCGCCATACCGCAGCACCACCCGGTTCCGCTCCCGCGTCACAGACTCGATCCCCGCCTCCCTCGCATACAGCCGTAGCCGCGTAACATATAAGAGATTCACCGCCTGCCATGGCAGCGGCCCGAACCTATCCCGCATCTCATCCTCAATCTCGCTCACCCCCGCCTTGATAGCATCCTCCCCTTCCTCTTGGACAATACCTGTTCCCGGTGAGCCTGCCGAATCTCCGCGTCCATTCTCCTCACCTCTTGACGAAGCCCCGGACACAGAAATCCCCAGCGTAACAATCCGCTGGTACATCCGCAGTCGCGCCGGCAAATCCTCGATATACTCCTCCGGTATGCTCGCCGGTATCCCGATATCCAGCGTCGGCTCAACCCGCTCCGCCTCCCTTGTCGCGCTCCCATCAACCGCCCTGCCCCTGCCATTAGGAAGCTCAGAAGCAGTCCCATTCGCCATCGCCCCCTGACCGCTGACCGCTGACTGCTGACCGCTGACACCCGCTCCCTCCCCGCGCGCCCGCAGCTCCTCCACCGCATTCGACAGCAGCCGCGTGTACAGGTCGAACCCCACCGCATGGATATTCCCGCTCTGCTCCGCGCCCAGGATATTCCCCGCCCCGCGTATCTCCAGGTCCTTCATCGCAATCCGGAACCCCGCCCCAAGCTCACTCGCATCCAGCATCGCCCGCAGCCGCTTCTCCGCAGGCTCAGTCAGGCTCCCCGACGGCGGCACCATCAGGTAGCAGTACGCCCGCCGCGCGCTCCGGCCCACGCGCCCCCGCAAAGCTGGTACAGCTGCGACAGCCCCAGCGTATCCGCCCGGTTGATGATCAGCGTGTTCACATTCGGAATATCCAGCCCCGACTCGATGATAGTCGTGCACACCAGCACATCCAGCTTCCCCTCCGCGAACTCCACCATCACATCCTCAAGCTCGCCCTCGTTCATCTGCCCGTGCCCCACGCCCACGCGCGCCTCAGGCACCAGCCGGCTCAGATGCCGCGCCATGTAATCAATGTTATAGACCCTGTTATGCAGGAAATACACCTGCCCCTGCCGGTCGATCTCCCTTAGTATCGCCTCCCGTATCAGCGCGTCGCTCATCTCCGACACATAAGTCTTGATGGGCAGCCGCTCCTCCGGCGGCGTCTCCATCGTGCTCATATCCCGCACGCCCGCCAGCGCCATGTGCAGGCTGCGCGGAATCGGCGTCGCCGTCAGCGTCAGCACATCCACCTCTGACCGCATACGCTTCAGACGCTCCTTGTGCGCCACCCCGAACCGCTGCTCCTCGTCCACGATGACCAGCCCAAGCTCCTTGAACCGCACATCCCTCTGTATCAGCCGGTGCGTCCCGATGCAGATATCCACCTGCCCGTCCGCAAGCCGGTCCACCACGCTGCGCTGCTCCTGCGGCGTCCGAAATCGGCTCAGCACCTCCACCCGCGTGGGAAACGCGCTCAATCGCTGCGAGAATGTCGCATAATGCTGCTGCGCCAGAACCGTCGTCGGCACCAGCACCGCCACCTGCTTTCCGTCCATCACCGCCTTGAACGCCGCCCGCAGCGCAATCTCCGTCTTCCCGTACCCCACATCGCCGCACACCAGCCGGTCCATCGGCTTCGGCGACTCCATATCAGCCTTCACTTCCTCGATAGTCCTGCGCTGGTCCGGCGTCTCCTCGAACGGGAACGACTCCTCCAGTTCCGACTGCCACTGCGCGTCCGGCACAAACGAATGCCCCTCCGCAAGCTCACGCGCCGCATACAGCGCCAGCAGTTCCGACGCCATCTCCATAGTCGAGCGTTCAGCCCGCGCTTTCGCCCGCCGCCACTCCTGCGTCCCTAATCGCGTCAGGCTCGGCGGCCTGTCCATCGGCGCGATGTACGGCGCAACCCTGTCAAGATGCTCCAGCGGCACATACAGCTTGTCGTCATTCGCATACTCGATCGCAAGATACTCGCGGTCGTCTCGCCATATCACGGGAGACAGCACGGGAGCCGGCGTCAGCTTCACGCCCCGCACCGTCCCCGAGAACCTGCCGATGCCATGCTCCACATGCACCACATAGTCCCCCGGCGACAATTCCGACAGAAAGCGTCCCGCGCAGCCCGCACCGACCGCCGCCGCGTCCGCCGCTGCTTCGCCACCCCGAATATCTCCACATCGCTGAACACCACCAGCCGCCCGTCCCGGTCTCCACTCCGGCCTCTCCCATTAAACCGGCAGCGAGAACCCGTCGCTCAGTCCGCCCGCCGCCGACTGCATCAGCGTTATGCTCCCCGCAGCCGGAACATCATCCAGCCCGTCAGCCAGCGCAACATCAACACCCTCGCCCCCGAAAATCTCCGCCAGTCGCCGCGAGTGGCTGCTCACCGCAACCACCATCGCCCGGTCCTCTTCCGCCAGCTCCCACACATCCTCCACAAACCGCTCCAGATTGCCGTAATAATTCCCGGTAGCAAGAAACGGCAGCGCCACATCAACCCCTTCACTATGTCCCCTCTCCCCCTGGGAGGGCGTGACGGTGAGGGCGTCCTCATCCTCCCACGGCGACACCAACGGCGTATCCACCTGCACATCCACCCTCTGCGAAAACCCCTCGAACTGCGCCTCCACCTCTTTCCAGGACAGGTGCGATGAAGGAAAATTGCGCGGCAGCTCCCCACGCCCTTCCTTCGTCTCGCGCAGTTGATGCCCACGCTCCTGAATCTCCCACGCCGCATCCGCTATCTCGTCCGGCTTGTACGCCACCAGCACCGCGCCACTGTTCACGAAATAATCCGCAAGCCCGCCCGAATTGAAGAACCCCGCATAAAACCCCTGCTCCTCCACATCCTGCCCCTCCATCAGCAGCTCAAGCTCCTCGCCGATGCGTGATTGCACCCTCGGCGTGCAGTTGCCCACATCCACAAACGCGGCCAGCCGCTCCAGCTCCCCGTAAGGCGTCATCGCCGGCAGAATCTCGTGCGCGGGCGTAACCTGCACCGAGTCCACCACATCCCCCGACCGCTGCGTAGCAGGATCGAACAGCCGTATGCTGTCAATCTCATTGCCCCAGAACTCGATCCGTGCAGGCAGATCCGCCCCCACCGGGAATATGTCGATGATCCCCCCGCGCCTGCTCACCACACCCGGCCCGTACACCGCCGACTCGAATCGGTATCCAAGCCTACGCCACATATCCAGCATCTCCCCAAGCTCCACCTGCTCCCCCCGCCGCAGCGTATAACTACCCTCCGCCATCACATTCCGCCCAAGTGTTCGCTGCATCAGCGCCCCCACCGACGCCACCACCATCACCGCTCCAGTCTGCCCCCTCTCCCCCTGGGAGAGGGCTGGGGTGAGGGAAAGATTGTCCTTCCCATCCTGTACATCGATGTCAGACACGGTGCTTGCCACCGCCGCCAGCACCCGCAGCCTCTGATGCACAGTCTCCACATCCGAATCCAGCCGCTCAAAGGGTAGAATCTCCGACTCCGGGAAATGCAGCAGCCCTTCATCGTCTCCACACCACGCCAGAAGCTGCTCATGCAACCTCCGCGCATCCTCAGGACGCGGCGCAACCACCAGCGTCGGCGCATCCACATCCCGCCGCAGAGTAGCAAGCGTGAACGCCGCAGCCTTCGCAGGCACCTCCGCCGTCAGCCGCCGCGCGCCGCCGCGCACACCATCCCGAAGCCTGCAATACTCTGGCACCCCGTCCATCATCCTACGCAATATCCCAAGCGTCATAAAATCCCTTCCCTTTTCATCAATCTCGGCTCCCGTTCAACGCACACAGAGGCCTCCCCAACATCCAATAAGTCGGGCAAGCCTCCCTATATTGTATCATCCCCTGCCACCCAAACCCCTAGCAGGATTTTAATAAATAGTTTAATAAAACGCTAAAACTATGTTCAAAAATCACCTAGACACTGATATAATTAGACCTGCCCGATTAAGCCATCATGTTGCAGTCATATCGGCCATTACTCTAATTTCTGGAGGGAAGTTTGATGGAAGCCTATTGTCTCAAGTGTCGCGCATCCCGCGAAGTCAAGAACCCCGAAGAAGTAACCCTCAAGAATGGTCGCCCCGCAACGCGAGGCAATTGCACCGTCTGCGATGCCTCCGTCTTCCGCATCGGCAAGTCCTCCGCATAACCCCCAATATAGCCTTACATACTTGCAGAGATAAGCAGAGTTCGCTGCGAGATTGCCGCGAACTCTGACATCCCCCTCTGATGCACTCAGAGTCACTCAATCCGGTGATTCCGCCCTGAATTGCGCCCACCCCACCCTCGGTCCTTCCTGTTCACCCCCTGCAATTCCTCCCCACTTCTCCCCCGGAGTCTCCTCATTATCGCGTTCCCCAGCCATGTCACTCCGAACGCAGCACACTCCCATCCTGTGATTCGGAACGCTCCTATTCCGTCATCCCAAACGCCCCTTCCTTGTCATTCCGAACACAGTGAGGAATCTCAAAGCACTGACTACGACCAGCCTTGTTTTCACACAGCGAACTTAGACCCTCCGACCCTCCACCTCGTTCAGGGTCACAATCAAAAAACCCTGAATTCTCCCCCTTGACACGTGTTGATATGAGCCATATTGTCCCTTCTCCCTCGATGGGGGAAGGTTAGGTAGGATGGGGGTGAGGTCGAAATCAAGCACAATATTGAATACAACACCAACACCTTTTGGCAACACCGACAACTTTACCTCTTGACAACACAAACATCCGTACTTATCATGGGGCAATCAATAAGTACACCAGTTCGCTCTAATCAGAGTCCCCTCTCCCTCAGGGAGAGGGTTAGGGTTAGGACATCAAAAGACACAGCCCGACTGGCTAACTGAAAGACAGACCAACACTCATGTGCATCCCAAACTCAATACAACACAAAATCCACAAGCGCACAGGCAACGGCGACATGATCGCCATCTTCCTCGTGGACACCATGCAGGGACAGCACACAGACGCCAAGTTCAACTCACCGCCTCGAAGCCGCAAAGCACCTAATCAGATACGGCTTCCCCGACGCCGAATGCGACACCATATCGGCCCGTCTTTCCCGCGCAGGCGGGAATCCAGTGGGGCAGGGCGAGGACGAAACCCCCGTTCAAAGTCCCCTCTCCCCAGGGGAGAGGGTTAGGGTGAGGGGAACAGAAAACACTCCTTCCTCCTTGATGACGGAAGGCAGGGATGGGGATGAAGTCTCCCCTCCATCGTCAGCCCCCGTAACCCACCTCGACATCCTCAACTACCAGATAGCCCACCTCATCCGCCACGAGACCGCCGAAGGCCACACCGTCGTCAACTTCCTCATCGACATCATGACCGGCAGGGACCGACCCTTCACTCCCAAGAAGTTCCGCATCAAGCCCGCAGACCGCATGGCAGCAGCAAGAGAACTCCTGCGCCGCGGCTTCGGAGACCTCGGCTCACGCCGCAAGCTCTCAGACAGCACCGACGAAGCAAACGCCTACGACACCCTGCACACAGACCTAGCCAGGCGAATGCGCGAGTACAGCGAGCGCGGCACAGACACCGTCCGCTTCCTGCTCGAAGTAATGTCTGACCCCGACCCTGACCTAGAGTTCACCATCCATCACCGTATGTCAGCAGCACAGGAGCTCCTGCGCCGAGGCTGGGACACCAACTACGACAACATCAAGCCTAAGCACCTCACGGACTACTGGCAAGACAAGGAATCCCCGCGTCTATCCATAGGCCAGAAAAAGACCCAGGCCCGCCTCTCAACCACCATCGACGACTACGACAACTACGACGACACCGACTACGAAGCCATAGCCAAAGAGATCAGAGAAGAAGAAGACCGAGACGACAACTCAAAGCCTCTTCGTTTCCAAGAGACCGTCGCATCTTCTCGCCATTCCTCCGAAAGCAGGAATCCAGAAGACCGCCCAGCCGCCAGTCCTGCCACAAAGCTCCCTCTCCTCGGGAGAGGGCTGGGGTGAGGGTACTGACAATTCCCTTCCCCCTCGACGGGGGAAGGCTAGGATGGGGGTGAAGAGTCCCGCACAAAGCCCGCTCCCGAACAAGGCGCCACCGTCAGTGAACAAGGCAAAGCCATCATCAAGAGTTCCAGGAAGCGATGGCAAGCGGCGACCACCGGGCCGCCCTCCGCGCCAAGGCAAAGTTCATCGGCAGGAAAGTCGCCGGAGACCTCCAACCATACGTCGCCCCGACCCGAACTTACAGCCCCACAACCGACCATTCGACAGAGGAACAGGCAAAGTTCGACGAAGAACGCCGCCACCGATTGCACACAACAGGCTCCCGACAAAACACTGAGCTGCAGATAGCCGGCGCAGCCCCCAACGGCACGTCCGTCATCTGCGCCCCACCCGCCGAAAAGCTCCGCGCCCCCACCATCCCGCAGCCCTAAAACTGGAATCCCGTCTCCTGCGAGAAGCTAGGGTGAGGGACAAGAGCCCTTCCCCCTCGCCGGGGAAGGTTAGATGGGGTGTGATAAATCCCTTCCATCCTGTCATTCCGAACGCAGCGCAACCTTCGTCATTCTGAGGAGCGCAGCGGAGTGAAGAATCTTGTGTGATGGGAAAGTGATACAGTGCGGGAGTTGAGGGGTGCGGCAGGCCGTAAGAATCTTGGTCCAGAGAGACCGTGTTTTAGCAATCGCCGCCGCACCCGAGCTCATCAAAGCCCGAACAGTTGCCAGGGTCAACCAAATCCGCACCTGCAAGATAGGGACACTATGAGCACAGACATCGTAATCGGAATCGACATTAGCGGCAAGTCTCTCGACATTCACATTCTGCCCGAAGACCGAGCGCAGCGGTTCGCAAACGACGCTTCGGGCATAGGTGAATTGGTGGAGCTTGCGAAGGAGATGGAAGCGAGCCTGATAGTGATGGAAGCAACAGGCGGTCTTGAATCTGCGCTTGCCGCAGAGTGCGCGCTTTCGGGGATACCCACTGCGGTGATGAACCCCAGGCAGATAAGGGACTTCGCGCGCTCATTGGGCAGGCTCGCCAAGACGGATGCGATAGACGCCGAAGTGATAGCGCGCTTCGGCTCTGCACTGAGACCTGAGCCGCGCACGTTGCCGGACGCTCAGGAACAGCATCTTAGAGCGCTTATGACCCGCAGGCGGCAGCTCATAGACATAAGAACCGCAGAATCCAACCGTCTTGCGCGAGCCGCAGCCGCCGTGCGTCAGCGCATCCGAAAGCACATAGACTTCCTCAATCAGGAGATAGAGGACATAGACCGAGAGATAGAGAAGCTCATCAAGGAAAGTCCGCTCTGGCTGGAGAAAGCGCGGCTACTCAGGGAAGTTCCCGGCATAGGATCTGTCTCCTGCTTCACACTTCTGGGTGCGCTGCCTGAGCTGGGCAAGCTCAAAGGGAAAGCAGATAGCCGCGCTGGTGGGAGTGGCTCCGCTCAACAGGGACAGTGGAGCATACAGGGGAAGGCGAAGCACTTGGGGAGGGCGAGCGCAAGTGAGGAGTGCGTTGTATATGGCGGCGATGAGCGCAAGAAGGCATAACCCCGTGATAAGAGACTTCTACGAGCGGCTGAGGGCAGCCGGAAAGAGCGGCAAGGTTGCGCTGGTGGCCTGTATGCGAAAGTTGCTGATCATACTCAACGCAATGCTGAGGGATCGCGCATCCTGGGATGCCCAGCGCTCCATAAGACCCCAATACCCATTGATAATCCAAACCTAGTTCAACACAGTTGCTAAATATATGACGGCCGACGCACGAAGGGTTGCGCAGGCGAAAACCCTGACCTATCCCGCTAAGCCGCGGCAACAAACCGACCACCGACATACGACATGACCGAACAAAAACCACACCTCCCACTACACATTCCGCGCTCCCCGTGTTAGCCTTGTGCCGCGTGAACACCACGCGCACAAACTCACACGGAGGACGCTCGATATGGACTTGGGAATACAAGGCAAAGTGGCGCTCGTAACCGGCGGTAGCCGCGGACTAGGCAAAGTCGCCGCGCTCTCACTCGCCCGCGAAGGCGTGAATGTCGCCATCTGCGGTCGCACTCAATCAACCCTCGACGGCACCGTCGCCGAGCTTGAAGCGCTCGGAGTCAGCGCCCAGGGCGTAGTCGCCGATGTCACCGACGTCGACGCCATGCCCCCCTCGCCCAGGCGGTCGTTGACGGACTCGGCCCCATCGACATCCTCGTCAACAACGCCGGCGGCTCCCGCGCCCGCCAGGACATCGCCGACCTCCCCCTCGAAGACTTCAAGGCAGCCTTCGACCTCAACCTCTTCGGCAGCTTTCAGCTCATGCGCGCAGTCATCCCCCACATGCGCCAGCAGCAGTGGGGCCGCATCATCAACATCGCCTCCATCTACGGCAGGGAATACGGCGGCAACCTCTCCTACATGGCAGCAAAGTCCGCCCTCATCAGCGCCACCAAGCACGCCGCCATCAGCCTCGTACCGACGGCGTCCTCGTCAACAGCATCGCCCCCGGCTCCATCTCCCACCCCGAAGGCTCATGGGAGACGCTTCCAGAGCGACAACCCCCCGGAAGTCGTCGCAGACTTCATCTCCCGCAACCTCCCCCTCGGCAGGTTCGGCTGGCCCGAGCCCGTCGGCGACCTCGTCGCCTTCCTCGCCTCCGAGCGCGCCGACCTCATCACCGGCTCCTGCATCGTCGTTGACGGCGGCCAAAGCTACTCCATGATATAAGCCCCAAGAAGCCCAAAAACAGACAGGGGCAACCTCTACGGTTGCCCCTCACGAATACTTGGCAAGCTGCCCCGCCGACTACTACATGAGCTGGCGCAGCCGCGGGTCGAACCGGTCTCTCGCCCAGTCGCCCAGGAAGTTCAGCGACATAACGACCATGAAGATGCCGACGCCTGGGAATACCGTCTGCCACCAAGCTGTGGATACATACTGTCGCCCTTCGGAAATCAGCACGCCCCAGGCAGGCGTGGGCGGCGGAATGCCCGCCCCCAGGAAGCTGAGCGTCGCCTCCGCCAGAATCAGGTTGCCCACATTCAGCGTCGCCACCACTATGGCAGAGTTAATCACGCCGGGCAGAACATGCCTGAGAATGATTCGCGTGGGTGACGCCCCCGCTATCTTCGCCAGCGAAACAAAGTCCATCTCCTTGAGCTGCAAGGTCTGCGCGCGCACAATCCTCACAAAGCCCCACCCACGAGAGCACGGCGAGCAGCACGAACACGACGCCAGACTCTGCCCGAATATCAGCACTGCGAGAAGAGCAACCATAAGGAACGGCAGCGCAAGCCATATATCCACGATGCGGGTAACGATTTCGTCGAATATGCCGCCGATGTAGCCGCTTATCATACCCACGCTCGTGCCCACTAACAGCCCGACGACCAGGGAAATGGTGGCGACTATCAGCGATATGCGGGAGCCAACGATGATGCGGCTAAGCACATCGCGCCCAACATGGTCGGTGCCCAATGGATTCGTCCAGCTTCCGGCCTTGCACTTTGCGCCCAGGCAGAGCTCGAATCCGACCGGCGGTATATGCCTGCTGCGGGCGTCGGAAAGCACCGCATCGTGAGGCGCGATCTGCGGGCCGAATATACCCAATATAATCAGCACCACGATCACGGCAGCGGGTATCACCGGCCAGCGCCTGATGAAGCCCCAGACTGCGGCAAATTGCCTTATGACAGGCGGATGAGCCGTCGTCCCAACTAATTCCATTGTGTTCCTTGCACCTGCCTAAGAGTACCTAATGCGCGGGTCTATCATCGCATAGAGAATATCCGCTATCACCGCGAAGAAGAGGTAGAAGAGTATGAACACGAACACCGTCCCCTGCAACAAGGGGAAGTCGTTGTCATAGACTGCTTTGTTCAACGCTATCCAGCCTATGCCGGGCCACGAGAATACCGTCTCCACCACCAGCGCACCGTTCAAGTAGCCTGCCATCAACAGCAGGGCCGAGGTCAGCGGCGGTATCAGCGCGTTCTTCAGGGCATGCTTCCAGATGACCTGAAACCTGCCAAGCCCCTTTGCGCGCGCAAGCTTTACGAACTCCGAATCCAACACCTCGAGCATCGCCGATCGGGTGAGCCGCATGATCCCGGCGGCGGCGGGCCATCCAAGCACGATGGAGGGCAGTATGTAGTATTTGACGTTAAACCCCGAATCATCGCCACGTGTGCCGGCAGGAAGCCACTGGAGCAGAACGGCGAATAAGAAAATCGCCATAATGCCTGTCCAGAACTGCGGCAGCGCCTGCCCGAATAGCGCAAACCCCCGGCTGAGATAGTCCCATAAAGTTCCCCTGCTGGTGGCAGCTGCGACCCCCAGTGGCACGCCTACCAGGATAGCGAAAACCCATCCTCCGACGGCCAACTGGATGGTAGCGCCCATCTTGCTGAAATATGATGTCGCGCACTTCCAATTCCTGGTGAATGGATGTGCCGAAGTCTCCGCGCAGCAACTTGCCCACCCAAAGCAGGTATTGGACGGGAATAGGCTTGTTGAAGCCCATTTTGTCCCCCAGCGCCTCCCACTGCTCTTCCGACATTCCGTATCCGGTATCTGGGACGAAGAGTTCGCGAGGGTCGTGCGCCAATCGAGTCATGCTGAATATGACGATTGTCGCCCCAAAGAGCGAGATGACTATGAATAAAGCGCGTCGTACCAGAAATCGCTGCACTGACTTGTCTTCCTCAATATGTCATTAATATGCTGTTGACCGTATCTTACGCGTGAGTTCTTTTGTGAATGATTGGAAGAAGAGCCTGCGCTGAAAAATCATGCAGGCCCTTCCTTACTAACTTGTTAAGCGTCGTCCTAGCGTCAGTCGTCTGCTAGAGACGTTATTGCGCTGGCACAATGAACCAAGGTTCCGCTCCGCTCCAATGTGCTTGAGTAGATCGACCGACCCACTCAGAAACCTTTTCAGGATTGACCGCATATCCCTTGGGAACTTCCACAACGCCGGAGTACAAGTGCCAATAAATCGTCCAATCGACCACATCCATATGTTGTTCGATGGCTGACGCCCTGTCCGGTTCCAGTTTCGTCATATTGTGCATGTCCGCCAGGAAGCGGGACTCGAAGCCCGCCCCCCAACCGGGACGCGACAGGCTGGAGTCAACCAAAGGCAGGGGCCAGTGGGCAGGCCAGGTTGCGTCGTCAACAGCACCGTTCTTCAAAGTCGGCCAAATCTGTGTGCGCTCCCTGAATCTTGCCGAAACCACCGAGCCGTAGTCTTCGTTGAGGATTGTTGTTTTCACACCTATGGCTTCCCACAGCCCGGCGGTAAGGTCGCCAATGTCAAATGAAACATCGCCAATCTCGGCGCGGTAGATGTTCGTGGAAATCTCGAACCGCACGCCGTTCGGACCCCGCGGATAGCCTGCTATGTCCAGAATCTCTTCCGCGAAAGACGGCTGGAAGGGAATATCCCATGGCCAGGGGAAGTTCGCCATCGGAGACGCAACATTGTAGCTTGGGTACATTTCGCTGTCACCGAAGCCGTATTTCGCCATAATCGCGTCAGATGCAGTGTTTGTTATTTTCCTACCGGGATCCCATCCGCCAAAGTTCGGGCCCATGTATTCGGACGGCATGCCGGCGCCATATCCGTTGAGGATGCCGTCCACGATGCCTTCGCGGTCAAGTGCATAGGACAGCGCCCAGCGCACTAGACGCGCCTGCTCCATGTCGCTCATGCCGGGTGGATTGTCGGTGTCTTCGTACTGGCAGGGCTTGCCCATTTCGCACCATGGGTTGCCTATCCACGGGTAATCCACAATATTGGACGAGCGTCCCAAGGCGCAGGGTCGAAGAGCTTCGCCTGTACGAGCATGCGTCTGCTCCCAGAGATTGCCCGACCACATGTATGAAGCTGTTATCCACTTGGGCTGCGGAACCATGTACCTGAAGCCCTCGGCTTCTATCTGGTCTGCGAACACCGGGTCAAGTTCAGCTATGTCCGCCTGCTTCGACTGTATCATAGCGATGCGGCTTGCCGTTTCGGGCACATGAATCCTTGTGAAACTTGCAATGTGCGCCGGGTGCTTGTGGTGTTCAGGCAGAGCCTGAAGATTAGCTCGATTCTGCGGCACCCATTCCTCAATGATAAAAGGTCCGGTGCTCACCAGATTCTGCTTCATCCACTCCTTACCCATCGTGTCATACGCATTCTTGCTATAGACGCCCGGCCCCTTGCCATACTCGCTGATGGAATCTTCCAAGTTGAAGGCGCCGATCACCACGCCCTCTGCTGCGTCCATCCTGAAAGTGTATTCATCTATGACGGTTGCCAGACCAAATGAGGCAGCCAAGTCGCCACCGATACGGAATGTGGAGTTCACATTGAAGGTGGGGTTTGCGTCATTCAGGAACCATACCCAGTCATTGGCGGTCATCTCTCCGAAATCCTGGGAAACTCCTACCGGGGAATTGAAAGGCACGCCCTCTTTGAGCTTGAAGGTAACTCCCTTCAGATCCGGGTCAACCTGGAATGACTCAGCTGTCTGAGGAGCCATCAAGTTGTCACCCTCTCTGACGAAGAGCGTTTCGGCAAGTCCCAAGCTGACGTTCACCCATTGGGGATTGTACGCAGCTTCGTTAGGGAATCCCGCCAGCGCATCAACCTGGCTGGCGGCCATGTTGATATGCGCGGTCTGTCCCATCGATCTGCCCGGCGCGGCTTTCGTAACGGGAGCCTGCGGAGGAGCGACTATTGGCGCTGCTGTAGCCACCATCACCGCTGCGGGCGCTGCTGCGGGCGCTGCTGCTGCCGGAGCCCGCGGCGCTTGAGGCGCTGCTGCCGCCTGAGCCGGGGCTTGCGCCTGAGGTGCAGGTGCTGCCTGCTGCTGCGCTTGAGGCGCAACCGGCGCCGGTGCAGAGCTACAGGCAAGAGCAAATAAACTAATCGATATTAGAGATAACCATATAAGATGTTTCACGTCTCACCTCCACGGTTCGGACACTAGGCAAAATGCCAACGGTGCTCTTCTATACTCGATATTGCCTCAATCAGCGCGCTAAATGTACTTTATTTTCGTTGAAAATGTCAACTGGATGCCCAGCGAATTGGAAACATTTCTTCCGTGCATCCTGCGCGAATGGTAAGTGCGAATTGGCAATCTGATTGCGCTATAATGACATGCACGCTAATCTGTTTATACGAGGCACATCGCTCGTAATTTCCTTAATCCAGTGATTCCATACTTTTCATAAATCTATGAAGAACGAGGCTGCTCAAAGAACTGCGCCGTCCGTCCGTCCTGCTTCTGGAATACCGCTTTTCGGCGCACTAGCTCTAAGACTCAAGAGTGCTGCCGGCACATTTGCGGGTGTTCAGTTGCTGTTGTGGGAGACAGTCGCATACAGCACACTGCTGGTAATCGCGGCTGCGATGCGCCTGTGGGACCTCGGCCAGCGGGCGGTACACCACGACGAAAGCCTTCACTCATTCTACTCTTGGCAACTTGCGGAAGGTCAGGGCTTCAGACACGATCCGCTGATGCACGGGCCACTTCAGTTCGAAGCAAACGCCGCCATATTCTTTATATTCGGTGACAGCGATTACACTTCCCGCCTGCTTTATGCCATAGCCGGTACTACGCTTGTGGCTCTGCCGATGTTCTTTCGCAGCAGACTCGGTAGGCTTGGCGCGCTCTTCACTTCTGTCATGCTCGCCTTTTCGCCTGCGCTATTGTACTTCAGCCGCTTCGCGCGCAATGACATTCTGATGGCTGTATGGGTATTGGGTCTTGTCATCTGCATGTGGCGCTACATAGACGAAGGCAAACACCGCTATGTCTATATCGCAGCCGCGCTTCTTGCGCTTGCATTCGCAAGTAAGGAAACCTCTTATCTCATCACCGCATTGCTCGGCCTCTTTCTCACGATGTGGGTACTATATCGGAATGTCCCACGCGTCTTGGCAAAAGCAGACATCCGCATCGCCGAAACCACGACTGTCGCTGCCATTGGCCGCTTAATATCGGCGTTTTGGAATCAGGGCAAGAGCTTGTCGTCGTTGCGGGGACCTGTTGCGTTTCTGCTGATCCTTATGACGCTGACCCTGCCAATGTGGTCGGCGGCTATCGGCATATTCCAGGACACGGCGCTACTAAGCTGGTCTAACCTGACATTTGTTGCTCACGATGGCAATGGAGCGGTTGGATCGCCGACAGGCGGAGCTATTCTTATTGCTTCGCTGATAATGGTTACCCTCATGGGCGTGTCGGTTGCTGTCGGTTTCCTATGGGACCAGAAGGTATGGCTGATTGCCGCCGGCATTTTCTATGCTATCTGGGTGCTTTCGTACTCCACATTCTTCACGAACTTAGGAGGAATCGAGTCAGGAATGTGGCGCGGTCTGGGCTATTGGATAGCGCAGCAGGATGTAGCCCGGGGCAACCAGCCATGGTACTACTACTTTGTCATTACACCGCTCTATGAGTTTCTGCCATTGGCGCTGGCTATCGTCGCCGCGGTGTACTACTGGATTAGAAGACAGGCGGACGCGTTCACGCTATTCCTTCTGTACTGGTGTGGTATGACGCTGCTGCTGTTCACGATAGCGAGCGAGAAGATGCCCTGGCTGCTCGTGAACATCACCTTGCCGCTTATCGTCCTTGCCGGCAAATTTCTGGGTGATGTGGCATCAGGCATTGATTGGCGCAAAATGCTATCCTTGCAGGGCTTGTCTATTGTCGCTGGCGTTCCCTGTACTCATAGCTGCGATTTACGCGCTTGCGCTTGCGGGCACCGGTGACGATGAGAACGGGGTTGCAGTCGGAATTGTTGCAGCGCTGGCGATTGTGACTCTCGTCGGCGGAGGTCTATATCTTGGCACGCCGCGAGGGGATCGCGCAAATAGCAAAGATCGCCGCGATTCCAACCGTGCTAGTGCTGCTTTTGCTGACCGTGCGCGCATCCGGCATGGCCGCGTACAGTCATGGAGATGTGCCCGTAGAGATGCTGGTTTACACGCAGACTTCGCCGGACATACGGCTGCTTGCCGAAGAGTTCCGAAGGGCTGACGGCTATGCGGGCGAAGACAACGGCATCTCCGTGGATGTTGATGATACTAGCGGGTTCACATGGCCCTGGGCATGGTATCTGCGTGACAGCAGCCGTTACCATGCCAGTTATAGGAGCATTGAGGGCGAAGTCTTTGCAGATAAGTCGCCGACTGCCGAGGTGTTGCTCGTGCATTCAAGCAACCAGGAAGCGGTTGAACCGTCGCTGCAAGGGCTGTACACAGACGGCCAAAGGGTTAAGCATCGATGGTGGTTCCCGGAGCATACTTATCGCAACCTCTCGCTTGAGAGGATTGCGAGTGGGTTGGTTAACCGCGAGACGTGGCGCACTGTGATGGACTATTGGCTTTACCGTGATGGTGTTCGTCACAACATAGGCAGCGAGGACGCATATGTCCATTTCGACCCGGACTTCCCGCAGACCTTCAAGCCGATTGCCTCTACGGAGTGACTTAGAGAATCCAGAAATGGACTTGCCATAGGGAGATTTGCGATATGACAATAAAGCCGGTTGAGGGATGGGCGGATGTGCGCGACCTCCGAATGCGATACGTCGACTGGGGCGGTGATGGCATGCCTGTGCTTGCACTGCATGGGCTGGCATCGTCGGCGCACTGGTACGACATCGTGGCTCCCATGTTGAGCGATCGCTTTCACATCATTGCCCCCAGACCAGCGCGGCCACGGACAGACAACGCAGGCGACCAGCGGCTACGATTGGCATTCAGTCGCGTCTGATGCAATAGGACTGCTGGATGTGCTGGGCATCGAGAAAGCTGTCGTATTCGGGCACTCTTGGGGCGGCAATGTAGCGGTAAGCACTGCGGCGCACTTCCCGGAGCGCGTCAGTGCACTTGTCATGATTGACGGCGGATTCTTCAGCCCTCAGATGCTGCCGGGGGCCTCTTGGGAAGCGTTCAGCCAGAGGCTTTCCCCGCGCAATGTGTCCGGCTCACGCGCCGAGTTTCTGGAGCGAATCGGCGGGCAGCTTGCGATGTGCTGGAACGATGAGGTGGAGCGCATCGTGCAGACGATGGTTTACGAGAGCGACGAGCAGATTTATGACATACTGCGTCCGGAAAATCAGGCGCAGGTAATTCGCGCGATGTGGGACGATCCCGCATCAGACGCTTGGCCGCGTATTGAGTGTCCTTCGCTGATTGTGCCTGCCGGTCCATCCCCGGAGCGCGCCAACACCGAATTTGCGCTCAACCGCAGGCGAATGGTGCAGCTCGCTGCGGATGGCATCCCGAACTGCCGCGTACAGTGGATACCCGAGACCATCCACGACATCGGGTACCACAAGCCGGAGGAACTGGCGAAGGCGATTCTGAACTTCGTTGATGCCGAGGTAGCCGCGGAGAGCTAGGTCATCACCAGACCAGGTTAGGTGGCGTTCCGGTTGCTCGGACTCGCGAATGATACGCACTGTCTCTTCGGCGATTGCGCGCTGCGCCTCGGATGTCTGACCGCCGATGTGGTGTGTGCCAACTACGCCCTCAAGCGCGAACAGCGGATTGTCAATTGTGCCGGTTCCTGATGACGGTTCGCCCTCGAAGACATCAAGCCCGGCCTTGATCCCACGCTCCTGCACTGCCCATGCCAAGGCGTCTTCATCCACAACTTCGGCTCGGGATGTGTTAATGAAGATTGTGCCTTCCCGCATCGCCTCGAAGAAGGCGCGCCCGGCGAGCGCCCGCGTGTCCTCAGTCAATGATACATGCACGCTAACTATGTCAGAGGCTTTTGCAACCTCAACGGGTGAAGACCTGCGTTCTATCCCCAGCTCGGCGGCGGCATCGTAGGTTAGAGAGCGGCTCCAGCCTATGACGGATATGCCAAAAGCCTTGGCTCTCGGAATCATGGCGCGACCGATGCGTCCCACACCGACCAGACCGAGCGTGCTGCCCGCGAGCCCACGCGCGCTGCTGTATGACGCCTTGCGCCAGACTCCACGCCGCAAGTCTGCAGAGTTTGCAGTGATCTGCCTGTCCAGCGCGATAATCAAGCCGAATGCGATTTCTACGACTGCGTTGGAGTTCTTGCCCGGGCAATTAGCGACAAAGATGCCGAGCGATTTGGCGGTTTCCACGTCGATGGTGTTGAAGCCGGCGCCCGCGCGTATCACCAGAGCGAGCCGCCCCGCTCGCAGCATCTCAAAGGTGACGCGCGTACTTCTGACCACAAGCACATCCGCATGAGTGTCGGCAATTGCCTGAGTGAGCGCATCGTCCCGCGCATCCGGCGTGTAGCAAACTACAATTCCATCGGCATGCAGGCTTGCGCGTGCATCTTCAGAAAATCGGTCTGCGATGAGTACGCGCATCAGAACCCCGCACGCTTGTCGCACACATACAGAAAAGGCTCATTGCCAAGGAAGCGGCGCATGTTCTCACGGAATATTTGCCGCCTCCCTTCATACATCTCCGGTGTCAGAGCGGATGCATGCGGCGACAGGACCACGTTGTCGAGTTCCCATAAAGGGCTTTCCTGCGGCAGTGGTTCAATGGCGGTTGCGTCAATACCCGCCCCAGCAATTCGGCCTTCACGCAAAGCATCGGCAAGTGCGTCTTCGTCCACGATGCCGCCCCGTGAGATCACGATGAGATATGACGACGGCTTCATCAGCCCGATGCGCCGACGGTCTATCATCCCGCGCGTCTCCGCAGTAAGCGGAGCAGTCACTACGAACCAATCACACATTTGCATAAGTTCGTCCAGGCGCTCCATTCCCCACACTTCCCTGACCTGTGGCGGCGGTGTAACAGGGTTGATGTCCGCAGCGTACACGTCAATATCGAATCCGTAGGCGCGCCGGGCGATTGCCTTGCCGATATCACCCAACGCAAGGATGCCCATTGTGCTCCCCGAAAGCTCCACGAACGCGTGTGAATACTTTTCTGCCTCCCATCGGCTCAAACGCTGGTCTTCCGCCATCTCTCTACCCCTGTGGGACAGAGATAGCATCATCCAGAGCACATGATCGGCCATGGGATTGGCATGTGGGCCGCGTGCGTTGGTCAGCACCACATCGCTGTCTGCGAGTGTCGGCATCTCCGCCATTATCTTGTCGATGCCAGTACCGGGGCAGTGTATCCAGCGCAGTCGTGATGCGGCCTCAACCACATCCGGACTATCAGGCCAGCCGCAAATCACATCGGCATCCGGCGCTTCTCGAAACTGTTCCTCGATTTTCGTGGCCGTAATGAACTCAACCTGCGGGAACTCAGCTTGCAGTTGTTCAACGAAGCCTTCGCCCAGGTGGGCGTCTGTCATCAGCACTTTCATGTTCTGCTCCTCTTCCGCTCCTCCTAATTTGGTCTATCATATACTGAATATACAATAACGACTATGCAAGAAGCCTCGCCTGATTCTCAGCGCGAGGCTTCTTTGTCACCGTTGTGAATTGATGCGCCTCAGTGGGCGCAGGCAGGAGCGCTATGCGTCCGTGCGACGGTCATCGGCTGGAGTAAAGATTGAGCCCTCGGGAAACTTGGGGTATTGCGCGGTATTGCGCTTGAACAGCCTGTTGCCGATGGCATTGAATGCCACTACGCCCGCGATGCCCACCGGGATGCCCATCAGGAAGTTCCTGCGCGAAATCCGGTTTTGCTCCTTGTTGTCCATACTCTTCAATACCCTCCAATTTCAATGCTGTTAGCTGGTGCCTATTATACGCAACCCCTTGTATGGCAGGCAAGCACATAACGGAAGGTTGTTACTGCCGATGCCATGATACGAGACTGCTTGCTGACGAGCCTACTTGCTGACCAACAAGCCGAGCATGATGTAATATTGCCATTGAGTTGCGCGCCGTTAGATCAGCCATATCGAAGTGAGGAGTCACGAATGAGCATGCCGCTAAGCGGAATCAGGGTGCTTGACCTATGCATCATACTTGCGGGACCCACCTGCGGAAGAACGCTTGCCGAGTATGGCGCAGAGGTCATCAAGATAGACAGCTGGTTTAGACCGCCGACCGACAGGCAACTGCACGATGTGGGCAGAGGAAAGCGCAGCATCTGCCTCGACATCACAAAGCCGGCCGGCTCTGAAGTGTTCTATCGGCTTGTGGACTCCGCGGACGTCATTTTAGGCGGTTTTCGCAAAGGTGTAGCCGAGCGACTGGGCATCGGCTACGAACAGATACGGCAGCGCAAGCCGGACATCGTGTATCTCGCAATCAACGCCTTCGGTCAGGAAGGCGCGTGGGCGAACCGCCCAGGCTACGAGCAGAACGCTCAGGCCGCCACGGGCGTGCAGCTTCGAAATGGTGGGCGAGACTCAGAGCCAATCCACTCGCCATATACCTTCAACGACTATGGCACTGGCTTAATGGGCGCTTATGCCGTAATGCTAGCCCTGTTGCAGCGGCGTAGGACGGGTAAGGGACAGTTCGTGCATACTTCGCTGGCGCAGACCGGCTCTACATTCTCATCGCCTTATCTCGTTGATCACGACGGTTACAAGCGCAACGAGGTAGAAGGGACCGAGGCACGGAGGTCCGATGCTCTAAATGGACTGTACGAGGCATCTGATGGCTGGTTCGCAATCGCTGATGCCGACTGGCAGGCAATCGTAAGCCTCGACGCATTCGCCCATCTGTCGGAGCGCGAAGAGTTTTCGGAAGATGAGCGAAGGAGAAAGTGTGACTCTCTGCTTTCCGACGAACTTGGCGCGATATTTGCACAGAGTAATTTGGAGGATTGGCTGACTGAACTGCACTCTGTCGGAATAAATGCAGTCAGGAATGACGATGTTGCTCACATCTTGTCCGACGACTACCCGCGAGAGCAAGGGCTCATCGTGGAAGAGGTCAACCCTCTACTAGGTGAGGTAATCCACGCCGGAGTTGCGCCTCGCCTTAGCAAGACACAGCCGATTCTGGGGGAAGCACCTATATTCGGCGAGGACACCGAAGCAGTCCTGCTGGAACTTGGTTATGAAGTCGAAGAGATTGATGCCCTGCGCGCCGAGGGCGTCATTCCGCCTGTCGCATAATTGACCGTAGGTCGCTCCAGCTATTCTTCATCCGACGGGAAGTCCATGCCGATGTGTCCCATGCGCTCCAGTTCGGCATACTCCTCGTCGCTCACGCCCAGCACCTGCTTATAGACATACTCATTGTCTTCGCCCAGTCGCACCGGGCCCCGTCTTATCTTGATAGGCATATCGGACATCTTGTAGGGCGCACCCACATAAAGGTGCGAGCCGCCCACATCTTCGTGATACACCTCCTCGAAAATACCTCGCTCTTGGAGATGCGGGTCGGCGAAGGCGTCCCTCTGGTCCATAATGGGTCCGGCAGCTACACCCGCCGCCTGAAGCTGGTGCATTACCTCATAGTGCCCGCGCTGGCGAGTCCACTCAGAGATGAGGGCATCCAACGTCCGCTGATTCTCATAGCGGCTGGAATGAGTCTTAAACCGTTCATCGCGCGTCCATTCCGGGCTGCCGATTGCACCGCAGAATGCGTTCCAATCGGCAGTATCGAAAAGAGTAATGTTCACCCATCGGTCATCTCCGGCGCATGGGTAGCATCCCTGAATTGCGCTTGTGTGGCGATTTCCAATTGTGCTGCTATTGCGCTCGTTCATCGAGTAGTCCATGAAGAAGCGACCTGTGTAAGCGATCATGTTTTCCGCCTGAGCGAGTTCGATTAGCTGCCCCTTGCCCGTTCGTTTGCGAAAGTGGAGGGCCGCTAACATGGCAAATGCGCCCTGCGCTCCACCTGCGGCGTCGGCCGCGAACACATTGGTGCTGGAGGACTGGTCCATATCCTCGTAGCCGCGCAATATCGTATGGCCGATCACGCCTTCCATATGCACTCCGAGCGAACGATGGTCGCGGTATGCGCCGCTGTTCCCGTAGGCGGGCATGCGAAGCATGATGATGCGCGGATTGATCTTTCGCATCATTTCGTAAGATATGCCCAGCTTATCCATCGTCTCGGTAACGTTGTTCTCTACAAAGGCATCGCTTACTGCTACGAGACGCTCAAAGATGTCCATGCCTGACGGCTGTGTCAGGTCAACAGTAATTCCCAGCTTGTTGCGACCATGCGCATTGAAGAGAGGGTAGCGATTCCAGGGACGCTTGCCGGGTTCTCGTCCGGGCATCGCCGCGACGAACGCAGGCAGCCCCTCTATAGCTTCTTTTGGCGGGAAGGGTATATAGCCGCGCGTGATGGGCGGCAAACGCTTTATGGATTCGAGGCGGATAACCTCCGCGCCCAGGTCCGCGAGGAGAGTGGCGCAGTACGTGCCCGCCCAGACGACTGTCATATCCAGAATTCTAATGCCTTCGAGCGGCAATCTTGCCATGCTGCACATCTCCCGTCGCTATATGACGCCCTGAGCTCGAAGCGCGGCAATGTCTGCGTCAGAATATCCGAGCGCGCCCAGCACCTCATCCGTGTGCTGCCCTAGCAGCGGCGCGGGTCGCCGAATGCTCCAAGGCGACTCGCTCATTACAAACGGTCTTCCAGGATATAACAGTGTGCCCGCGACAGGATGGTCGAACTCTGCGAAAGCTCCCCTCTGCCGAAACTGTGTATCGTCCACAAGGTCTGATGTTGTGTTTATCGGTGCGCTCAGCACGCGCGATTCCTGAGCCAGTTGCCAGATTTCCTGCTTTGTTCGTTCCAGACACCAGGAAATGAAGTACGCATCGAATTCGTCCTCAAGTTCAGGGTCATACTGCGCTTCAGGAGCGTACCAGCGTTCTTCAAGCAGCACATCGGGGGCGCCCATCATAGCCACAACGCGGTCGAAGTAGTTACGCCCCCCTGCAATCTGCACATAGCCGTCGAGGCAGATAAAAACGCCGTTGGGATAACCGCCCGCGGTGGCTGTAGCGCTGCGCTTGGAGATTTCGCCATTGTACTGGTATGCCAGCAGCATGCTCATCCTACGGTCTATCGACCCAACCTGCGTCTCCATCAGAGACACATCCACATGCTGGCCGTCATCCGCGAATACCGCGCCCATTGTGGCAGTCGCAGCAATCGCGCCAGCCTGGTACAGGACGACGTTTTCGCCCTAGTTTCAGAGGCTCTCGGTCTTCAAGTCCGGTCGAGTACATCTCGCCGCCCATTCCATAGATGATGAGGTCAGATGTCCTGAAGTCCCGATATGGGCCTGTCTGCCCGAAGTTGGAGATCGAAGTCATTACTAGCTGCGGATTGATGTACGAAGCGTGTCATAATCCAGTCCAAACTTCGCCATCTGACCGGGAGGAAGCTCTCCACCACTACATCAACTTCCTCAACTAACTGCTTCACGATGGACTGAGCCTGCTGGGACTTCAGATTCAGCGTGATACTGCGTTTGTTGGTGTTGAGGTGGAGAAACATGCCGCTCTTCTCAGGATGAGGCACATCACCGGGGAATGGACCGATGCGTCGAGCGCCGTCGCCGTCCCCAATTCTTTCGACTTTCAACACATCCGCACCGTGATCCGCCAGCAACTTCGTCGCATAAGGCCCAGCGATGTAGTGCGTAAAATCCAGAACGCGAAGATCGGATAAAGCGCCGTTTCCACCCTGCGTATCCGTCAATTCCAGCAAGTCGCTCTCCAATTGCAGATAGTCATGAAGTCATTCGTCCCCATGATGCCCTCAATAACAGACCCTTTACCCAGCTCTGCTTTAGTCAGTCATGATCGTAATTTTGGCCATCAACGCTCAAATTGCAGCACATTTTAACTCAATCAATCGCTTTAAGTAAGCGTGCGACTTTGAGCTTCAAGGATGGCAACGTGCAATCATCGTTCTACAAGAGCATGTGTCAGAGTAACGCAGATAGAAATTGAAGCCGTTGGCGAGGAACTAACACACATGGAATCAGAGGTGATCTGAATCAGCCATGCCGCAGTTGTGAACTGTCCTCTCATAATTCTTCCATGAGAGGAAAAGGAGAAATACCGATGGCCAAGATGAGTGGCGGTGAAGCTCTAGCGAAGTCACTAGCAAATGAAGGCGTAGAGGTCGTATTCGGAATCCCGGGCATACAGATATACGGTATTGTGGCAGGTCTGCGGGACGAGCCAAGTATTCGCATGATATCTACTCGGCACGAACAGGCGACCACATATATGGCCGATGGATATGCCCGCGCATCCGGAAATCCCGGAGTCGCTCTAGTGGTTCCTGGCGCGGGCTTATAACGCCGCAGCCGGCCTGACTAATGCCTTCTCACGCTCTACGCCTGTGCTCCTCATCGCGGGGCAGATTCCGCGTGGCGCAATCGGCAAAGGCCTCGGCGCTGTGCATGAGATCTCAGACCAACCAGGCGCTGTGCGCGGCGTGACGAAGTGGCAGCGGCTTGCAATGAGGCCTCGAGAAATCCCCTGATGCTGTATTCGAGGCGTTCAGGCAGATGCGCACGGGGTCGTCCTCGCCCAGTCTTGGTTGAGATACCTCCGGAGGCAGGGGTGTAGCAAGAGGAGGTCGTACTGCGAACCCCTGCTCGCATTTCACGAATTGTGCCGAGTCCTGAAGACCTCCGCGAAGCCGCTCAAGTCATCGCGCACTCTCGTCTCCCACTGATATATGCCGGCGGAGGAGTGGCGCGCTCAGACGCGGAAGAAGCTCATCAAGTTGGCAGAGGTGACGAACATACCTGTGGTTACCTCCAGCGGTGGCAAAGGAACCATACCGGACAGTCATCCTCTGTCTTACGGCTCCTGTTTCAGCCCTCGCGGCGAGATGCAGGAGATGAACCAGCTTTACGAAGTGATGCAGTCAGCCGATGTAGTGATAGGAATCGGGGCGCGCTTTTCGCTGGGCAATCCTGCCGGCGAGTCGTCCACGCTGGTAAATATCAACATCGACGACGGCGAGCTCACAAGAATTCAGTCAAACACCATTCCACTACACGGTGACGCCAGAGCTACGATAGAGGCATTGATTCCCTACCTGGTCGAGGCGGGGAGCGGGAGAACGCCCTTCACCCGCCGAGGCCGTCGCCGCCGCGCGCAGTCTGATTGCCTACTACGACATCAGGCTCAGGGAGCCTCAGTATCCAGTTATGGAGGCGATGCAGAAAGGCATCCCGGAAGACGCCTTCATAGTCTGGGATGTTACGCAGTTCGGCTACTACGCTCGCACTCACTATCGGGTGAACCAACCTAAGACGTACATTGATTCCGGCTACTCGTTCAACCTAGGCTATGGATTTCCGACTGCTCTAGGAGTAAAAGTCGCAAAGCCCGACCGTCCTGTGCTGTGCGTGACCGGAGACGGCGGGTTCATGTTCAACGCATCCGAACTATCCACGGCTGTCAAGTACGGCATAAACCTCGTCACCGTAGTTTTCAGGAACGACTCATACGGCAACGTCGCGCGCGACCTCGACGAGTTTTTCATGGAACTTACGGGACCGACCTACACAACCCGGACTTCGTCAAGTTCGCCGAATCGTTCGGCGCAGTTGGAATGAGAGCGGAAGACCCAATGGAGCTGGAAACGCTTATTCCGCTAGCCCTGGAACGCAATGCTCCGGTGGTCATAGACGTGCCCTTCGGAGAGATGCCGATACCGCGCGCGCCGCAGATTGCATTTGTCTATAATCTGCCCTGGACGACTCCCCAGGAAGGGCTGATAGTATCCTGAGCCGAACCTGCCTTACTATGACAAGCCGACCAATACACATGAAACCGCCCTCCAACATCCAAGTTGAACGTTAGAGGGCGGTTCTAAATGCTTGACAAATCAGCTAGCCCCTTTTGGGCAGTTGTCGACTAATAGGCGTGCGGCTGCACGGAAGCGGCGATTGACATCTCGATGTCGCGGATGCCCTTGGACAATGCCTGACCGATGAGATCGAGCCTGCGCACCTGGTCTATGCGCTCGCCCACATTGTCCAACTCCCGGCTGGATAGCAATCCCTTGAATATGCCGCACGCATCCGCCAGACAGATGATAACGACATCGCGCGGGGACGGAATTTCGTCGCTGAAAAGCACGCCCATAATTCGCAGCTTCACCTCGCGCTCCGCAGTGCCATCGATGGACGGGTATCGCCTAGAGCGGAACACCCAGAGGAAGCGGTCGTCCTGAACTTCAAGAATACCCTGATCAATAGTCTCTTCAGCGCCTGTTCGCGGATGGAGTCCCGCGCTGTCAGCTGTATGCTCCAGCCAGAAATTGGTGGTACGCTCCTTGCCGGCAGCGATGTCCGCAAGCGTTGGGTCAAGCAGGGCGTCTCCTGTTGGAGTATCATCAATCAAAATCAAACCTTCAAGGTCTGTGTCGATTCGGTTTTCCAGCGCCAGGTCCATCAGCACTCCACCGGCGAGCGCGTAGTCCAATGACCATTTGGGCACACGCGCAAACCTTCCGTCTCCGTCGTTGAGCAGCAACAGAATGGTTTCCTCAGCAAATCTCAGCATTATCCTCCCCCTTTATACACTCCAACACCGTGCCGGACTAAGAATGCTACCGGTATCACAGCGTATTACATGATTCATAATAACATGATAATATGCGCGAACAATACGGCTGAAGACTCAATTGAAGCAAATTGACGACCTCCGCCGCCTCGGTTCATTCCGCCCCATGTGAAAGAACGGAATGACGACATCTCCGGTAGCGAGACTGTTAAGTTGCACTTCTTTTAGACCAAGGAAATTGGGTAACTCATCTGAGCGGCTGAGATGGAATTTGACGCTTACAGCCTTGATGACTCCATCTACGACGAAGTGTTTCTTCCTGACGGAACACCTCGTGAGCATTGCGCTCAGCTTTATCAGACTTTGCATGAATTCTCCTCAGAAGAACTCTACGCTATTCAAGAACGAGTTTCCCGTTCATTTTCCAACGAGGGCATCACATTCACCGTTTATGGGAATGAGGAGGCCGAGGAACGAATTATTCCCATTGACTGCGTGCCACGAATTATGCCCGCATCAGATTGGCGGAGCATAGAGAGTGGCTTGACCCAGCGCATCAAAGCCTTGAATCTATTTCTGGAAGATGTGTACGGTCAATCCCGCAGCAAGGACCTCTACGGGGTATCGCGAATTGTCCATGACGGTGTAATCCCGGCCGATGTAGTGCGCGAGTGCCCTCAATATCGCGCCGAGATGTCCGGCTTCTCAGCTCCCTACGGCGCATGGGTTTCTATCTGCGGCTCTGACATTGTGCGCACCAATGACGGCTTTATGGTGCTTGAAGACAACCTTCGAGTACCTTCCGGTGTTCGTACATGATAGCGAACCGAAAGGCGGTCAAAACCAGTTTTCGTCGCCTGTATCGCAATTCACGTGTCCCGAGGTGGAGAACTATGGGAGAGTTTTGCTTGAGACACTGTCTGAGCTGGCTCCGGACGGTCGATCCGATCCGACTATCGCCCTGCTAACTCCCGGCGTATATAATTCCGCCTTCTATGAGCATATGTTCCTGTCCGGCGAGATCGGCGCCGAACTGGTGCAAGGGCAAGACCTGCTGGTGGACAATGGCTTCGTCTATATGCGCACGACCAAAGGCCTTCAACGTGTGGACATCATCTATCGGCGTGTGACGACGACTTTATTGACCCCCTTGTATTCAGACCTGACTCCATGCTCGGTGTTCCTGGGGCTGATAGATGCCTATAAGCGCGGCAATGTGACGGTAGTAAATGCTCCGGGCACGGGCGTCGCCGATGACAAGAGCGTGTACGCGTTCGTGCCCGATATGATTCGATACTACCTGAGCGAAGAGCCTCTTTCTTCTGGCCAATGTGGAAACATACCTGTGCCGACGGCCTGAGGAATTAGAGTACACACTTGACAATCTGCACGAGCTGGTGGTGAAGCGCGTGGGTGAGTCCGGCGGATATGGCATGCTCGTCGGCGTTCAGGCGTCGGTCAAAGAGCGCGACGAATACGCCAAACAGGTGCGGGCTAATCCCGCGGACTTCATTTCGCAGCCTACCTTGGCGCTGTCGCAATCGCCCTGCTTCATAGACGGACGAATTGAGCCTCGGCATGTTGACCTGCGCCCGTTTGTGCTGCACGGACAGAAGACACGCATCGTGCCCGGCGCTTTCTGCCGCGTCGCTCTGACACGTGGTGGTTTGGTGGTGAACTCAAGCCAAGGAGGTGGCGGTAAGGACCTGTGGGTCGTGGAAAACTGACTGAACAAGTCGCCAACATACAAGTTCGATAAATGCTAAGGGCTATTCACTTAATGGTCATTGAGTGTAGGAGAGAATTCAGCCATGAGGACATTCGCAAACGTCTTTTCGCGCTACAGGTTTGCGGTACTGGCGGCATTGATATCCGTATCAGTTGTCTGCCTATTCGTCAGACCGAACATAGCCTATGCAGCAGGAGTTGACGACGAAACAAAGTTCGTCTTCAACACTTTTTCATTTCTCATTTGGGGCGCGCTGGTCATGTGGATGTGCGCGGGCTTCACCATGCTCGAATCGGGCTCGGTGCGTACAAAGAACGCCTCCACAATCTGCTGAAGAACATCGGCATCTACTCAATAGCCGGCATTGCGTACTTCGTTATCGGCTATAACCTGATGTACGTTGACATTGTTGGAGGCTTCATCGGCTCATTCAATCTCCTGTATGGCTCTTCAGCAGATGAGATTGCATTGCTCGGAGGTGACCAATCTGCAACCGCAGCCGTTGTCGAGAGCGGCTACTCCACCATGTCGGACTGGTTCTTCCAGATGGTCTTCGTTGCGACTGCCGCCTCCATCGTATCCGGCACGCTGGCTGAGCGGGTCAAGATGTGGCCATTCTTCCTCTTCACCCTGATCCTGACCGCTTTCATCTACCCTGTCGTAGGAGCATGGACATGGGGTGGCGGCTGGCTTGATCAGATGGGATTCAAAGACTTTGCCGGTTCGACCATAGTGCACAGCACAGGCGGATGGGCGGCTCTTGCAGGCGTTCTCGTAGTCGGACCCAGGCTCGGCAAGTTCCGCCGCGACGGTACTGTAAGGGCGACACCACCGTCAAACGTACTGGTAGTAACACTCGGCGTGTTCATTTTGTGGTTCGGCTGGTTCGGCTTCAATGCAGGGTCCCAGCTTGCACTGGGTAGCGCCGCTGACGTCGTGGCGATGAGCATCGTGATGGTCAACACCAATCTGGCGGCGGCAGCGGGCGTAATGGCCGCTCTTGCTGTATCACGCCCAATACTTGGAAGGATGGACTTGATCGCAGGATTGAACGGAGCAATAGCAGGTCTTGTGTCAGTCACCGCTGCTCCTGATCTAGTTGACCACCACTGGGCAATCATAATTGGAGCTGTGGGGGGAATAGTCTTAGTGCTGGCAGTGAAACTCTTGGAAAAGCTCAAACTGGACGACGTAGTTGGGGCGATTCCTGCCCACTTGTTTGCCGGAATATGGGGAACATTGGCCGTAGCTATAAGTGGTGGTCAAATTCTTGTTCAGTTGATTGGAGTGCTGGCGGTCGGAGTGTTTGTATTCGCAGTCTCATGGGTGCTGTGGAAGGCGCTCGATATGGCGTTCAGTGTGCGAGTGTCGCGCACTGTGGAGCGCATGGGGCTGGACTCCGGTGAGTTAGGGCTTGAATCCTACCCCGAATTTGTGCTTATGCCCGAAGAAGACGATGAAGAAGAGAGTTGATCCCTAATGCTCGCTCGTAGCGCACATGGCCTCTACTGGATGAGCCGCTACCTGGAGCGGGCTAAGCACCTTTGCCGTTTGTTAAGGCTTCAGTCGGAGGCCCTGGTTGACCGGCCCATTGGTGAGATTCACTTTGGGGTTGGAATCGCATTTACTCGAGTGTGGGAAGGCATCCACCGATAGGCGGCATTGTCATGTTGGACAACGACGACTATATGCTTGCCGATTCCTACACACTCGCAGATGACCTCACCTTTGAAAGAACAAATCCGGATTCGGTGTGGAGTTGCTTTCGCGGCTGGGCGGGAAAATGCTCGACAGATGCGTCAATGCATCAGCTACGAGATGTGGGACTAGCCTGAACTTGGCTTACCTTCGGGTCCAGAAGTCGCAATTCAGGATATATGGACGGCCTCGCCCGAGAGTTTCTATTCAGGCGTGGTCGCAGAAATAGATACATTCTCCGGAGTAGCGGCAGACACCATGTATCGGGATGAAGGATGGCAGTTCATGCAGCTAGGCCAGGTCATCGAGCGCGCTCAGCTCCTTTGTGCCCTGCTTCTCACGCAGATTGAAATTGATAATACGAGCGAGGAGTATTCTGATGGAGACTGGACGAGCTTGCTACGGATGTACCATGCTCTCGAGGCATACAATCGGCGGTACGGCGTGGAAGTGCGGCCCAAGCAGGCGCTCGACTTACTTGCCACGGACATTCTGCTGCCAGGTTCACTTATTCGCTCACTCGATATGGCGCAGGCTGAAATCGCAGGCATCGGTCCGGGTCCGGATGCGCTTTCCAGCGACGCCACTCAACAACTGCTGGAGCGGTTGACCTCACTTGTCCGCTACGAATGGCCTGACCAAGAGGATCACAGAGCTATACTGCAACAGGTAGACGCGCACTGCCGGGAGCTGCACCAACTCGTGAGCGATTCGTATTTCGACTACTCTACCGATGGCGTTCCAAGAGGTTAACACCACAGATCGCTGGCTTAACCAAGCGAAGTATGAGCACTGGGGCTGGAGCCTAGTTTCGAGCAATATAACTAGAAGCCGTCACATCTTAAGTTTTCGTGATAGATCGTATATAAAAGTTTGTCGAGTCGCTGCCCAAATCTTAGTTGGACATTTGTGTTGATTGGAGTGCAAAATCTTATTTTGGTTCTGAGAGTGTGTGTGTCAGATACAACATTATGTAGTATGGTATCAATGTGCCAGTCCACATTCCTCTTTGTTTCGCTTTTGGCAGCAATTAGGGAAGCATTGTGACTGTACTGTTGAGTTTTGCAATTACTTTATTATGCTGTAAAATGTGAGTTGGACTTGAAATAGCCGAATTTCGGCTACCTGCAATGCAAGGAGACGGTATCAGTGAAAGTTACCATAGAAAGAGATGGCGACACCCTGGTTGCAATGGCGGAAGACCGCGTAGATGGAACTAACGCTAGCGAATTCCAGCAGGCACTTGAAGCTGCGATAAGTGATGCGGACCGTATCGTAATTCTTGATTGCGATCAGCTCTCGTATATCAGCAGTGCTGGTCTTCGGGTAATTCTGCTTACTGCGCGCGCGCTCCAACGACAGAATTCTAAATTTGCGGTTTGCTCACTCTCCGAGCAGATACGCGAGGTCTTCGAGATTAGTGGTTTCGACAAGATAATTCCAGTGCATGCAACTCGTGCGGATGCCCTCGGCGCCCTCAGCAGCTGAGCGAAGCGTAATCGGGAATATCTTTAGCGAAACTTCGCCTGTAAGGGCAATTTAGTGGCTAGAACTTTTTGAGGTGCTAGATTGGCGTACAGCATTGAGGTTGCCAATTGCTTCATAGGAGGATTTGTGTGAAGCAGGGCACTTACAGGATACTTGTGGTCGACGACGAACCCGATGTCGAACCCCTTGTTCTTCAGCGCATGCGACGGGACATACGCTCACGCAAGTACGAGTTCGTATTTGCTCATAACGGTGTGGAAGCCGTAGAACTTCTCAACAAAGATGAAGACATCGACATGGTCATCTCAGACATCAACATGCCTCAGATGGATGGCCTCACGCTCCTGGAGCAAATATCGGAGATTAACCCGAATATACGCTCCATAATTGTTTCTGCGTACGGAGACATGAAGAACATCCGCACCGCCATGAACCGTGGAGCTTTCGATTTTGTCACTAAGCCTCTTGATTTTGGAGATTTGAGGGTCACTATCGAGCGAACTTTGCGCCACATGGAAGAGTGGCGAGAAGCGCTTTCCTCACGTGATAAGCTTGTAGCGTTGCAAAATGAGCTGGATGTGGCAAGCGGCATACAGCAGTCTATTCTTCCCACAGTGTTTCCAAGCAGAGACGACTACCAGATTTATGCCAGTATGGAACCTGCAAGGAATGTGGGAGGCGACTTTTTCGACGTCGTGCGATTGGAGGGCAACCGTGTTGGACTCGCAATTGCGGATGTGTCGGACAAGGGTGTTCCTGCTGCGCTCTTTATGATGTCAAGCCGTACTTGGATGAAGGGCGCCGCAATCAGCAGTCCCGAGCCGGGAACAGTTCTCGGAGAGGTGAATGCCCTGCTCCACGAGGACAACGAAACGCAGATGTTCGTCACAGTGTTGTACGCGGTGTACGATCCTGAGACCGGCGAGTTTACCTATGCCAGCGGCGGACATGATGCACCTCTTTTAGTTCATCCCGATGGTAGTTCTGAACTGCTTCCATTGACAGGCGGAATCGCGCTCGGGATAGTCTCCGATCTCGCATACGGGCAGAATTCCGTAGTCCTTGACCACGGGGAGACACTTGTCCTCTACACCGATGGTGTAACGGAGGCAATGAATGGAGAAGGCGAGCAGTTCGGCATAGAGCGACTGCGCAAGGTCTTCTCCGACCGCGCGCCCAAAGACGCGAACGAAGCAGCGCACAAAATATTTGAAGCTGTGAATACGTTTGCAGACGGCGCCGCGCAATCCGACGATATAACATGCTTAACCCTACGCCGAAGTGAGACTCCCGATTGACCGCAAAATTATCGTTAAAGATCGAAGCATCGCCTGACGCACTAGACCGCATCAATGATGAGATCGAGTCACTTAGCCGTCAGGAAGAATGGCCGTCCGACCTATTTTTTACAACCAACCTCGTAGTCGAGGAGTTGGGCCTGAACGTCATCAACCACGCTTATCGCGGTCAGTCCGGCGAGTTTGAAATCATCATCACGTCCGAGGAACAGGCTATAACCGTTGAGATCATTGACAACGGCCCACCATTCAATATGCTTCAAGATGCGCCTTTACCTGATGTGGAGGCTGAAATTGAAGAGCGGCCCGTCGGTGGCTTAGGTATCCACCTGGTGAAGACTATGATGGATGAACTGCACTACAAGCGAGACCAGGAAAAAAACCACCTGACACTTGTAAAGAGGAGGGAGATGTGAAACTCCCGGCTCCACTGACCACTTTGGGGATTGGGGCCGCCGGTGTTCTTCTTTCCTTGGCATTTACAAGCACATTGGCGTGCTCACAGTCGGAGCCGGCTGTGAACGAAGTCAATAGTTCCACACCCGCGTCTGCCCCCCAGGAGACTCGACCGACTCCATCTATTGGCGACTCTCTTGCTCAAGCCGGGCAGACGAATGGAGTGTTTGACGACCGTATCCTGTTCGGCCAATCGGCTGCCTTCAGTGGACCAGCGCGCGAACTTGGCACCAACATGAGACTCGGCATTCGGGCAGCGTTCCACGAGGTCAATGAAAGTGGTGGCGTGCACGGACGAGTGCTAGAGCTCATTTCCTTCGATGACGCGTATGAACCGGAGGCGGCAGTCAACAATACCTTGAGGCTCATCGAGCAGGAAGAGGTCTTCGCCCTCATAGGCGAGGTTGGCACACCTACATCACGCTCAGCCACCCCGGTCGCAGCAGATGCGGGCATTCCATTTATCGCGCCATTCACGGGCGCCGAGTTCCTCCGCAATGATGACTGGCAGAACATCATCAACTTGCGGGCTTCCTATTATCAGGAGACCGAAGAAATGGTCGCCCGGCTAATAGATGACCTCGGCATTACTCGCATCGGAGTTCTATTCCAGGACGACTCTTACGGGCGCGCTGGCTACCGTGGCGTTCTCTTCGCACTTGACCGGCGCGACCTCAAACCCGCGTCTATCGGACTTTATCCACGCAACACCACGGCGATAAAGGCGGCATTGCTTGATCTGAACCAGGGCAATCCGGAAGCGGTAATCATGATTGGCGCATACGAGCCGGTGGCGGAGTTGGTGTCCTGGGCAAGACATACTGGCATAGACCCCATATTTATGACGGTTTCCTTCGTGGGGAGCAACGCTCTCGCAAGAGAGCTCGGACCTGACGGGGCTGGCGTATATGTGACTCAAGTTGTGCCATTTCCGACGGATGACTCACAGCGAATCGTTTCGTCATACACTACGGCTCTGTCGGCATATGACCCTGAAGCAGTTCCGGGATTTGTCTCGTTCGAAGGCTATCTGGCTGGTCGTCTGGCAATCGAAGGATTGCGCAGATGCGGCCAGGAAGTCGATAGGGCTTGTTTTCTCGAAATCCTGAATTACACTGACTATATAGATATAGACGGATTCAGACTCCGCTACGGAAATGACAACCAAGGGTCGAACGAGGTCTTTCTGACAGTTATCGGAGACGATGGCAAGTATAGACCACTAGAAAACTAGGGTCGCGATAATTAGGGAATTGGAGATTTCCGATCATTTCAAGGATTGTGTTCACGCCCTTCAAGCGACTTCTCGAAAGGCGCTTTCGAATCTCCACGCAACTCTATGTTGGTATCGGTGGAGCGGTATTCCTGACGGTTGCCGCGAGTCTCGTCGGCTGGTTTTCCTTCAATCGCGTAGGTGAAGCTCAGCGACAGGTGAACGAAAGAAGCGTCCCTGAGGTAGTAGCCGCTTTCGGAATTGCGCAGCATAGCGGTACGCTCGTGAACGCCGCTCCAAGACTCACGGCAGCCACAACGCCCGATGAACTCGCCGCCGTCTCAGCAGGAATTGACGAAGCAAACGACGCACTTGAAGAGCAGTTAACCATTCTCTTAGGCTTCAATGCTCAGACTTCAGGGTTGCCCTCAATCAGCAGCGCTCAGTTTGCTAAGATTCCCGGTATAGGTGGCCGGGGAGACAACGAAGACTCTCAGTACAGCAGCGAAGAAAGTGGGCGCTCTGATCGCATTCGCGCCCATGTGGATGCGCTAACGGTCCGCATCGACGCCATCGAAACAGGAATGTCTGAGATATTCGTGCTGAATGAGCAGAAAGATGCACTGCGAGCTGAGCTTACGGAGTTGCGTGAGCAGATAGATAACATTATGGTTCCAGTCGTCGATGATCAGCTATTCTACTACGATGACAGGTTACATGAGTCGGATCGAGCCGCGTTCTAGCGCGAGAAGAGCATTTTTCAGAAGCAGAACTTGCCCGATACCGCAATCTGTCCAGCCTCACAGGGGACGCCACCACAGCGAATCAGATACTGGAAAGCGCATTCTCTATCTCATCCGCACCTTTAATCGAACCCCTTCGTGAACGCTTTGAATCCGCTTCCGGCAGCTTGGATCGCAACCTTTCGGCTCTTGAAGATACGCCAATCGGTAGCGAGATTACCCCTCTAATCTCTCGGCTGCGCGAACTAGGAACCGGGGAGAACAACGGATTTGACCTGCTTGAGAGGCAACTCCAAATCAAACAGCACCAGCAAGACTTACTCGCTCTCAACCGGGGCGTGAGTGTTGAACTTGTCGAAGAAGTTGACGCACTTGTGGGCGCCTCCCGCACGAGGGCGGAAGACGCTACGCTGGCTTCAACCCAGGCAATTCTGACTGGTCGCACGCTCTTGCTCGCTATCAGCACGATTAGCGTCATCGGCGCTCTGCTCATCGCGTGGCTGTTCGTCGGGCGCCTGCTATTGCGTCGCCTCCAGATGCTTTCCAACTGGATGCAGCGAATGGCCGACGGCGACCTGGAGGCGAGGGTGGAGATGAGCGGGCGAGACGAGGTCGCAGACATGGCAGCAGCCCTGGAAGTATTTCGCCGTAGTTCCATCGAGGCGCAGCGTCTCAACCTGGTTGAGCAACTCGCAGAGGAATTGCAAGGCAAGAACGGGGAGTTGGAGCGTGTACTTGCGGACCTGGAGCGCGCTCAGGACCAGATAGTGGTGCGCGAAAAATTGGCGGCATTGGGTCAGCTTACTGCCGGTGTCGCTCACGAGATACGGAATCCTCTTAATTTCGTCAAGAACTTCTCTGAAGCGTCTGAGGAACTTCTGACCGAACTCGAAGAAGTCATCACGACGCCGGAGAGAACATAAGCGAGGAAGACAAGGAGTATATTCAGGAAATATCGGGTGATCTCACAAGCAACCTCCAACGCATTCGCACGCATGGCGACCGCGCGAACCGCATTGTCAACGACATGCTGATGATGGGCAGGGATACTGGCGAGCAGCGTCCAACCGACATCAACAACCTGCTGGACGAACACGCCAGACTTGCCTACCATAGCGCAAGGGCGCTCGACACAAGCTTCCAGCTCGACCTTCAGCAAGACCTCGACCCGAATATGGGTGAGATAGAGGTAGTGCCCAGAGACCTGGGCCGAGTCTTTCTGAATATGGTCGGCAATGCCTGCTACGCCACTGACGAAAAACGGCGCGCGCTTCAAGAAGAGGCAAAGGACGACGAATCATACATGCCAACGTTATGGATTTCTACACGCAAGGAAGAGGAGCGGGTGGAAATTTGCATCAAAGATAATGGGAGTGGTATGCCCCCAGATGTTATCGATAAAATATTCAATCCGTTCTTCACCACCAAGCCCACGGACAAGGGAACCGGGTTAGGACTGGCAATATCCAATGACATAGTACGGCAGCACGGAGGATCGATCCGTGTAGATTCAGAGGCTGGGCAGTACACCGAGATGATCATCGAGCTGCCTCTGGTGGCGCCCGCAATCGAGTTTGACAGAGAGAATGGCGTGAATATCCCTTATCTGTGATTTGCTCAGATTCAACATCCGGGAGTGCCAATGCAGCCCTCCAACAACAGGCTTTTGACGTTGGTATCTGATCCAGAATCCCATTCAGGTTTTCCTCAATAGATTCACAGGCTTGAGTTCAAGTCTTAGGAAGGCAGGCTGTGACCTTGGAACATGAACAGTTTATGAGAATTGCGCTCGAAGAGGCGCAGAGGGCTGCTGACGAAGGAAATGTCGGAGTCGGCTCTGTGATAGTGATGGACGGCGAACTGGTTGCACGAGGACGCAACCTCGTACCCACCACGCACGACCCGACGGCCCACGCCGAGACTGTTGCCCTGCGTGAAGCGGCTTCGGTCCTAGGCACTGATGATATGTCGGGTGCGACTCTTTACACTACCTTCGAGCCATGTCCGATGTGCTGCGGCGCTCTGACGAACGCCAACATAGCCACTCTGGTCATGGGTGGCAGGCCAACTGCGGACCAGACGCGCTGGGGAAACTACACGCTTGAGCGCCTTCTGGAAATGTGCGGCTGGGACGACCGCATAGAAGTAGTTACGGACGTACTGGTCGAGGAGTGCCTGAACATCAGGCTGCCACAATAGGAGCCGCCGTTGCCTCTGGCAGCCACGTGGCGAACTTACATCCGGTCATAGCAACAAGCGAAAGGTTTAGTCACTTGCGATTTGGAGCATTCTGGCAGGTTCCCGGCTACTTAGGTTCCTCCGTGGCACGCCGCCACTGGGAGACCATCGAGCAGATAACATTGGCGGACAAGCTCGGATTCGAATCCGCTTGGCTTGCCGAATCGGTCTTTTTCCCGGGGAGGCCTATGTCGAATCCGCTGATGGTGGCCTCGGCGGCAGCGCAGCACACCGCTCAGATCCGTTTTGGCACACTGGCGGCACAGTTTCCGCTCCACCACCCAATACACATGGCAACTCAGGCTGCGACATGTGACATACTTACGAATGGCAGACTTGACCTGTGCCTTGGAGGACGTTGGGGTGCGCCTGCCGGTCAGGCGTTTGGGCAGGCGGCGGACATAAGTAGCGAAGAGAGTCGCGGACGCGTTGCGGAAGGAATAGGGCTGCTGAAAGCGGCATGGACTCAGGAGCGCGCGAACTTCAAGGGCGAGTACTGGGACATGGACGACCTGCTTGTAATGCCCAAGCCCGTGCAGCAGCCACATCCGCCTTTGCTGATTGCGGCAAACAGCGACGAGACTTTTCCTTACGCCGCGAGCATGGGGCTTGGCGTAATCGGGACAACTTTGAGTCAGCCTATGCCTCGCATGATCGACCGTCTGAGGGACTTCGAGAATGCGAAGAACACCGAATCTTCATACAATCCTCAGCCGTTTCATGTGAACATTTCCTTCTTCGTAGCGGAAACGAGAGAGAAGGCGCACAAGCTCATGGGGCGCAACTGGCGCGACGAAGATATCGTGAATACGGTTCCCGACGCCACCGCATCCTCCATAGGCACATCCCGACACAGCTTCACTAGTGGCGTTGGTGGCTGGGCGACATGGAGTTTTCAGGATGCTCTGAAGTACTCTATCTATGACGATCCCGACGGCTGCGTAGAACAACTGCGAAATCTCGGCAAAGACCTCTCAGGAATGGCACAGTGCATCCTCGAATTTAATCGTCGCGGTCGCCTGACCAACGAAGAGGTCAAGGAATCGATGCAACTATTCGGCGAGGCCGTTATGCCGCAACTGGCATAAGCCGGTTTCGGTTACGACCTGTCTGTGATGGAGTACAACAGCCTCCCAGACAACGGATGACGCACGGGCTGCGATTGCACTCACGCTGGTAAACGAGTCAGTAACCTCGACCCCATCCACTCCTGCCGCGTCGCCCTTCAACGACTCCTTGCTCTCGAATGTCGATGCGCCCAAGGTAATAGCACCCAGTACAGCGCCGTCATGGGCGTTTGCCCTATCCACCACATGAAGGGCCTCACCGCGATTCCGTGCAAACACGACTCGGTCAGCGCCGTTGACCAAACTCTCTACATAAACATTGAATACGTACTCACCGGAGCCAACGGTCGATAAGGAAATCCAATTTTGCAGGATGACCATCCCCGGACCAATAGACTTAACGGCGACCGCGGCAGTGCCGATGAGTATCATCCGAGTCAGGTGTCCGATTCCCTTTCGACATGATGCTTGGTCGGAATTTGTTGGGCAAATTACCAAATGTTATCAAGCATGGTAATATCTAGTATCTTCTTATCATTCTCCCATTTAGAAGGTTCTGGCTATTTACATTGGTCAAGTCGAATATCATCTTGATATTAGTACCGGTGGCGCTCGCAGTTTTGCTCTTGCTTAACGTAGATCGAACGGCGCACAGCCTAACTCCAAATCTAGATGTTCGGTTGAGCACCGGACTAACTCCAACAGATCAGGACCGGCAGGTTGAATTTCAGGCGACTCTCTTATTTGATACCAGAGAACGAGCCTCGCTAAATGAGGCCACTCTCAAAGTCACGGGACCTCAGGCTTCGATGTCGATCTGCCATTGACAGTCGGCGAGTTTGATGTGTCAGGGATGTCGGGCGTTGTTGGCACGATTGTCGGAAGCGTCAGATTCGACAATATCGCAACACCGTTTCCACTGGTGTATAAAGGCGCCGCAACCGGTGGAACAATCTTAGTTGACGTGCTGTGGACTCCGAACAGTGATAAGCCGGCAAATGGAAATTACACGGCTCAGTTCTCTGTTGAATATCGAGATTCGCGCGGCCCGACGACGAGCGAGAGGGTGCATTTCACGATAAACTATCCTACGCCAACACCCACATTCACTCCGACCCATACCACGACGGCAACACCGACCTTCACGCCAACGCCGACATACACTCCTACCCTTACACCTACACCAACCAGGACCAAGACACCAACCCCAACCAGAACGGCAACCGCAACCCGCACCCCAAATGCGACGAAGTCTGCAACCCCCACATTGACCGCATCACCCACACCTGCGCCGACCGCGACTCTCACGCTAACGCCCACAATTACAATGACAGCGACATCGACGCAGTCCCCGCTACCTACTCCGACATTTTCGCCTGAGCCGACGGCAACGCTGACACCTGCGGCTCACACGCCAACCGCGCTACCGACTGCATCGCCCGAACCGACTGCAACATCGCCGCCGACCTCAACTCCAACGCCCTCGCCCATCAGCGGTATGGCTCCGGTTGCGCTCGCAACTCGTACATTGTCGTTGGCAATTGCACTGGCGCCGGAGTCAAACAATAGGCCGTTTGCCGTGCCGGTGGCGGTGCGAATCTTTCCCGTGGACCCTTCCAAGCCAATGATACTTAGCGTGGATGCCAATGCGGTATCACCTGCTACGGTATCGTCAGCAGCAACGCTGGATTTGAATCATCAGACTGTGGAATTGCGCACTGATACGTCCAAGTTCCCGTCCTCAAGCATAGTGATGTTTTCGCTGAGTGCAATTTTGGGCTTGACAGCAATCATGTTCTCGTTATTGCGCGCCGCTAAAATACAGATCGCGCTCAGGACGGTTGTTTATGAACGGCATATGTCCTGCAGGCGTTCGAAATAGTCGGGGAATGTCTTTGACACGGTGTCAGGGATCGTTGATAGTGATGCTGGCATCACCAAGAGCCGCCAGCGAGAAGCACATAGCCATGCGATGGTCGTTGTAGGTGTCTATGACAGCGGGTTGGATTTTCTGCGGCGGTGTAATCTCGATGTAGTCCTCACCCTCAACAACACTCGCCCCCACTTTCCGCAGCTCCGTTGCCATAGCTGAAAGACGGTCGGTCTCCTTGACACGCCAGTTATGCACATTGCGGATGGTCGTCTTGCCCTTGGCGAAAAGAGCCGTTACCGCGACAGTCATTGCGGCATCCGGGATGTGGTTTAGGTCAGCGTCAATCCCGGTCAGTTCGCCGCGCGAAATCTCAATCCAGTCCGGTCCGCTCGACACATTGGCGCCCATCTGCTCAAGCACTTTCGCGTGCGCGACGTCCCCCTGAATGCTGTCGTCGCCTACGCCATTGACGCGAACGGTGCCGCCGCCGATCGCTCCCGCCGAAAGGAAGTAGGAGGCTGATGATGCATCGCCCTCAACAAGAATGCTGCCGGGCGATCTGAAGGCTTGATTGCCGGGGAGTCGGAACCACTCATAGCCGCTGCGCTCCACTTCAATTCCGAAGCGACACATCACGTCAATGGTCATGTCGATGTATGGCTTGGACACCAGCTCCCCTTCGACCTCAATAGTCAGAGGCGCGAGGGACATCGGCGCCGCCATAAGCATGCCAGTGAGGTACTGACTGGATATGTTGCCACGGATGCTGACTGTGCCGCCTGCGAGTCCGCATGCAGTGATGTCTAGAGGCGGGCACCCTTCAGCTCCCGTGTACTCAATCTGCGCGCCGACCTGCCGCAGTGCATCAACGAGGTCGCCTATGGGGCGCTCCAGCATGCGAGGCTCGCCGGTCAGGGTGTAACGTCCCTTTCCTGCACAAATTGCGGCGCACAGGGAGCGCATCGTAGTGCCGGAGTTACCCAGAAACAGCGTTGCCTCGCTCTCAGGAAACGCCCCGCCCAGTCCCTTTACCTCGCAGTATGCGCCATCATCAGAGTACTTGATGCCTGCTCCGAGTATGCTAAGGGCGTTCAGCATGTGGCTGGTATCGTCGCTTTCCAGCAGATTGCGAACCTGTGTTGTGCCTTCCGCCAGAGCCGCCAGCAGAAGGACCCGGTTGGACATGCTCTTTGAGCCGGGCAATCGTATCTCGCCCTGAACGCCGCGAATTGGTTGTAGAGTGAGTTGCTTCATATCGTCCGCCTTCTGGAGTTTTCAGCCTTTCAGCAAATAAGTGCTTCAAGAAATCGGTCGGTCTGGAACTCGTCGCAAAGTTCTGACAAATGACCAATACCCGCTCATGGGCTAAAACTAAAACACTCTGGAAGAATTATAGCCGACTGGTAACGCCTTTGCCGCGCCTGAGCAGGTAAATCTGGGGCGTGATGTACCCACGGCTATGGGGGATACTGAGAGGGATCTCTGTGAGTAAGTTCCAGCTGGGAACTTCTGCGAGTGCGGCAAGCAGCGCGCGTCTGCGTGTTGTGATCAAGACCATCGAAGCCTCCGCAGCAGCGACTCTCGCGGATTCCGCGAGCGCGGAGTGGTACAGGGATGCGATGTCTCCGCTGTCGTTCCTGAGCATGCCGTAAGGTAGGTCTGCGTTAATAGTGTCAACGGATGCGTCAGGTATGGGCAGGCGGGCGCAGTCCGCTTGAACAAGGGACACAGAGGAGCGATGCCCGGCGGCGCGCAGGTTTGCATCGGGCGCATTGCAGAGCGGACGCGCTGATGTCCACACCTGTAACGCTTGTGGCGGCGCCCATGCCCAGACGTTCGATCACCAGTGTGCCGGAGCCGCAGCAAAGGTTGAGCATGCGCTCGGTGGGGCGCGTGCCCGTGAGCGACACCATGGCGCTTGCGACTGCGCCGTTAAGCGCGCCCGGCATGTCGCAGACGCGCCACCTGCGCGCTGACAGGGGCATCGGACTTGTGCGTATGAGCGCCTGCCAGCCCTCTTCTTCGGCGGTAGATCGCCGCACGGAAATTTGCAGATGGGCGGCACCCTCGGCCTGCTGAAGTCCGGTGGCGTCGGCGATCTCCTGTCGCAGTCGCATGAAAACACGTGAACCTGCGCCTGCCGCCGCTATGCGAAAAGTCTGGAATGCGGCGCCGGGACGTGCGTCGAGGACTGATTGGATTGCGGCAAGCAGGCGCGTCAGATGCTGGTGCCCAAGCAGCGCGCGGGGGCCCGGCACGGCGAATTCTTCTACCCTGTGAACCGCAACGGCTGTCCTGAACTCGTCGAAACGGCGGATACTACCGTTGTATTGAAGCGAGACACGCCCTTCAATTTGGGTGCCAACGATTTGCGCAGCCTTGCCCAGTCGCCGCCTGATCTCGCGGCGAGCGTACTCTTCCAGCCCACTGACTGTCTCGACCTCGTAGCGTTGCACGGGAGCGGGATCAGGTCGGGAATTGCGCGCACTGGGTGTAGTGCGCGCACCATGGGTAGTTTGCGCATCAGTCGTAGTGCGCGGGCCCGGCCTTCGCCTCACCCGTTGCGGTCGCGGCGGCCTTCGTCTCATCTGCCGTCCAGCCTCGTCACGAGCTCCGTGAGACCGTTCTCACCACCCACGTTGCCGGGGAAGATGATGCAGGGCATTCCCGGATGAAGCGTCTCTTCGCCCAGTATCCACGCTGGCACTCCGGGCGCAGCCTGTCCAGGCGACCATGCGCGCTGTACATTGAGGGCTTTGGTGGCAATCGCGTACGATGTTGCGCCGCCCTTAACGATAATGCAGCGCGGCCGTACACCGATGCCGCCTACTATCTCGGAGAGTGCCTGCGAAGTCTGATGGCCGATCGCAAGGCTGTGGTCGGGACTGTTCCCTCCTACAAATGTGCGGCTAGTGTAGATGACGGCGTTGTTCCCTGCATGCAGAGCTTTCTCAGCTGCGCGCGCAGCCCGGTCTATTTCTGCCTGGCGTGTGCCCTCGGAAAGCAGTTGAGCTACATTCGCCTCTATGCCGACCGCATCAGAGCTTTTCAGCAGGTGGTTCAACTGCACTGTAGTCCGGGGCACATGCGATCCAACTACGATGAGCGCGCCGCCGCTGTCTTCCATTTTCATCTCTGAGGGAATGAGCAGTGCGCGCCCTGATTGTCCCAGCAGCGCCTTGATGAACGATGCCGCCGCTCGGAACAGGAAACGCTTGCCAGTGGCCTCGACTTGCAGGATGCCTTGAACGAACACTTCCATGTCCCTGTTGCTTGCGCCATTCACGACACATACGCCGCCTTTGGGCAGCTCAGACAGAATGTCAAAGACTCGCGGTGGACCGCCGAGCCGCAGGTCTTCAATGGACACGCTTGCGACCGAGCAGGCGGGCACTTTGCCTGCGGTTTTTTCTTCGACCCACTGGCGCAGGTCTGAGGATGCGAACGCGAACGCGGGATCACGGGCGAACTCGGTATCACCTACGGGAATGAGCGACTGCCCATCGGCAACATACTGCGTGTCGCCTAAGGTGTAGCGACCGCCCTCGAGAAATAGTGGGGCGACAATCCAGCCATCAGGCTTTTGAGGCAAGGCAGCTTCGATTGCCTCCATCTCTGCTGGGGAAATGTCCGCGCAGGGTCGAATCCAGTCGGCTGACGATCGAAAAGTCCACGCCTGCTTGGCGAGCCGCTTCGCACAGATTCCGAACAATGAATGAATTTACCGCCCTTGCCTGTGATTCGGGCATGGTGCGCGCATTCGTGACCACGAAGAAGGCGCGCGCGTCGGATTCAAGTTCCGTGCGCAGCGCATCCACTGACCAGTCCATAAGGACGGCGATGTTATAGACGCTCTGTGTACCCATCACATCGTCATCAAGGATGACGATCTTCCTGCTGGACTCCTTCAACGCAGCGTCATTGTACGGCAAGGGATCATCGCCCCACTGTCGGCGGCAGGCTGCGGAGTGCGTCTTCAATGTTCAAATGCGGATGCATTGCAGTGCGCTTTCGCGCTACCGTCCGACACTGCGGCCCGGCAGAACGCCGGTGTGCTCGCCGCCATCCACCACCACCGTCCCGTTAACGATGACATATTCGATGCCGATGGGGAACTGCTTGGGTTCAGTGCGCGTGGCAGGCGCTTGCACATTGTTGGGATGAAATATGGTTATGTCCGCCTTCATGCCGTCGCGCAGTATGCCTCGGTCGGACAAGCCAAGCCGCTGCGCGGGGAATGAGGTCATCTTGCGTATCGCTTCCGGCAGTGCCATCTGGTTCTCTTCGCGCACATACTCAGCGAGAATGACGGGGAAGCAGCCGTAAGTGCGCGGGCTGGGGAAATCACCAAGCAGCACTGCGTCGCTCCCGACCATGGATAGCGGGTGGCTCACGAAGGCGGGCAGCGTGTTGCCGTTCGCGCCGTCGGAAACATAGCAGGTCTGCAAGTCCTCTTCGAGCAGCAGATCGCATATCGCATCGACGGGGTGCTGGCCACGCAGGGCTGCGATAGCCTCTATGGACAAGCCCTCATACACATGGTTCTGCGGTCTCTTAAAGTATGTGAGCCACACATTGTCCCAAGATGGACCGCGTGGCTGCATCTCCTGACGAAGGCGTTTGCGTGCATCCTCTGATGCGAGCGCTTCCTTCAGGGGAGCAACCCCACCGTCGTGCGCCCAATCGGGCACCATTATCAGCAGGCGAGTGCTGCCGAAGACATAAGGGTAGCTGTCGAACGTTACATCCTGACCACTCCCTGCGGCATCTTCCACGAGATTGATCAGTCCCTGCCCGCCTCCGGTGCTTGGAGCGCGCTGGTAGAAATGCGTGATGTGAACGGGAATACGGCTGCGCACGCCGATCTCAAGCGCCTCGCGGAAGGGGTCAAGGTATCGGTCGCCGAGACGGTAGCGCACATGAGTATGGTAGAACCCGCCCAGATCTGCAACGAGTTCGCTCAGCGCGACAAGCTCATCCGTATCTGCGTAGCCTCCGGGAGGATAGTCCAGCCCTGTGGATAGCCCGATGGCTCCCTCCTCCATAGCCTCGCGTATGATCGCCTTCATATCCTCGATTTCAGCAGCCGTCGCGGGTCTGTCATCCCAGCCTATGGTGTTTATGCGCACCGGGGAGTTGCCGAGGATATATGCAATATTCACCGCCGTCTTTCTGTCGAACATCTCAAGGTACTGCTCGACGGTTGACCATCTGCCGGGCAGCGGCGGGTCGCCGTCAAGCCCCGCGTTGAGCGCGACGAAGTCTAGGAAGTCATCGTGGCTGTGGAACGGCGCGTAAGAGTTGCCGTCAACGCCGATTAGCTCGGTGGTGATGCCCTGCCGAACTTTCGGATGGTGCTCAGGCTCTGACAGTATGACAAGCCCTGCGTGTGAATGCATGTCGATGAAGCCGGGGGAGACCACATGCTCAGTGGCATCTATCGTGCGCGTGGCTTCAATGCCGCTCAGGTCGCCGCGAAAAATGCGAATCTCGTCCCCTTCGACACCGACCGCGCCGTAGAAGCCCGGGTTGCCGGTGCCGTCGATGATTAGTCCGTTTCTTATGAGCAAGTCGAGCATTGCATTACCTCGCTGCTGGCTGTGATCGATAGGATGCGCCAGTCCGCCTCGTGCCAAGCGCGATGGCTGGTCAGGATTGTACATCGTATGCCATCCCGCGCCAACAAGTCCATCCCAGCTGAAGCATTGTGTGCGCGCAATGACACAGTCTCACTACATTGCATTTGGCAGTATGAGTTTTAGTTTATAACTAAATGGTACACTGATATAATCATCCGCAGCGCGAATCCAAGGGCAAACTGAGTAAAGTGCAGCTCGCCCTGCAGCGCGCAAATATGAAAAGAAACTGCCAGGATAACTTTGAGTGCTAACCCTTCTTCAGGTAAGCGCGTTTCAGTAGTCAGATGGCAACTCGCGAGGTCGCTAAGTAATGCAGGATATAAAGAGTCAGATTGCAGATGTGAGAAGCAGGGATTGCAGAACTACTGGTGCGGCTTTGACCTGCCGGCAGATGAAAAGGAGATAGCCGCGCTGGAAGAGGAGGCATCATCGCCGGGATTCTGGGACGTGTCGGAGGTGGCGCAGCGCAAGATGCAGCGTCTGTCCGACCTGAAGGGTGGAGTAGAGGACTGGCGAACTCTCGACAATCAGGCTGAATCTCTTGAAGAGTTGCTTCTGCTCTCAATTGAGGAGGGTGATGATTCACTACTGGAGACCCTTAGTCAGGAACTCGCGCAGATACTGAGTACGCTAGGTGAGTTGGAGTTCGATCTGACGCTGTCCGGTCCTTATGACGAGCGCAATGCAATCGTGGCACTTCACGCGGGCGCCGGCGGCGTGGGTCGCAGGACTGGGCGAGCATGCTGATGCGGATGTACTTACGGTGGGCGGAGCAGCGCAAATTCAAGCGCGACGTCCTGGACGTGTCGGTGGGCGATGAGGCAGGCATCAAGAGCGCGGTGTTTCAGGTGTCGGGCAGATTCGCTTATGGGTATCTACAGGCGGAACGGGGGGTACATCGGCTTGTGCGGATGTCACCCTTCGACTCCGACCATGCGAGGCACACATCTTTTGCGCTCTTGGAAGTGCTGCCGGAGGTGGAAGAGGGTGTTGATGTAACGATCAACCCTGATGACCTGCGAATTGATGTGTTTCGCGCCGGAGGGCATGGCGGCAGATGTACAGAAGAACTCGACGCCGTGCGGATAACGCACCTTCCTACGGGCATCCGCGTGAGTTGCCAGAACGAGCGCTCGCAGCACCAAAACCGCGAGATTGCGATGCGAATCCTGATGTCGCGTCTGGTGGAGCGCGAGATGGCTGAGAAAGCTCGCCAAATGGCGAAGCTCAAGGGCGATCATGTGTCCCCGGAGTGGGGCAACCAGATTCGGAGCTATGTGCTTCACCCGTACAAGATGGTGAAGGACCACCGTACCGGATATGACACATCAGATGTTGACGCCGTGCTGGATGGCGAACTCGACGATTTAATCAAGGCATGGCTGACGACCAAAATCGGAAATGACGAAAAACCATCCCATTAACTGAGGGGGCATCTCAACCCTGCTCAATGGGAAGAGAAATCTACGCACAGAGGTGTGAGATGAGAAAACTGTTTTTTGATCCCAATACTACGTTGATAGCGATATTGCTCTGGCTTGCGCTCGAGCCAACCTGAAGTCGAAGAGCCTGAAGCGCCTGCGTCTGCGGCCCCAGAGCGAGACGGGCCGAGGCGACACCCACTGCGGAAGCCACGACCGCCCCCGCACAAGCCGCCGCATCGCAGAGCGCCGCAGCAACAAGCATCCCTTTTCAGTCCGCGCCTCCCACGCGGTGCGCCTGCAGTAGCCAGACGTGACACCGCGATGGAAAGGACAAGCCCATGGCGGCGTGATGACGAGACTATTCAGAGAGACCCTCCCACGCTCGACCCGCACAAGACATCCGACACTACATCAGCATTCATAATCGGGGAAGTGTTCAGCGGGCTTGTTACGCTGCAACACGGACCTCAGATTGTGCCGGACATCGCAGATAGATGGGAAATCAGCGGAGGACGGACGGTATATACACTTCCATCTGCTGCCCGATGCCAGATTCGCGACGGCAAGCCTGTAACGGCCACAGGACATTCGTGTATTCGCTTAACACGCGCGTAGACCCCCACTCTGGCTTCCCCGTGCGCGAGAACATACCTCAGCGACATCGTGGGCGCAACTGAGGTGTTGGATGGCGAGGCCACCGAGATAAGCGGTGTCAAGGCTATCGACGATGACACGCTGGAGTTACGATAGACGCACCCAAGGCGTAGCTTCCTTGCCAAGCTCACCTATCCGACTGCATTCGTCGTTGACCGGAGCAACGTCGATCAGGCGGCAGAATTGGACTGACAACCCCAACTCACGGACCGTTCATGCTGAAAGAGTACAAGATTGGCGAGCACCTATCATCTGGAGCGCAACGACAACTTGCTCTATTCTACCGCGAGCCTGCGTATATTGACCATTTGGTGTTCAACCTCGCGGGCGGCCAGCCGATGGCGCTGTACGAGAACGACGAGATAGACATCACGAGCGTGGGCATACTCGATTTGGAGCGGCTTCAGGACCCGAACGAACCTCTCTCCGCCGAGCTGAAAGTTGTGCCGCCGCGCCTCAGTACCTCGTACGTCGGATTCAATGTCAATGAGCCTCCGTTCGACGACGTGCATTTCAGGCGCGCGCTGAACTTCGCCATCGACAAGGAACTCATCGCTAATGAGGTTTATGCGGGCCTGATAGAGCCGGCATACGGCATATTGCCTCCGGGCTTCCCAGGATACACCGACAGTATTGAAGGGCTGAAGTTTGACGAAGAGGCGGCTAAGGCGGAATTAGCGATGTCCAAGTACGCTGATCCGGCGACACGCCCGCGAATCGTGCTCTCGGTGTCCGGCACGGGCGGCGATGTCGGCATAGGTACCCAAGTTATCCTTGAGATGTGGGAGACCACCCTTGGCGTGGAGGTGGAGATACAGCAGGTGGAGTGGGCAACATACCTGCAAGACCTGAACCGGCGCAAGTTCCAGATATTTTTACTGGGCTGGCAAGCAGACTATCCGGACCCGCAGGACTTCCTGGACATATTGTTCCACAGCGAGAGCGAGACCAACCATGGCGCTTACTCGAATCCGGAAGTTGATGCCTTGCTGAAAGCGGCGAACACGGAGCGAGATGGCAGCAAGCGGGTAGCCCTGTACAACCAGGTGGAGCAGATGATTATAGACGATGCCGCGTGGGTGCCGCTGTGGTACGAAGGAGAGGGCCATGTCCTTATCAAGCCACACATCAAGGACTACAGGCTTATGCCTATGACCGTGCCGAAGTTTCGATATGTGTACTTCGATTACGACAACTAGACTTTAAGTGGAATAGTTCCGTTCGTTCTGAGCCTGTCTATGGGCGCAAGGTCCGACAAGTTCACCACGAACGGAACTTTCCTTTGAGCGTTTGATAGGAGGACAAGGATGCGACTCATCTTAGCGGGATGCGAATATACGGGCACAAGCACATTGGCGTTCGCCATGACGACTGGATGGCGGAGAACATCGGGGCGCGGTTTCCGCTGATTCACGACCACTGGAAGTTGCCGCACACTTCTGGCCATCCGCAGCCGGATATGACCGAGGAAGAACGGCAGCAAGTGCTTGCGCTCAGTCCCGTGCTCAGGGAGATGACTCAGCGTCACAGCCTCTACTATCACATACAGGCGAACTCATGGAACGGGCCGGACTGGATGTCTATCGGACTGCACATCGACGACTCGGTGTACAGCCCGATGTACTTCGGATACGGTGCGGATCATCAAGAGCATGACCGCAAGACAGTGTCTCAGCAGGTGGAAGGCTCGATTATACGGTTCGCTCCCGATATGGTGCTGGTGCATGTGAAGGCCTCTGCTGAGGTCATCGCGCAGCGCATGGAGGCGGACCCGCGGAGCATAGCCCGCTGAGCGTGGAGGACATCCCGGAAGTGCTGCGGCGATACGAAGATGCCGTCGCCAACTCCACGCTGCGACACAAGATTACTCTTGACACAAGCGAAGCCACTGTCGAGGAGACGATTGCGGAGTTTGACCGCAAGATTGAGCCGCATCTCAGCGAGGCTGACCGCTCCCGAATTCTGGTGCATCGCAACTGGTAGCGACAGAATATGTGTGTCAGTCAGTCGGTTGACGTGAGTGGATGAACGAACTGCCTGCGTTGCATAACAATGCGCTGCGGGTTATGCTTGCGCTGACCACTGACCCCCTTCCTGGCAGAAGATGGCTTCAGACACACCTGTGAATTGACGGACCGAGGTTTTCCATGTGGGTGTACATAGCGCGGCGTCTGCTTTGGCTCCCTGTGCTGATTATCGCGACCAGCCTGGTTACCTTCACGTTGGTGCGGCTTGGACCGGGAGACCCCGTCGAGGTCGCTCTCTGGTATGCGCTACGAGGAGGCGGCGGCTGAGCAGTTGCGCAAGCAGCTGGGGCTGGATAGGCCTTTTGGTGTGCAGTATGTGACATACATGTGGGGCGTACTGCATGGCGATTTCGGAGAGAGCTACCGCTTCCGCGGTCGTCCCGTGTCGGAGCTGCTTTTCCCGAAAATGTGGGTGTCGTTCCAGGTCAATCTCGCCGCGTTGATTGTGAGCCTGTCGATAGGTCTGCCTCTCGGATTCTTCATCGCTCATCGGCAAGGCACATGGCAAGACCCGGCCGTGGTTACGATTGCGCTAGTTCTGATGTCCATCCCGATCATGATCAGCATACCGCTCACGCTGTGGGGGCTGTGCCTGAAGCTCCAGCTCGTACCGTGCTCCGGGTGGGGCGGCTTCTTCGACCTCCGAATAATAACACCCGCAATTACGCTGGGTATTCCCGGCGTAGCGGGACTGGCGCGATTCATGCGTGCGAGCACTCTCGATGTGCTGGGCCAGGACTTCATACGCACTGCGAAGGCCAAGGGGCTTTCGAGCGTCACCGTAGATGTTCGGCATGTGTTGAAGAACGCCATGATACCCATCGTTACACTTATGGCATTCGTGCTGGCAGGGATGTTCGTTACCAGTTTCATCGTAGAGTTCATACTCGGCATTCCGGGCGTAGGGCACTTCACCATCGACTCCATATTCAATCCGCGACGAGCCAATCATAATGACGATGGGAATCATTGGTTCGTCCGCGTTTGTGCTGGCAAACCTGCTGGCAGATATAGCATACGCATTCATAGACCCACGGATACGGTATCAATAAACAGGTTTAACGATATGTCGGTTAGTCGGTTTCCCAGACAGATTGGTCGCGGTCGCGGATACTCATTTGGCTTTCCGCTGCTGGACAGCTGATTAACCCAGAGGACTCAACTAATGGCGTTGACGGAAGTCGCTGAAGCCGCAGAGATACAGGGCGAACGCAAAGGTCATCTCAGGCGTGCAATGGAGCGCCTGGTGCGCAAGAAGATTGCCATAGTTTGCATGGCGGTGCTCCTGGTCATATATCTTGCGGGCATCTTCGCGCCGCTCATCGCTCCTTATGATTACTCCGAGACCGATTTCACCGCAATCCGCAAACCGCCAAGCTGGGAACACTGGGCAGGCACCGATTTTGGCGGGCGTGATGTGTTCACTCGCGTGCTGTGGGGCATTCAAAACACGGTCATCATTACGCTCGTCGTGATGGCGACGGGTGGTCTGCTAATCGGCATCACTTTGGGGTTGATATCAGGGTACTTCAGCAGTAAAGTTGACGGCCTTATCATGAGGACGGGGGAGTTGTTTGCCTCATTCCCGGACATATTGCTTGTGATAATCCTCGCGTATGCGCTCAGGCCCAGCCTCACAGCATGGGCGCGCTGGGTGGAGGATAACATCGGCATAGACGGCATAGTGCGCTCCGGCGTGGTGGACTATTTCACGGTGTCGCTGGCGCTGGTCTCCTTTGGCTGGGTAGGTATGGCACGCCTTGTCAGAGGACAGGTGCTTGTACTCAAGCAGACGCCGTACGTAGAGGCGGCGCGGGCCGCGGGAGCAGGGACCGCTCGCGTGATGTTCGTTCACCTGCTGCCGAATGTCATCAGCATTATCGTCGTCAGCGTCTCGGCAGGGATGGGTGCGCTAATCGGCACGGAAATAATCCTCAGCTGGCTCGGACTTGGGATACAACCGCCGCGTCCTAGCTTAGGCCAGATGTTGCTGCAAGCAGGCAGTCTCAGTGCGCTGCGTGAAGTGCCGTGGATGCTGATAGCGCCAGGAGCCGTGGCTTGGTCGCTTGTACTTGCGTGGAACCTGCTCGGCGACTCGCTGAATGATGTACTTAACCCGCACACCCGATAGCGGTACGGCATTGAATTTGGAGGCTGAATGCGACGCATCGCAGCGGGAATAGCGCCCTATTTTGTCGTATTCTCGGCGAGCGCGTGCGGACTGATCATCGAGATTGTCGCTTCTCGCCTTCTCGCCCCGATGGTGGGCGTATCGCTTTTCACATGGACCAGCATTATCGGCGTTGTGCTGGCGGGCATCAGCCTCGGCAACTATCTTGGCGGCGTCTTGGCGGACAAATACCCCTCTCCCAAGACGCTTGGCATCATCCTGTTGGGAGCTGGGCTGACCAGCCTTGCGGTCCTGCCGATGCTCGCGCTGGTGTCTGGGCTGTACGACGCGCTACATGTCCTGCCGCGCATCGTGCTCATCACATCCACGCTATTCCTTGTCCCCAGCGTCATCCTGGGAATGGTCACGCCCGTAGTCATCAAGCTCCGGCTGCGAAGCCTCGCACAGACCGGTAATGTAGTCGGCAAGATATACGCCCTTTCCACCGCGGGCAGCATCTTCGGCGTGTTCATCACAGGTTTCGTGCTGATCCAGTGGATTGGGACGCGCCCGATACTGCTTGGGGTTGCCGTGTTCCTGGTTCTCATGGCAATCGTGTTCGGGAGCCTGTGGCGGATGCGGGTCGTTGGCGCCGTAGCGTTGGTACTCTTCGCGGGCATCGCAGGCATGGGCATCGCCGGGGATTCACTCGAATCAGAGTGCCAGGTGGAAAGCAACTACTTCTGCATCAAGGTCAGGGAACGCGAGATAGAAGGTCGGAAGGTGCGAACACTCACGCTGGACAGGCTTATACACAGCTATGTCGATTTGGACGACCCGACTTTCTTCGTATACGGCTATGAGAAGATATTCGCGGACATCTCCACGATGGTCGGGTATTCCAAGCCGCAGTTCAGCGCGCTCTACATCGGCGGTGGCGGCTACTCGATGCCTCGCTTCTTGGAATTGGCTTATCCGGAAAGCCGCCAGGAGGTCATCGAAATTGACCCGGCGGTTACAAGGGTTGCGCACGAATACCTGGGGATGCCGCGCGACACTCGCATCATCACGCACAACCAGGACGCGCGAATGAAGATACCGGAACTGGAACCGGGCACCTATGACATCGTTGTGGGCGATGCATTCAACGACGTATTAGTGCCGTACCATCTTACGACGATGGAGTTCAACGAACAGGTCAAGCGGCTGCTGACGGAAGACGGCATTTATGTTGTGAACGTCGTGGACAAGTTTCACAGCGGAGGCTTCCTGCGCGCCGTAGTTACCACACTGAGGGCATCCTTCCCGCATGTCTATCTGTTTGCGGACAGCAAGGACTTCGAGAGCGACAATCGCTTCACCTTCGTTGTGGCGGGCGCGTTGCAGCCGTTCACCTACGCGGATGTCTTTTTTGCGAGCCATGCCGAGCAGCGCGGCGATCCTGAGCTGGTGTTGATGCCGCAGGACGAACTCGATGACTGGCTCGGTCTCAAGCGAAACATCCTGCTCACGGACGACTATGTGCCGGTGGACAACTTGCTCGCGCCGGTATTTCTGGATATTCCCTAATCGACACCTATGTCGCTGAATATCAGATGCTTTGCAATGTGGCGCAGAATGTATCGCTCCAGTTCTGCGACGAATCCCGCTTAACGACGGACTGAAGACTGCGGTTGCGCCGCCGCCGCTCCCCGACCGGCATCCGGAGCGCGCGGTATGTGGCTTCGGCCGTACCTTCGATGTCGTACGGATTGACGATTACAGCGTCTTTCATCGCGCTTGCAGCGCCTGCGAAGCGGGACAATACCAGCACACCGGGCGAGTCATCGCTTTGCGCCGCCACAAACTCTTTGGCGACGAGGTTCATGCCGTCCCTCAGGGGCGTTACAAGGCAGACATCGGCGTCGTGATAGAAGCCTGCCAGTTCGATTTGGGCGTAGGAGCGGTAGAGGTATCGGATAGGCACCCAGCCGGCCTCGGAGAAGCGTCCGTTAATCTGCCCGACCAGACGCTCGACCTGATCCTTCTCCTGCACATACTCCGGCACGCGGGTTCTCGACGGCGATGAAATCTGGACATACAGAATTTTGCCGCCAAGGTTTGGGTGCCGTTCCAGTAGTCGCTCGAATATGCGGAGGCGATGCGGGATGCCCTTGGTGTAGTCGAGGCGGTCAACTCCGAGAATCAGCTTGCGATCGGGTACGTTCGCCAACGACAGTTCATCGGAGAGGGTGTGCGTATTCCTGTACTCACTCGGCCTGAAAGCATCGGGGTCTATGCCGATTGGGAACACCCCCAGCCGAGCCGTCTTGCCGCGGTAGCAATAGTCGTCGCCGTTCGATTCGCCGCCAAGCTCTACATCCAGAGAATCTATCAGGTTGCGCATGTAGCGTTGCTCGTGCACCCCCACGAGGTCGTATTGCAGCAGCGCTTCCAGCACTTCACCCGCCCAGGGCAGTATGCTGAATACATCCGCCGAAGGGAAGGGCACATGCAGAAAGAAGCCCAACTTGCCCTGCCATCCCAGACGGCGCAGTTCATGTCCAAGGTGGAATAGGTGAAAGTCCTGCACCCATACAAGGTCATCGGATCTCAGAAATGGCAACAGCGCCTGGGCGAAGCGCTGATTGATGCGGCGGTATGCGCGGTAGCTGTCATGACGTATGACAACGCGCATCGGGAAGCTGTGCAGGAGCGGCCATAGCGTTCGGTTCGAAAAACCGAGGTAGTAGAGGCTCACTTCCTCTTCGGACAGGTCCATAGTTGCGAGTTGTATTCGTCCGAAGACCTTGACTGTGGGGCCTGTGGTCACCCTGCGGCGGCTGCTTCTGCCGCTCCAGCCGAACCAAAGTCCCGCCGCTCTGCTCCATCGCGGCTTTCACCGCCGTCACGAGGCCACCCACCGATGCTTCGCCCCTGCCCTGATTCTCGAATGCGGAACTGGGCGGGACGCGATTGGACACCACTATCAATCTGCGGTTCAAAGCCATAGCACACTGTCTTCTCAGTAGGAATTGCCGTTACATCAAACATAACAATAGGGACTGGCATCGTGATGCCAGTCCCTATTGACTATACAGCAACTATGTTTGGCTTGTCTTGCCAATCCTATCAGCGGACTAGAGCATTTCCTTCTTGAAGATCTTGCGATCGAGAGCGTACTTGCCGCCGCCGATTACGCCGATGATGCCTGCGACGATGAACCAGAGTATCGTAACCTCGCCGCCGTGCGCCGCGAAGCCTCCTGGATCAGGATACAGGTGCGGCCAGGGCCATACTGGACTAAGCCGCGCATGTATGCCAAAGTAAGCGACAATCATGGTTACGCATATCGCGCCCGCGCCTAGTCTCGTCAGGATGCCGAACCCGATTAGCAGCGCCGAGATAAGCTCCACCCACCCGGCGATGTCCAAGAGGGCGCCGAGTCCGCCGGGATTCGCTCCAGCGGGAAAGCCCCACAATAGAAACGCCTTCTGGATTCCGTGCAAAAACACCAATATCGCGAAAATGACGCGGAATAGCAGCCAGAACTCGTCCGCGTATCTTTCAAGAATACCGCCAAAAATTCCGGGTTGGGCTTCTTGTTCCTGCATATACGCCTCCGTCCCTTTCGGGCGCTTAAACATAAACCCGCTCAAATGAATTTGAGCGTTCCCAAACATTGGGTGTTCAGTATCTTACGCATATTTGCAGGTGTCAATACTTTTGCTGACATTCGTTTACGAAAATGTAACATGCAGTATTCTAGGCTGGGGTAAGTTTGGCGCTGAGAAGCAGAAACAGGGGCAGAGGTATGCATGTGTTCAGCCGTCAGTGGACGGGGGGCTGACAGGGATGGACGGGATATTCTGTTTAGGGTAAATCGATTAGGCCAGTCTGTCAGGTGGTTCGACAAGCTCACCACGAACGGGGTTCCTCACCACGAACGGGGTTTTTCACCCTCATCGCTTTGGCTAGGGGCTGCGGTTGCGTTCGCGTTCGCGCTTTTTGCGGAGTTCTTCTCTTTCGAGGCGCCTTTCTTCAACAGTATCCGGGGAGTGGTACTGCTGGAGTTTCCAGTCCTTATCAGCCCTGGCTTTCTGCGCCGCTTTCAGGGCTGCCGACTCCGCTGCCCGCTCCATCATCTCCGCCTCACTTGCCCACTGCTCGCGCTGCTCCTCAGTTGGAGGGGTGTGGCTCTGCACGACTTCCGGATGGTCTTCGTCCAGGTCCTTGCAGACGCAGAGGCAGTCGGGGTGGCAGGGAGCGTAGTACATCATGAACTCTGGGTCGGGCTGCGCGGGGTTGTCGAAGCAGAGATGCAATAGCACTTTGGCTGCCTCGATGCGGTCGCGGACTCTTGCGGCAGGCTCGTTGCCCTCGACGACGTCTATGAGGAACTTGACCATGGTTGTGCCGTCGTGGGTGTCCACGCGGATTTGGCGGACGAGCTTCTTGTTGAGTTTTTCGTGTTCCGGGTTTTCTGTGTGTGGGTTCTGTCCGCCGTCAGCACTCGGTACATCAGAGTTCTTAGTCTGCTCGCGCTTGGAACGCGCGGATGTGAGAACTTCTCTTGCGTCCTCGAAGCCGAGTTTTAGGAGCAGTTTTGCTGCTTCCATCTGATGCCAGGGTGTGCAGGCTGGGACATTGCCGTCCATGATGGCGACGATGTTGCGGATGATGCGTCTGCCGCCCTGGGTTTCTTCGAGGACGATGCGCTGGATGCGCTGAAGGGTTTCTATGGGGATGTGCTGCGTATCTGCATCCCGTTGCTTGTGGATAGGTTCAATCATTTGTTCTGATTATAAGGGTGGATGTTTGTGTTGTCAAGGGTGAAAGTCTGTCAGTTTTTCAGTTGGTCAGTCTGTCAGTGGTGGTTCGACAGGATCAGGGCGAACGGGAGTTCACGATGAGCGGAGGGGGGCTAACGGGGTGTACAGGATGGAGAGGATTGGGAAAGGCTTAAGAGTGAGACATTCATTGGAGTCTCAGGGGGAGTCTCAGGGGGAACTTAGATAGGATTCACAGAAATGAGGGAAATGTCCAGGGTCTTTTCGTTATTCTCGTGAACAGTTGAAATGTATAATTTCTTTTGAAGAATCGACCTTGTTCGTAGGCAAGGATTTCAGATTCTTCGTCCGCTTCGCTCCCTCAGAATGACAATGAAAAGACCCTGCTCTGTATATCTTAAAGCCATGATAGCCATGACAGCCGAAAAACACGCCATTTTATGGCGTGTTTTTCAGAGAAGAAACGTGGAACACCCTTGTTCTACGGGTTATCCGGCGGTCAACACAGGGACGCCACAGAATGCTTCGTAGTCGATCAGCTCGGTGATGGTCGGCTCGTCGCCGCAGAGGGGGCAGTTAGGGTTGCGGCGGATTTTGACGGTGCGGAAGGACATATCCAGAGCGTCAATGAGCAGCAACCTACCGGTGAGGGATTCGCCAACGCCCAGTATCAGCTTGGCGGTCTCGGCTGCCTGAATGCTGCCGACCATACCAGGGAGCATACCGAGAACGCCAGCCTCGGCGCAGCTCGGCACTTCACCCGGAGGCGGCGGAGTGGGGAAGAGGCAGCGGTAGCAGCCCTGTCCCGGCATGTACACGGTCGCCTGCCCATCGAACAGCAGGATACTGCCGTCCACGAGTGGCTTATTGCTGAGGTAGGCGGCGTCGTTGACGAGGTAGCGGGCGGGGAAGTTGTCCGCGCCGTTGATGATGATGTCGTACTCAGGGATGATGTCGAAGGCGTTTTCGGAGGTTATAGGCTCTTCGTGAATCTGCACATTCACATCGGGGTTGTACGCCTTGAGGGTCTCATAGGCGGACTTCGCCTTGGGCCTGCCGATGTCGGCGTTCTGGTGCAGGATTTGGCGCTGGAGGTTGGTTACATCAACAGTGTCGAAATCGACGATGCCGATTGTGCCGACGCCCGCAAGTGTGAGATAGATGGATACGGGTGAGCCAAGACCGCCCGCGCCTATTATAAGCACCTTGGAATTGAGCATCTTGCGCTGGCCGACGCTGCCGACCTGGGGCATGATGATGTGCCTGCTGTATCGCTGCACCTGATAGGGTGTTAGGGCTTGGGTTCGTTCTTCGGTCTGGATCATCTGCGGGGGTTCCTCCGTCCTGTGAAACTTGTGGCGGGCGAAGTGTCTAATTCGCGCTGCGCGGGGTTGATGTTGGCTGCCGATTGTTACTCCCAACCTCTCGAATTATAGCACTGGGCAGTATGGGCTTCAACTTGAACTGTGAGCGTCTCCGCGCAGCAGGGCGCGCAGACGGGCGTTTTCGTCCGAAAGGCGCTGTATCTCCTTGTCAGAGGCGCTAAGCCTGTCGAGCAGCTTCAGGATGACCTCGACGCCTGCGAGGTTGACGCCCAGGTCGTCCATGAGTCCGCGGATACGGCGGACGCGCTCGACGTCGGCGCGGGAGAAGACACGCTGGTTGCCGCCGGTGCGGGCCGGCTCGATGAGCCCCTGCCGCTCATAGTAACGCAACGTCTGCGTCTGCACACCTAGCATTCGCGCCGCAACGCTGATTATGAATACCGGTTCGTCGTGAGCAAGAGTTAATTCGTTCTGCTGCATAATGTTAGCCTCGAATGGGTTAGCTTCGCTTGCCGTTCGCAATCCGCAGGCGTTTGAACTCTTCCAGCGACGCCCTTTCGTCGTCGCTGAGCGAGGTCGGCATCTGCGGCTTCACCGTCAGATACAAGTCGCCATTAGCCGACGGCGACTCGCGCATCGGCATGCCGTGCCCCTGAATGCGTATGCGCCTGCCGTCGCCGCTGGCGGACGGGACCTTCAGGGCAAGCCTGCCCTTCAGCGATGTGAACTCGACCTCGCCTCCCAGCAGGGCGTCCTCGAACGGCACCGCGATGTCGGCGTACAGGTCGTCGCCCTCGCGCCTGAAGCGTGTATGGGGCGACAGGCTGACGACGAGAAAGATCTGAATTCCGTCGTCCAGCGATATGTGGACGCGCGAGCCGTTGTCCACCGCCGCAGGGATGCTGACCTCGATGCGCCGCGTGCCGCCATCCTTCGTGGGTACATTGACCATGCGCTTTGTGCCGCGGAACGCCTCTTCAAGCGTGATGGTTACAGGTACATCGTGGTGGTTCGCGCGACCGGGGCGACTGCGCCGCCGCGTGTGCGTGCGAGTGCCTGCTCCGTATGGCGATGCCCCACCGAAGGCGTCGCCGAAGCCACCGAGAAGGTCATCAAGGTCGCCCACGTCGCCGAAGCCGTATTCGACGCGAGTGCCTTGTCTGAAGCCACCACCCTGCGCCTCTATGCGGTCAGCGTGCATCCAGTTGTCGCCATGCCGATTGTATTTAACGCGCTTGTCCGGGTCGGACAGCACTTCGTTGGCTTCGTTAATTTCTTTGAACTTGCGCTCGGCAGACTCGTCGCCGGGATTGAGGTCCGGATGGTACTGCCTTGCCATCTTCCTGAAGGCGCTCCGTATCTCCTTCTCATCCGCGCTGCGTGGTACGCCCAGCACTTCGTAGTAATCTCTTGCCATGCGTGTATCCTTAGTCGTCTGATAAGTTCATTGAATGTATTTTAACATACTTATAGCGTCAGTAAAGCTTAAATTGAAGAACTTGCTATAATTATATTGACACGCTAGCACACACTATCATAATCCATTTAGTCAGTAGTTATGAGTCCATTTGACTCATATCCTGTGGGAAAACCAAATGCCAGACAGGAGGCATTGCAAATATGGTTATGCAGAAGATTGACCCGTTCAGAGAGTTAAGAAAGTTGGACGAGTTGCTCACGCGCGCCTGGCAGGGCGACGGCGATGACCACCTCGAGCGACGCTGGGCGATCCCCATCGACCTGACGCAGGATGGCGACAACTTAGTGCTGCGCGCCACGATACCGGGCGTTGCTCCCGATGAAATCGACGTCACAGTTGAGGATGGTGTGCTGACCATCAACGCGGAGACAACCGCTTCTGATGACTCATCGTTCATCATCCGGGAGCGCAGGGCAGGCAAGCTGTACCGCGCGCTGCGCCTGCCGAACACCTTTGACGTAAGCAAAGCGGACACCCAGTATCAGAATGGCGTCCTCACATTGACCTTCCCTAAGGTTGAGGCGGTCAAGGCGCGACGCCTGGAGATTAAGGAAGGCTAATCTCTTCAAGCGCAGTAGATAAGCGCTAGCCGGGCGCTCGGTGAAATGCCGCCGGGAGTCCGGCTCTTTTTGGGCAAGGTTATATTTGTGCAAAGTTGTATCTGCGCCAGTATGTATCTGTATAAGTGGCAGGGCATTGCTGATATAATGCGCTTGTCTCGGCGTTCACGAGTTAGGGGCATAAGCATGACGATGAAAATATACACCAAGTCGGGGGATGCGGGGGAGACGGGTCTGCTGTTCGGCGGTCGCGTGCCGAAGAACGACCCACGCTGCGTGGCATACGGCGAGGCCGACTTTGCCACATCCGCGATGGGACTTGCGCGCGCGCTGTCCCAGGATGCCCGAGTGCAAGAGATTCTGCTTCAGGTGCAGCGCGAGATGTTCACTCTGAGCGGCGAACTTGCCACAGACATCGAGAACTACGAGCATTACAAGTCCAACTTCCACGCCATTACTGCGGAGAATGTGGATCGTCTGGAGACGCTGATAGACGAGCTGAGCGCGCAGGTGGAACTGCCGCCCAAGTTCATAATCCCCGGGGCATCTGCGGCGTCCGGCGCGTTGGACTTGGCAAGGAGCGCGCTGCGGGCGGCTGAGCGCAGCATTGTGGGGCTGGATCAGCAGGACTTACTGCCGAATATAGAGCTGCTGCGCTATGTGAACCGCCTTGCCGACCTGCTATTTATGCTTGCCCGCTTCGAGGATAGGGCGCTTCCGATGGACATCGTGACCGGGACTCGGCTGGATGAGGGGTAGAAGCCGATGCAGCCGAGCATAGCGCCTAGTATAGCAATAATAGACTACAAGGCCGGAAACCTCCGCAGCGTGCAGAAGGCGCTGGAAGAGTGCGGAGCGTCAGCGCGAATTACGGCGGACGCAAAGGACATAATCGCCGCTGACGGCGTTGTTTTTCCGGGGCAGGGCGCGTGCGACGCCTCCATGCTCAGCATCCGCGAGCGCGGCCTCTTCGAAATCATCAGGCATTCGATTGACAGCGGCAAGCCCTTTCTGGGCGTATGCCTTGGGCTACAACTCCTGCTGGAGTCCTCGGAGGAGGGCGAGGAGCCATGCCTTGCGATCCTGAAGGGCAGCACGAAGCGTCTGCCTCCCGAAAAAACGGATCAGGTCGGCCTCAAGATTCCGCACATGGGCTGGAACAGCGTCTCCCTGTCGGTTCAGCACCCAGTTTTCGAGGGAATTCCGAACGACTCCTACTTCTACTTCGTGCATAGCTACTATGCCGACCCCGAGGACAAGGACATAGTCGCGGGCGTCACGAACTACGGCATTGACTTCTGCAGTGCGGTCGCATGGGACAATGTGGCAGCCGTGCAGTTCCACCCGGAGAAGAGCGGCGCGGTCGGGCTGCGGCTGTACCGCAATTTCTTGACACTCGTTGATGCGAACAGGAAGGCAGCGGCATGGAGGTAATCCCGGCAATAGACCTGCGCGGCGGCAAGTGCGTCAGGCTGTACCAGGGCGACTACGCGCAGGAGACGGTCTATTCCGACGACCCGCTTGAAACCGCGCTGCGCTGGGTGGACATGGGCGCCACCAGGCTGCACATCGTTGACCTTGATGGCGCACGCGACGGGAGCCCGGCGAACTTGGCAGCCGTAGAGCGCATATCATCTGCTGCGGGCGTTCCCGTTCATCTGGGAGGCGGTATCCGCGACCTCAATACCGCGCGCACGGCGATTGACTCGGGTGTCAGCAGAATTATGCTGGGTACGGCAGCGGTTGAGGATGCAGACCTGATTAGCACGCTGCTGAGCGAAATCGGGAACGAGCGAGTGATAGTGAGCGTTGATGCAAAAGATGGACGCGTAGCGCTCCACGGCTGGTTGCAGGGCAGCGACGCGCTCGCAACCGACCTCGTGGCAGACATGGCAGCGCTGGGCGTAAAGCGATTCCTGTACACGGATATATCTCGCGATGGCACGCTGACCGAGCCGAACTTCGATGGCGTCAGCGCGCTCGTCAACCAGGGCAACATACGGCTGATTGCGGCTGGTGGCATTGCAACCGTGGCGCATCTGCAACGGCTTGCGAGACCTTGGCGCTGAAGCTGCGATCGTCGGCAGGGCAATATACACGGGCGACATCGACTGCGCGAGGCGATTGCGGCTATCAGCAATTGAGGAATGTGAGCAAGGCTTGGCTCCGTGTCATCCATGTCCGCGTATGAATCGAGGCGTAACATAACGGCCGGTGGGCGCGTCCGGCAGTTGACCAAGCATTGCTCTGATAGAATGATGGAATACGATATTGTAGAGGAGCAGGTGGCGCATACGCTGGATAATTGGGCATTGCGAGGTATTGACAACACGCCGGACAGGGAACCAACCTATGTACACTTCGCTTACATCCCTGAGCATGACAAAGTGTTGAAAGTGGTCACATCCATAGATGATGAAAGAATTGTTACGACGCACTTTCATACACAGGCAACCAAAGCCTTCAAGAGAGGTGACCACAACTATTTTGTTGATAAGTACCAGGACTTGGAGCAAGGAAATGAAAGTTACTTATGAAAAGCAAGACGATCTTTTAGACCTTTCTTATGGTGGACAGATGACCACTGGAGCATCAATCGAAGATGACACTGGCGTCGTGGTGCATTTGGGGACGGATGGCGGATGCGACATAGTGGCCGTAACCATTATGGGGGCTGCGTCTTGGTTCAACAAAGGCTTTGATGAAGCGTCAGATAAATGGCTGATTGGCGATACGACCGACGACCTTGAAATGGTAACAATAAATGGCGACTTTGTGGGTTATTGGCAGCCGGATAGGTACGATCCTAATGAAGTCCCCGACCCTATCGGCGTTGAAATTAAACATGTGGCAAAGCATGTGCCTGCCCGTATCCGCAAGGCGTTGCGGAACGCTTACCAAGGTGTTGTGAACTCCGACGAGGGGTCTGGTATAGAAGGCGAGGCGCTGTCGGTCGAGCGCCACTAAGCGCATCACAAGCAAACGGAGCTTGGACAGAAAATGCTGACAAAGCGGATAATTCCGTGCTTGGACATCGACAAAGGCAGAGTCGTCAAGGGCGTTAGTTTCGTGAACATACGAGACGCCGGCGATCCCGCGGATCTCGCGCGCTTCTACGATAAGCAGGGAGCCGACGAGCTGGTCTTCCTTGACATCACCGCAAGCTCAGACGACCGCGACATCATTGTTGACGTGGTGAAGCAGGTGTCGGAAGAGGTGTTCATACCTCTGACGGTGGGCGGCGGGTTGCGCAACGTAGCGGATGTGCGCCGCATGCTGGAAGCTGGAGCGGACAAGGCGTCGCTCAACACGGCCGCCGTCAGCGATCCCGCCCTCGTAGCGGAGGCATCAGCATTCTTCGGCGCGCAGTGCATCGTGGTGGCTATCGACGCAAAGCGTGTCACACCCGAAGACGAGATAGGTGAAGTCAACTTTCAGGTTGCGAAGGGTCTAACAGAAGAAGTCGCCAACGACATCGCGCTCGATGAGCATTCGGGCTGGCAGGTGTATGTGCATGGCGGGCGCACGCCAATGGGCATCGACGCCGTGAAGTGGGCTGGGAAGGTAGCTGAGCTTGGAGCCGGCGAACTGCTGGTCACCAGCATGGACACTGACGGTCAGCAGACGGGCTACGACCTCGAACTGCTACGCGCCATATCCGAGAGCGTCACGATACCGCTGATCGCAAGCGGTGGCGCGGGCGAACCGCATCATCTCTATGACGCGCTCGCCGAGGGCAAAGCCGATGCGGTGCTTGCCGCGAGTATTTTCCACTACGGCACATACCCGATTCCTGTGGTCAAGGAATATCTGTCTGGCAGAGATATACCTATTCGACCCAGTATCGTTGCGGATTAAGAATTAAGCTAGGTGAATGACATGGCAGAAGTAAAATTGGACGAAAAGGGCTTGGTGCCCGCAATCGCGCAGAATGTGAACACCGGCGAAGTGCTGATGCTGGGGTACATGAACCCCGGCTCACTCAAGCGCACGATGGAAGGCGGCGAAGTCTGGTTCTTCAGCCGCAGCCGCTCGGACCTGTGGCACAAGGGCGAGGTCTCGGGCAACTACATGCGCGTGAAATCCGCAGCGGTAGATTGCGACGGTGACACGCTGATCTTGCAGGTAGAGCCTGACGGGCCCATCTGCCATACGGGCGAATCCAACTGCTTCTTCACGCCAATTGAAGATTTCCCGGAGTTTTACCGCGAGGACACGGGTCCCGGCGTCCTGGAGGACCTCTTCGCCACGATTCAGGACCGCAAGCAAGCCATGCCGCAGGGGAGCTACACTACCAGCTTATTCGAGGGTGGCGCTGCCCGTATCGCGCAAAAGGTGATAGAGGAGGCGGGGGAAGCAGCGATTGCGGGCGTCAAAGGCGATGGAGAACAGGTCGCTGAAGAAATGGCGGACTTGTTCTACCACGCGCTGGTGCTGTTGTCGGCGTCAGGAGCGAGACCCGAAGATGTATGGGAAGTGCTGCGAGAGCGCGCCGGATAGGCTTGCGTGCGCGAATAACCCAACAAGACTGGTCTCCGCTTTGCTTTGTGCAAAGGAATTGCAGTCGTTACAGTGAAGACTCTGCAAGTTCTGGAGCGCTGTCCGCTGCCTGCGCCTGCTCCATGGCTGTGATTGCGATTTCGATCTGGTCGTCGTCAGGCTGCCGAGTGGTGAGCGACTGAAGCGCGAGGCTTGGAGCAGTAATAAGGCCTACTAGCGGATTGCCGGCGTGGCGTCCGCTAAAGCGTATGACTTCGTAGCTCACCGCTGCTATGAACGGGACCAGTACGACTCGCGACACGATCAGCCACCAGAAGGGTTCGCGCCCGACGAAGATGAAGGCGACGATCGCCACCACCATCACGACCAGCAGGAACGCCGTGCCGCAGCGCGGGTGCGCGGTCGGGTACTTGCGGATGTGCTCCACTTCCAGCGGGTCCCCGCGCTCCTGCGCGTGAACGGTCATGTGCTCCGCGCCGTGATACATGAACACGCGCCTTATGTCGTCCATGCGGCTTATCAGCAGGATGTAGCCTAGAAACAGCGCGAGCCGAATGATACCTTCCGCGATGTTCGCCAAGAGACTCGAGCCTAGCAGCCCTTCCAGCCGGTCGCTTGCAAGCACTGGCACCAGGAAGAAGATACCAATGGCGATGCTCAACGATACCAGCATCATGACTGCCATCGAACCTTTGCCGATTTCCTCGCCTTCGGCTTCAGCCGCAACATTGGCGGAGTAGCTCAGCGCGCGCATGCCGAGCGTCAGAGTCTCCGCCATCGCAATGACGCCGCGCACTAGGGGCGTGCGCCGCAGCCTGCCCGTGAAAAGCGGCGTGAGCGGGTGGCACATCGTCGCAATGCTGCCGTCGGGACGGCGCACCGCGACGGCGATGTTGCGCTGTCCTCGAATCATCACACCTTCAATGACGGCCTGGCCGCCGTAGGTAGGCGTCTGGTCTGTGCTCATTATTCCCCTATGATAACGAAAAGCAGGGGTGAGCGTACCCACCCCTGCGAATGATGTGCTGCGTCTTTCCGATACCTTGTGTTACTGCTGCTGCAAGTTGAACCGGCGCATCAGGCGCTCCACACGCCCCTCAGTGTCGATGATGCGCTGCTCCCCTGTGAAAAACGGGTGGCACTTATTGCATATCTCCACCCGAAAATTGGGCTTCGTCGAGCCGGTTGTGTAAATCGAACCGCAGGAACATACCGCCTGCGCTTCGGGATAGTATGTCGGATGAATGTCCGGTTTCACTTCGCTATTTCCTCCATCGGTTACGCCGAATTAGGCGTACACGCTCGCGCGCTTCTTGTCGCGGGTCTTATGCTCGAACTTGACCTTGCCGTCAATGAGAGCGTAAAGCGTGTGGTCTCTACCCAGGCCGACGTTGTTGCCGGGATGGATGCGAGTGCCGACGCTGCCGCACAATGATGGTGCCTGCCGTAACTAACTCAGTGTCATAGCGCTTCACGCCGAGCCTCTTGGAATTACTGTCTCGTCCGTTGCGTGTGCTGCCGCCGCCTTTCTTATGTGCCATCTCACTTACCCCTTAATCCTTGTTATATGAAATGTCGGTCACGCGCAGTTCGGTGAAGTTCTGTCGGTGACCCTGCTTCCTGCGGTAGCGAGTCTTCGCCTTGTACTTGAAGACGATGACCTTCTTGCCCCGTCCTTGTGCCACGACCTCAGCCGTAACCTTCGCGCCATCAACGTTGGGCGCGCCGACGGTTACCCCTCCATCGTCGTCCGACAGTAGGCGCACATCTTCAAGCTCAATCAGGTCGCCCTGATCTCCGGGCAAGGATTCCACGCGCACCGTGTCGCCGGGCTCCACCCGGTACTGCTTGCCGCCTGTGTTCACTATTGCATACATGGTATTCTCACGATGGTCTCTGTGATGAAATCAATCTTAGTTACAAATAAGTATTGTATGTCCGAGTTGACGCTCGGTCAAGTGTTAGAAGACGCCAATAGGTTCAGCATAGTTCAAGGCAAACACCTTGTCAGGCCGCCATTGCCGCAGTTCGGCGTCGAAAATCACAATCGCAAGAAAGCGCCCGTCGGTTGTATAGACGCGGCAGCGTTCCCCGGACTGCGCTTGCGAAGACGTGCCCCCTTCGGTGAACGCGCGGCCGTTGCGTATCATTTCCTCGAGGCGGTTGCCCACGATCAGGGCGCGCATTTCACCCAGAACCGCATCCGGCGAATGGATGACTTCACGCCAGCTCCCGTCGGCGAAGCGCTCCTCGGCTTCATCGAGGGACAGAGCATCCGAGACCGTGAATATGCCGCTTCTCAGGCGGGCAAGCGTCTTCAGATGACCGCCGCAGCCCAATGCCTGCCCGAGGTCGTACGCAAGGGAGCGCATGTAAAAGCCCTTGCCGCAGTCCACCTGAAGCGTTGCCACAGGGGGCGCCCAGTCCTTCAGGGCGATGTCATGCACCACAACGGAGCGGGGTTCGCGCTCGACCTCGACGCCGGCTCGCGCCAAGTCGTAAAGACGCTTGCCATCACGCTTAAGCGCGCTGTACATTGGCGGCACCTGTTGGATCTCTCCGGCAAACGCCGAGACTGCGCGCTCCACATCGCCAGGAGTAATGCCGGAAGTGTCGCCCCGTTCAGTTATCTCGCCAAGCGCGTCGTATGTGTCCGTAGATGCACCTAGCTCAACGGCTGCGAGATAGGTCTTGGAGCCTCCAACCACATTCTCCATCAGGCGCGTCGCCTGCCCAAAGCAAATCGGTAAGACGCCCGTGGCGATTGGATCAAGCGTGCCGCCGTGACCTACACGCCGCTGCCCTGATGCTCGCTTCAGGCGGCGCACGACATCCATCGAAGTTATGCCATACGGCTTGTCGATGTTCAGGATGCCATCAATTCTCGGCTGTTGCGAATTCGCCATCAGCTAATCTCTTCTTCAGAGATGTCCCTCGGCGCATTGCGGCTGATCAGATCGAGAATTTCGGTGCCCTGCTCTATTGATTCGTCGAGTTCAAACGACAGGACAGGAGCGAACTTGAGCTTCAGGTTGCGCTTCATAGTGCGATGAATGAATCCCCCCGCGCTCTCCATGGCGGCGAGCACATTCTGCTTGGTATTTTCGTCGCCCAGCACGCTGAAATAGACCTTGGCGCGTCGAAGATCAGATGATGTACGCACTTCTGTAATGCTTATGAGGGTCGACAGGCGAGGATCGTTCATCTCGACAGCCATGATTTGGCTGATCTCTTGGCGCACGAGCATATTGACGCGTTCAATCCGACGAGACATGCGGGGACCTCAACCTTTGGTTGCAAGTGGTATCTACTGAGAGTGCTCGCCCTCACCGTAGCCCCCAATTGGGAAGCGGTTTACGGGGAGGGTGATAAACTCAGCTAGCGAACGCGCTCCGAGCGGTGAGCCTCAAGAATGTCGCCTTCTTCAAAACCGTTGAAGCCTTCGAGCATCAGACCGCCCTCGAAGCCGATATTGACCTCGCGCACATCGTCCTTAAAGTGCTTGAGGCTGGAGATTGAGCCCTTGTAGATATTCTGCCCGCCGCGCAGCACATGTATCGTAGAACTCCGCTGGATTTGGCCGTCATTCACATAGAAGCCTGCGACCTTAAAGCGTCTGCCCACACCGAAGATAGCTCGGATGGTGGCATGCCCCTCAGTTACATCCCTGTAAACGGGTTCGAGCAGGCCCGTGAGCGCGAGTTCCACATCCTCAAGAAGGTTATAGATGATATTGTAATGGCGAATCTCTACGCCTTCCTGATTGGCGAGTGCCATCGCGCCCTGCCCCGGCTCGGTGTTGAAGCCAACGATGATCGCCTTAGACGCCATCCCAAGCAGCACATCGCTCTCGGTGATTGCGCCGCTCGCAATATGAACAATGTTGACTCTGCTCTGCTCTGTGTTCAGCCCGTTCAGCGCGCCCTTGACAGCCTCGACGGTGCCCTGCACGTCGGTCTTGATTATCAGGTTGAGCGCCTTGACTTCACCCGCGGCGATGCGAGTATGCACATCTTCCATGGTTGGACCTGCGGCTCGCTTAATCTCTGACTGGCGAATACGTGCCTCGGCAAGCTGACGCGCGGATCGCTCGTCCTTGGCGACCTCCAGGATGTCGCCCGCCTCAGGTACGCCTCTGATGCCCAGAATCTCGACGGGCTGCGAGGGAGTAGCCGTTTCCACGGGCTCCCCGCTGTCCGCTTGCATCGCGCGAATGCGCCCACGAAGATTACCGACGACGATATTGTCCCCGACATGCAGCTTTCCGGCTTGCACCAGAACGGTTGCGACTGTTCCTCGGCTGCGGTCTATTCGAGCCTCGACAACTACACCCCTGGCTTGCCTGCCGACATTAGCCTTAAGCTCGCTGACCTCTGCGACGATCGCAAGGTTGTCAAGCAGGTCATTCACGCCGTCGCCCGTTAGCGCCGACACGGGCAGCGCGATGACATCACCGCCCCAATCTTCGACGAGTAGGTTGCGCTCAGCAAGCTGGCGCTTCACACGCTCAGGATCGGCTTCGGGCCGGTCAACCTTGTTTATTGCTACGACGATGGGAACCTCCGCAGCCTTCACATGGTTGATCGCCTCCTCGGTCTGCGGCATGATGCCGTCGTCCGCGGCAATGACAAGTACCGCGATGTCGGTCACTTGCGCTCCCCCGCGCGCGCATCGCCGTGAACGCTTCGTGCCCCGGCGTGTCCAGGAACGTGATCAGATTGCCGTCGTAGGTAACCTGATACGCGCCTATGTGCTGCGTAATGCCACCTGCTTCGCCATCTACGACGTTGGTCTTGCGGATTGTGTCCAGCAAGGTCGTCTTGCCGTGGTCAACGTGTCCCAGGATGGTAACGACAGGAGGACGATCTTCGAGCAAGGCGGGATCGACGTCATCAGTTGACGGTACAATGGAACCTGCGCCGCTCTCTGCTTCGAGGGGCAGAACTTCAAATCCGAATGACGGTGCAATCCCCACAACCAGGTCGTGTCCGACAACCTCGTTGATCGAGAACATATAGCCACCGCGCATGAACTCCTTGATAACCTCAACAGGAGTTGTCTCCATCAGCTCAGCAAGGTCATGCACAGCTATAGCAAGTGGAACCTCCAGCGGTTCCAGCTCGTAGTCGTCATCGTAATAGTCTTCGTACTCGTCCTGCCCGGAAGTGCCGTTGTACTGGTCCTGCAACTCCGTGGCGTTTGTTCTGTTAGTCATAGGCACCCCCTAAAATGCGCCTTCTTAGGACTGGCGCTTGGATCTCGTCAGCCCGCCGGCGAGTCAAAATGTGACTGCATATCTGCCAGGACTTCGCACCACTGAGCGTCGGCAATGCCTGTGCGAAGTGTATGTTCCAGCCGACCTTTTCTGATGTTTTCGGAGCTGTCGGCGCAGGTTGAGCACACATAAGCCCCCCTGCCGGAGAGCTTTCCGCCTGCGTCAAATACGATGCCCCCGTCGGGCTTGGCAACGATGCGCAGCAACTCTCTTTTAGCCGTTTTGGTCCTGCAAGCAACGCAGCTCCGCAGCGGAACATGTCGCCTTCTGGCATTCATCTACTAGCGTCGCCTCTTGCCTGCCTTACGCCGCCTTCCGCCACCGCCTCGTGCATTTGCATTTGCTCCGCCGGGGGGCCTGAGGGTCGTCTCGCCTTCGGCCGCGGCGTGATGCGGTTACCCCACCACGCAATCCGGCGATGTCCTCCGCGAAGCGTATGCGGCCCGGCGCGTCTGCGTCCGACTGTACGGGTCTGCGAACGCGAGCGCGCCGCACCTGCCAGATATCCTCCGGCAAGTCCCGCAGAGAAGTCACCTGTTCCTCTTTTGCCGCCTGGACACTCTCCAAAACGGGCTCAGGGATCGGTAGAGGCTCTACTGCCTCGACGGCCGCCTCCGGCTCCGCGACGACTTCCACTTCAGCGACGGGTTCGGCAAGTTCAGTCTCAACTGCGTCATCCGTAACAGCGGCATCCACGGGTTGAAGCTCGGCTGCCACCGGCACGGCATCTTCGACAACTTCCGTCAATCCAACCGCAATCGCCTCATCCGCAATCGCTTCTACGGCGACGGAGTCTGCCACGATGGTCTCTGCCATCTGGTCAACTTCAGCAGCAATCGGAACGGGCTCAGCCTCCACTTCCACATCGCTGGGCGCAGATTCGGGTTCAACCGCAACTTCCTCTGCGGCAACAGCTGCGGCTGCCTGCGCTTCTTCGATCTCAGCCTCCGCGGCTGCGATAGCGGCGGCAGCGGCCCTGGCTTCTTCTTGAAGCCTGGTGCGCTCCTGAAATTCGACCTGGTACTCGACGTCGCTCTTGATATCCACTTTCCAGCCGGTCAATCGAGCGGCGAGTCTGGCGTTCTGGCCTTCCCGTCCGATTGCGAGGGAAAGTTGCCTATCAGGTACAACTGCCATTGCAGTTCCGTCGTCAAGGTTCAGTTCTACTTTCATCACCTGCGCAGGACTGAGCGCATTGGCAATAAAAATGGGAACTTCCTTGTTCCACTCCACGACATCAATTTTCTCGCCGTGCAGTTCGTTGACGATGTTCTGTATTCGTACACCGCGTAGCCCCACGCATGAGCCGACAGGGTCCACGCCGTCTTGACGGGCGCGCACGGCAACCTTGCTGCGCGAACCGGGTTCCCTTGCGATCGCTTCAATTTCAACCGCACCGGTGAAAATCTCAGGCACTTCCATTTCGAAAAGCCGCCTGAGCAGCGTGTTATCAGCGCGGGAGACAATAAGCTCTGGTCCCCTAAGGGTGCGCTCCACTGACTTGAGAAGCACGCGCATCTTGGTATTGCTGCGATAGCGCTCAGATGGCACCTGCTCGCTGATGGGCATAATGGCTTCGGATCGCCCCAGGTCAACCGTAATGTGGCGCGGCTCAATCTTCTGGAGCGTAACCAGGAAGACCTCGCCCTCTTTGTCCTCGAATTGCTTGAACACGATCTCCCGCTCTGCGTCGCGTAGTCGCTGCATCACCACCTGCTTGGCAGTTTGCGCTGCAATGCGGCCCGGAATGTGCGGCAGGCTTTCTGTGGTGATGACATCACCAATTTCAGCGTCCTGAACAATTTCCTGGGCGTCCGGCAGCGTAATCTCCGCCTTGTCATTGATGACATCGTCCACGACGGTCTTCAGGATATTCACCGTTACATCACCTGAGCCGGGATCCAGCTTCACGGTGATGTTCTGACCATCGGCGATGCTGTCCTTCCTGTAGGCTGAGACCAACGCATCTTCAATGGCGGAAAGCACAGTCTCTTTGGGAAGGCCGCGCTCTGCGGCGAGCTGTGTTAAGGCGACGATAAAATCGCTCTTCATACTGCAACCACCTCCTGATACCGCTTTTCGTCAGTCCCATGTAACAAAGAAAGTGGGACTAGCCCACTTCCCACAAAGCACATATTCCGCGCCCGCCGATGCACAAGGCTCTCGACAAGTCTTTCGTGTTGCAGTATAGCATTTGCCGCCTTGATAAACAACCTCCATAGCCGCGCCGCAAGATGACTCCGCGGATTCTCCACAGCGGGCCAAAAGCCGAATTACTTGAGAATTCCCTGTCTCGCCGCGCCACTTCTTCGTGATAAGATATTTGCATGGCTCCATTAAACTACGACGGTCGCACTTTGCAATCCACTGTTGGCAGAAGCATATTTGACTATGCTGACGCCCTAAGCGTGCGCGTGCCCACATCTTGCGGCAGAACGGGAGAGTGCCACGAGTGCATCGTCGAGATCAAGCGCGGCATCGACGCGCTCTCCCCTCTTACGGAAGCGGAGGCGTTCCTGCGGGAGGACTACCGACTCGCGTGCCAGGCGACCATCGTTGATGCCGATACGGATGTAGAGTTCGCGGTGCTGCGCCGCCAGCCGCGAATTCTGACGCGCTCAGTGCGCCGCGACATTGATATAGATCCCCTGACTCGGCGCATCGGTGACGGCGTGTTCTTCGGCGACACGCGCATTGACGACTATCGCGGGCAGGTGTACGGTGTCGCGATTGATGTTGGCACCACAACCGTCGTGCTGAATCTGCTCGATCTCGAGTCCGGAGATATACTGGGCACCGCGTCGTTCGAGAACCCTCAGCGATTCGGCGGCAGCGACATAATGCACCGCATCTCTTATGACGGCGGTGACTATCCGGGCGAATTGCAACAGGTAATGCTTTCTGCCGTCAACTTCGAGATAGGCGACCTCTGCCGACGACTGAAGTTTCATCGCAGGCGCATCTATGAAATAGTCGTAGTCGGCAATTCCACCATGCGCGATATATTCTTCGGCTTCGATGTGCAGCCGATAGGTGAGCGTCCCTACAAATCGCTCACAGAACTCGAAATGCTTGATGGCAGGCGCGAGACGACGGCGCTCAATGTAAAGGCGTCTGACATCGGACTGCGCGTCTTCCCCAATGCGAATGTGTACGGCGGGCCCCTCATCGGCTCGCATGTGGGCGCGGATGTCGCCGCCGACATGCTTGCGGTCGGAATAGATGAGGAAGAAGAAGTCGTGATGCTGGTGGATGTGGGCACGAACACAGAGGTGGTGCTGGGCAACAGGCACCGGCTCATGTCCGCTTCGTGTCCGGCGGGTCCCGCATTTGAAGGAGGTCAGGTGCGCTACGGCATGCCCGGCTATGACGGTGCGGTCGAAAGCGTAGCTCTCAGTGAAGACAATGTCGCCTATCGCACCATCAGCGATGCCCCACCGCAGGGAATCTGCGGCTCTGGGCTAGTGGATTTACTGTCCGAGCTGCGGCGCACCGGCAAAATGAACGAATTGGGCGCGTTCAATAACGGTGACCGCGAATTCCCCTTCGTGCCGGATACCGGAATGTCGCTGTCACGTGCCGACATCAGCGCCCTTGCTCAGGCGAAATCTGCCAACTATTCCGGACAGTACATTGTGCTGCGAAACTATGGTGTCCCACTTGAGGGCATCTCGAAGTTGTATTTAGCGGGCGGTTTTGCAAACTACATCAATGTGGCAAACGCGGTCAACATCGGCTTCGTCGCAAATCTCCCGGAAGAGCGAATCGTCAAAGTGGGCAACGCATCGCTCGAAGGAGCGACAATAATGCTGCTCTCCGGCAAGCTGCGCGCCCGCATGGAGCAGTTGGTGCAGTCAATACAGCATATTGAGTTGGAGACGACGCCCGATTTCTTCGACATTTTCGTGGAGGGATGCATGTTCAATCCGATGGAAGTCGCCGCTTTCGAGTGATAGAATCTTTGTAATTCTGCGAACAAAGCGGTATGCGGTTGATGGACATCTATGAGTTTATCTGGCAGTCTCATGTGATAGACAAGCTACTGGTCAAGCATCATGTCTCGGATGTTGAAGTAGAGGAAGTATTTTATAATGAGCGCCCTGTTTATCACTTCATCGAGCGAGGTGAGAGGCGTAATCAAGATGTGTACTCCATTAGTGGACGAACCTATGCGGGGCGCTACTTGATAGTTTTCTTCATACGCAAACCGCGCAATGTTGCTCTCATACTCAGCGCTAGGGACATGATCAGGTCAGAAAGGAGGCTCTATGAAAGACGACGATAGGCAGATTACCAGCATCTCAAAAGCGAGAACGCTAGAGGAAATAGCTGAGTTCTGGGACACTCATAGCATCGCCGATTATGAGGATCAAATATACGAGGTGGAGTTTGAGGTAAGGTAAGCGGCGTAGGTGGGTGCCTGTCACTCGCGAGATGTATCATCGTATCGAGAACGAGGCTCAGAAACGTGGAGTCGCTGCCGAGAAGCTGGTCATGCATGGCTGGAGGACTGTCTGCAGCAAGCAAGATAACTACCGTTATCCGCGAAATAGGAGAGGTCATGCCTTTCAAAGTTCTCGTAACCGATATGTCTGGCCTTCGGTCGAACCGGAGCGCGCAGTTCTGGCGAAGATCGGCGCTGAGCTGTCGTAGACACCCGACGGCGAAGAAGACACCCTCGCCGCGCTTGCAAAAGATGTTGACGGCATACTGACCTGCTTCGCGCAGGTTACGGACAAGGTTGTGCGCGCCGCGGAGAATTGCGTCGTCATCGGACGCTACGGCGTAGGTGTCGACAACATCGCGGTGGACACCGCAACCGAGCTTGGTATCGCCGTCACCTACGTCCCCGACTACTGCGTAGATGAAGTATCCGACCATGTTATGGGGCTGCTGCTCGACTGGAATCGCCGCATATCCCTCTTCGACAACTCGGTCAAGGGCGCGGGCTGGGGCAGCGTACCGCTTACGATGCGAATTATGCGGCTGCGCGGCAAGAAACTAGGCGTTGTTGGCCTCGGCAGGATAGGCAGGGCCGTGTGCGCGAAGGCGCTGGCGTTCGGCTTCGATGTCCTGACCTACGATCCTTACATCTCCGCTGAGCAGGCATCCGAGGCGGGCGCCCGCTCCGTCGACATGGAAACGCTCCTACGGGAATCAGACTTCGTTACGCTCCACTCCCCGCTGACGCCGGATACCGAGAACCTCATCGGCGAGGCGGAGCTGGCTCTCATGAAAGACGACTCCTTCCTGATTAACTGCGCTCGCGGCCCGCTGATCGACGAGGAAGCCCTATACGCCGCCCTTCAGTCCGGCAGCATCGGCGGCGCTGGGCTGGATGTGCTGGTGGACGCCCATCCGTCGCCGGACTACAGGCTGCTGAAGCTGGACAATGTGCTTGTCACTCCGCATGTAGCATTCTTCTCGCAGGAAGCTGTCCTGGAACTCGAAGAGCGCGCTGCCGGAGAAGTTGCCTCTGTTCTGCAGGGGCAGATGCCCGACAACCTCGTGAACACCGCCGTGCTTACTCACCCCAATCCGAGGCACGGCCTGTCGGCCTAGTTCCGCCCAAACCACAATATCTGCCAAGGCCACAATAAATGAACAATTTCTGTCTCATAAACTAGTTGTTAGACCAAACACTAGTGCGCTAACCTGATTGTATTGAATGGTTTTGATCCTTAATACCATTCGGATGCTGGCAGTTCTAACTGCATTTGGAGGGGTGAGATGGAGAAATCTACGATATTAAGCATGGCGCTTGGAATCCCCGCAGTCATTATAGCGGTGATTGCCCTGGCAATGGCGTTCAACGCGGGCGGGGATGATGTTGACGATGGCACTGCGGAGTCTGTGCGCAGCGTCATCGCAAGCGAATCGGCGCAGAATACCCGGATAGAATGGCTTACAACCCAAGTCGGCGACCTGCAGGTAGAAGTCGCCGACGCCCGCCAGCAGGAAGCTTCCGATGCCGCGAAGTTGACCGCGGACGTGGACGATCTCCGCAGCCTGGCTTCGCGGGATGATCGTTATGACGACACCGAACTGAGGGCGGCAGTCAGGGACAACCAGTCCAACCTGGCCGAACTCAATAGTCTCGTGGACAACGACGCCGGCAACAACGAGAACATAATTGGCATCGCCGCATCTCTCGCGGACATACGTGACGCAATCTCTGATAGCGACGAGTCCACGGAAGCAATCAACACCGAGTTAGGCGCACTCCGCGCCCAACTGATGGAACTTCAGGGCGCAGTATCATCAGGCGGATCAACGGAACTCGACGACGCCCTTTCGCGCCTGGACTGGCTGGAAAAAGCCGTCGCCCCCTCATATACGCAGGCTTACGTTGAAGAAGCGTTACGCCGCTACAACTCACAGGGACGCCAGGCGACGCTCGACCACTACAGCACTATGGCGAGCGTAAACGGAGACCTGTACCTCTTCGTGCTGGACGAGAATTATGAGCTCATAGTCCATCCCACAGTCCCAGCCAATATCGGGATGGACATAAGGGGTCCACTTGGCACGGATATAACAGGCAAAAATTTCGGCGCAGAATTCGTAACAGTGGACGAGCAGGGCAAGTGGGTTGACTATGTGTATCTGAATCCTGCCGACGATTATAACTACGAGCGTAAGCATTCTTGGATCGTTCGCCACGAAAACCTGATATTCGGCTCAGGCTGGTACGAGCGCGACGTGTCGTTGGAAGATGACCCCTCGACGTATGCGCGTTCGCTGGTTGACCGGGCTATAACGCGCTATAGTGCCGAGGGCAGCGACGCCACGATCGACTACTACAACACGCCCGAAAGCGTGGACGGACAATGGTATGTCTTCATCCTGCAGGCGGACGACCTTCGTACTCTTGCCAACGGCGCGCGCCCTGAGCTGGTGAATATAGACCCGCCGGAGAGGATAGATGCCACCGGCTACGCTTATGGCGAGGCGTTCGCAACCGTAACCGACGAGGGCAGGTTGGTATCTTATGTCTTCGTAAATCCCGCGACCGATGCACTGGAGTCGAAGCATACTTGGCTTATGGAGCACGACGGCCTGCTCTTCGGCTCCGGCTGGTACACCGAACCCGCCGAGTACACCAAGTATCTGGTGAACGGCGCGATAAGCCGCTACAAGTCCGATGGGCGCGACGCTACGATCGCCTACTACAACACTGCGGACAGCGTTGATGGTCAATGGTACATCTACATCGTAGATGAGGACGATCTGGTCCTATCCCACGCTCCGTCACCGTCATTGGTGGGCACCACCGACATCAAAGACCTCGTAGGTCCAGACGGCTATGAGTGGGGCAAAGAGTTGGCGAAGGCGACACAGGCCGGACACTGGGTTGAATACGCTTGGGTAAATCCCGCAACCGACGCGGAGGAAACGAAGCGCTCCTGGGTTATAAGGCACGACGGCTTGATATTCGGCTCCGGATATTACGGAGAGTAGCGCAGCAACCGGCGCGCCTCACTCTTAGGTCAATTCGTGGCAGCATTTCGGCAACTGCGCTAAAATGCTGCTTATGAAAGCTAAGCGCCTAGTAGTCGTAAAGTTCCATGAGCCCGCGCTAAAGGGCAATAACCGCCCTATGTTCATTCGGCGTCTGGCGAGCAACCTGCGCCGCGCCATCAAGGGCACAGGCGTAGAGCGCGTCTGGCAACAGCACCTGATGATATGCCTCGCGTTGCGCGAAGACGCCGACTGGGACACGGTGCGCCAGCGTGTCGGCGACTGCATGGGCGTCGCCAAGTTCTACCTCTCATACAAGGTCGCCGCCGAACTCGACGCCGTAAAAGAGCTGCTCCGCTCAGAACTAAAGACGCATCAATTCGATACATTCCGCATCACGGCGCATCGGTCTAACAAGCGCTTCCCCATAAAGTCCGACGCTATCAACCGCGAGATGGGCTCTTTCGTGGAAGAGCTAACCGGCGCAAAGGTGCGCCTGAAGGGCGCAGACTTGGAAGTCTTCATCGATGTGGTGAATGACGGCATGCTCGTCTACTTCGACCCCATCCAGGGACCCGGCGGCATGCCGGTCGATTCCAGCGGCACGACAATGGCGTTGATGTCAGGCGGCATAGACTCGCCGGTCGCAGCCTGGCAGATGATGCGGCGCGGCAGCCGTGTGAAACTCGTCCACTTCCACAGCCACCCGCTCGTGGACTCATCGTCCATCGAGAAAGCAGCGGAATTAGCAGAAATCCTGACGCGCTACCAGTACGATGCCGAGCTGTTCCTCGTGCCCTTTGCCGGTGTGCAGCAGCGCATCATCGTAGAGGTCCCGCCGCCGTATAGAGTCGTCCTGTACAGGCGGTTCATGGTGCGCATAGCCGAGGCGCTTGCGCTGCAGCAGGGCATAGCGGCGCTGGTGACCGGCGAGAGCCTGGCGCAGGTAGCGTCTCAGACATTGGAAAACATCGCCATAGTGGATGCGGCGGCGCAGATGCCCATACTTCGCCCGCTAATCGGCTCGAACAAGAATGACATCGTTGACATCGCGCGGCAGATTGGCACATTCCCTATATCCATCATCCCGGATCAGGATTGCTGCTCCCTGTTTGTGCCGCGCCATCCGGTTACGAAGGGTAGCCCCAGGGTAGTGGACCGCCTGGAATCCCTGCTGCCCGTTGATGAGCTGGTGCAGGATGCGTTGGAAAAGGTCGAGATTCGACAATTTGCCTACTCGCCCCGCTAGCGCCGCTGCCCCGCTCGATGAGGTCTCTTCGGCGGCCTCATAAGCAGCACCAGCCCCAGCGATACCAGTGACGCCGCGCCGAATCCCATGAACGCCCACTCGTAGCTCCCCGTGGTATCGAACACATAGCCCGACACCAGCGGGCCAATTATGATTCCAATCATCTGAATCGTGCCGCGGAATCCCTGTATCGTCGCGTATGCCCTCCGCCCGAAGTACTCGGCAATAAGTGACTGCGGAATGACCGAAATGCCTCCCTGCGCGGCCGCATACAGCACCAGGAACGGCAACACCTGCGTCACGCTCGTGGCTCTCGCCATGAACACAATGGCTATGGTCATGAGAAATAGCGACACCGCCATCACATAGCGGCGGTTGAGATAGTCGCTGACTGCGCTCAGCCCGAACCTTCCGGGTATGCTTAAGACACCTACCGCGCCCGCGAGCGTCGCGGCGAACACATCTGACGCGCCCAGGTCCACGAAGTATGGCACAAGGTGCAAGCCCACGCCGCCGCTGACCAGCGAGCGCGCCGCAATCGAGAGGGTAAGATACCAGAAACTCGATGTCATCAGGGCTTCCCTCGCCGTGAAGTCCTGTGACAGGTCTGGCTGCTGACGTCTGCGAACTTCGCCCGTCTCATCATCCGTATCAGGTTCCTCTCCGTCCGGCATATATCCGTAAGGTTCGGGCCTGTGCCGCATAAGCGCGGCTATGGGAATGCCCATCACTATGATGAACACGCCAATGACAATAGACGCAATGCGCCAGTTGTAGGCAGCTATCAGCCAACCCACTGCGGGGACAAAGAAACCGCCCAGCCCGACCCCGGACCACATAATGCCGAATGCCAGCCCGCGCTTTCTGTTGAACCAGTTCGCTACTGACGCTGCCATCGGGGTGCTCATGCCCAGGCTGTTGCCGAGCGTGATGGCGAAGATATACACGAAGAAAAACGCCGCCAGCGAGTTAACGCGGCTCATTAGTATGTAGCCAACGCCCATGAGAGGGATACCGACGATCATCAGGCGGCGAGGACCGACGCGATCCACCAGCCAACCCTCAAGGGGACCAAGCAGGCCCGACTCCATTCGCGCCAGCGAGAACAGGCCGGATATGGTCGTACGATTCCAGCCGAACTCGTTGGTCAGCGGAATTATGAAGTTGCCGAAGCCGTGGAAGTTGATGCCCGCGGTGATGGACATGCCCAGCCCGCCCGCAATGACAATCCACCAGCCGTAGAACATGCCGCGCTTACGTTTTGACTCGCCGTCCGCGCTGCTCACGGCAAGGTTTCTCCGTGAATCCTAGTTGCCTAGTATGCCTAGCGTGCCCAGTATGAATAACGCTCGAAGTAATCAGTGTGCCTGTAACCCCCACTCGCAGAGTGTCCTAGAGTTTAACATCAAGCTATTCATGCTGCTCTCTGTCATATCAATTCAGGCGATTATGCCTGATGTGGTATATGCGTCTAAACTGTTATTGCAACTAATTGACATTTACAACTCAGCGACACTAAAATCTATGCGCGAGCTTAATTTCTTCCTGATTCGACGGGATTGTTCGATATGACGGAGCGTTCGATATGACGTTAAGCATAAGTCTGCCCTTTCTTGGCGACAGTCTTCCTCTTCCTTTGCACGCCCCCGACGGCTTCTTCAGTCTGCCGGTTGCAGTAGCAGGATATGTAGCCGCGGCGGTGTTCATCGGTATCGCCATAAGGCAGACGAACAAGAACCTCAACGAGCGCATCGTTCCCATGATGGGCGTGATGGCAGCGTTCATCTTCGCGGCGCAGATGCTCAATTTCCCCGTCGCGGGAGGCACTTCCGGTCATCTGATCGGAGGCGCGCTAGCAGCCATTATACTGGGGACCTTGGGCGGCTATACTCGTCATGACGGCGGTTGTTGGCTTGCAAGCCCTGTTGTTTCAGGATGGCGGGCTTGTAGTGCTCGGCATCAACCTCCTGAACATGTCAATTATGAGCGTGCTCGCGGGCTACGGAGCATACTGGGTATTCCGTAAACTTGGCACGAGTTTCAAGCACCTGATGATAGGCGGTTTCATTGCCGCATGGGTGTCGGTCGTCATAGCCGCCGCGTCCACCGCTCTTATGCTAGGTATGAGCGGCACGACTCCTCTCGCGCTTGCGCTGCCCGCTATGGTCGGCGTTCACATGCTCATCGGTATAGGCGAAGGGCTGATAACCGTGTTCGCCCTGTCATTCATTCGCACAGCGCGCCCTGCCCTCCTGCAGGCGCCCGCAGACACAAGTGCATCGGGAATGCCCGCTGCACAGACTATTGCCCCCGCAGTGAAAAGCATGGGTTTGCGATGGTGGGTGTTGGGCTATGTTATAGCCGTTGCGGTTACGCTTCTAGCGCCACTGGCATCCGGGTCGCCCGATGGACTGGAGCGTGTCGCCGGGGATTACGGATTTATTGAGCGAGCGCAGGATGCTCCCTACGCCCTCATCGCCGATTATGTCGTGCCGGGCATTCAGAATGAAACGCTTGCTACAATTCTGGCGGGCGTCATCGGCGTAACTGTAGTCTATGTCTTAGTGGCAGGCGGCATATACGGCTTGTTCACACTTTGTCGGCATCGCCGGCGCGAGAGTCTGGCGCACGAATAACCTCCAATGACCATTGCCGCCGGATTACTTGATCGCTACCTAGAAGGCAGAAGCTGGTTTCACAGCGCGGACGCCCGCATCAAGTTGGTGATGGCGCTAGGCTTCATATTCGCGACTACATCAATTCCGCCGGGCAAGTGGATTGGCTTTGCCGCTATGCTGGCGCTGGTGTGGCTGGCGGCTGGCATATCGCGCGTAGGACTGCTGCGCGTATTCCTCCGCTCACTCGTAGCGATACCCTTCATCCTGATCGCGCCTTCCCACCGTGTTCACTAAGCCGGGAATACCCCTGTTTGAACTTAACCTCGCACTCTTCACGCTCACGGGCACACAGGAAGGTCTGGACTTCTTCATAAGCGTCCTGCTGAAGTCGTGGGCGTCCGTAACCGCCGCGGTGGTACTCACAGCCACGACCCCGCCATTGCGCCTGCTTGAGGCGCTGCGCGCATTGCGCGTACCCGCAGTCCTCGTTGCCATAGTCATGCTGATGTACCGCTACCTCTTCGTGCTTGTGGACGAAGCTCAGAGCCTCATGCGCGCTCGAACCGCCCGCAGCGCCGCCATCGGACCCAAGTCCGGCGGTTCACTCGTATGGCGCGCCAAGTCCGCCGGAGGCATGGCAGGCTCGCTGTTCATCCGCACGCTCGACCGCAGCGAGCGCATCTACATGGCAATGCTCGCGAGAGGATATGACGGCACGCTGCGCCAGTCGCGCGTGGATTCGCTTGAACGAGGTCCGATACTGCTTCTCGTCGCCTCTCTTTGCCTGTTCGTTGCCGTCGCAGTAGCAGCCCGGACGGTGCTATAAAGGATGGTGCTGTAAATGCAGAGCGCAAGCGACCAAATCTCCGCCGTCTCCGTAAATCATCTGGAGTTTGCGTACCCCGACGGGCGCCCTGCCCTGCGCGGCGTCGATCTGTGCATACAGCCCGGCGAGAAGGTCGCAATCCTCGGTCCAAACGGCGCTGGCAAGTCAACCCTGCTGCTGCACCTCAACGGCCTGCTGCACGCGGGGAGCGGCGATGTAACTATCCTGGGGCGAGAAGTTCGGGAAGGCGACAAGCGCGGCTTGCAGGAGATACGCGCTCTGGTCGGCGTCGTCTTTCAGGACCCAGACGACCAGCTCTTTTCGCCCAGCGTGTATGACGACGTCGCATTCGGCCCCATTTACATGGGTTTGCCCAGCGATGACGTGGAAGCCCGCGTAAGTGAAGCCTTGTCGCAGGTTGGGCTGGAAGACTATGGCGACAGAATGCCCTTTCATCTGAGCGGCGGTGAAAAAAAGCGCGCCGCCATCGCGACCGTGCTGTCCATGCACCCGCAAGTTCTCGCGCTCGACGAGCCGTCCGCCGGACTCGACCCACGTGCGCGGCGCGGACTCATCCACCTCCTCGACCGGCTGGAGCAGACCATCCTCGTCACCACGCACGACATGCACATGGTGAAGGATATATTCCCGCGCTCAGTGATCATGGACGGCGGAAAGGTCGTCGCCGACGCGCCAACACAGAAAATCCTTGCTGATGAAGCGCTGCTCGAAAAACACGGGCTGGAGATGCCTTAAGACTCTTCCAAGTGATGTTTGGCATCGCGCTGCCTGAAGCGACCGCCCGTAAGCCAATCCTCATCAACCCCGCCTATGCCGCCAGTCATGCAATAGCCATGCAACCAAGGACTCACCACCGTGTGCGGTACCGTCGATTCAGATGAATCCTTCACACCTTGTCAGTGAGTTCGCAGCCACTTCAGCGCGTCAAGCGCCGCCCAATATCCACACATGCCATGCACGCCCGCACCCGGCGGAGTCGAAGCCGAACACAGGTACACTCCCTCGATCGGCGTCCTGTAAGGCGAAAACGCCGACACAGGTCGCGCGAACAATTGCCGCAAGGTATTCGCGCCACCAGCGATGTCCCCGCCCACATAATTCGCGTTGTAATCTTCGATATCCGACGTCTTCATCACACTCCGAGCCAGTATTCGCTCCCTGAATCCGGGCGCAAACCGCTCAATCTGATTCTCGATGCGCTCCGTCATATCGAAGTCCGACCCATTCGGCACATGGCAGTACGCCCACGCGACATGCCTGAGTTGAGGCGCGCGCGTATCATCGAACATGCTAGGCTGCGCAACAAGTACGAAAGGCCGTTCAGGATGCTCCCCGCGCCAGACTGCCGCTTCTGCCGCCGCAATCTCCTCCAGCGTCCCGCCCACATGCACCGTCCCCGCGAACGAGCAATCCAACGCCGACCACGGTATCGGCCCCTCAAGCGCCCAGTCCATCTTGAATACCCCAGGACCGTAGCGGAAAAGCCTCCAGCTTTGCGCCTGTATCGTTGCGGCAGTCCGTCGCCTGCGATGCTAGCCAGTTGTCGCGCTCCCACATCCAGCAGCGCAACTCCGACGCCCGGCAGTTCCTCCAGCGATTCCACCCTGACACCCGTAACGACCTCACCGCCCAATGATTCCAAGTACGACACCATCGCGTCGGTGATGCTCTGCGCTCCACCGCGCGGCAGCGGCCACCCGACCGCATGCCCGGCGATCTGCAGCATAAGCCCCGCCGCAGCCGATCCCTGAACTCCAGCGGCGTAACCGAGTGCGCCGCAATGCCCGCAAACAACGCCCGCCCGCGCTCTGTCGCAGCCAGCATTTGCAAACCCACGCGCCGAGCGCATTGCCCGCAACCCAAATCGCCCCATCGCAATCGGGTTGCGCGGCAGCCGAAGCGGCCCCATAACTCCTCTGGCGATCGTTTCCCAGTCCCGCACAAGCGGCGACATCACCCTCCGATAGGCGCGTGCATCCGCATCCAACGCCGCGCAGTCTCATCCACATCGCGCTCCAGCAAAGCTGCGCTCCCGTCATCCATTGGATGCCCCACCGGATAGCGAGGATGAATCCACTCCAGCCCGTGCTCCTCCAGGGGAAGCGTGCTGAGGAACGGCGAACCCACTGCCAGCGGGTGCAGCGCGGAGCACACATCGTGCCGAAAGCCGGGTAGAGTCAGCTCTGAGGTGCGCGCGCCACCGCCCGGCGTATCGGACGCCTCCAGCACCTGCACACTGTGCCCCGCCTGCGCCAGCGTTATCGCAGCCGCAAGACCGTTCGGCCCCGACCCCACAACAACCGCATCGTAGCTGCCGTTCGAATGCTGCATGGGAACTCATCCCCCAACCAACTTGCTGTCGTACCACCTTGTCCCGTCAATCTATGATAATCCGTCTAGTCAACCCCGTAACGTCCAACGACGTATAACATCTGTATCTTCGGTTGCAGATACCACGATTCGCCAGAGAGGTCCTTCCAAGGTCGGATCTGCTGCATCCGCACCCCTCGCTGCGCCTATCCAGCCTATCCATCCGACACACCTTACGCATTGCCGTAGCACACGGGCAAATGTCGAACACGCTCCCGACACACTCCCCACGGAGGCCCAATTGCTGATTCCAGACACCTTGTGTTAAATTGATGCAATCCTACAAAGGGAGTTCGCACAATGGCTATCAATGTTGTCGTACACGGCGTCATGGGCAAGATGGGACAGCAGGTGCTGGAAACAGTAACCAACACTCTGGGCATGGAACCTGTCGGAGCAGCCGACATCACAGCGACTCAGGGCACCATAGCGCTGCCTGACGGACTTGGTGATATACCAATTTCAGGCTCGCTTGATGAAGTGCTGGAAGGCGCGGATGTGGTCGTTGACTTCACGAGCGCAGAGGGCGCGGCATCCGTGCTCCGAGCCGCAGCTCCTCGCGGAGTGAATGTCGTCATCGGTTCCACAGGCATAACGGAAGCCATATACCAGGAGGCGGAGAGCCTTGCCAACGAGCACGAAATCGGCGCTATCATCGCGCCCAATTTCGCTATGGGCGCTGTGCTGATGATTCACCTGGCAAAGCAGGCGTCACGCTTCTTCGACTACGCCGACCTGACCGAGATGCACCACGAAGCCAAAATAGACTCGCCTTCCGGCACTGCGCTTGCCATCGCCAACGCTGCCCTGGAGGGAAAGCCGGGTGGATTCATCGCGCCTCAATCGGAGAAAGAGCTGATAGTCGGCGCGCGTGGCGCAACACACGAGGGCATCAGCGTCCACAGCGCGCGAATGCCGGGACGTGTGGCGCACCACGAGCTCGTATTCGGCGCGTTAGGGCAGACATTCACCATCCGCCACGACTCAGTCAACCGCGAGAGCTTCATGCCCGGCGTCGTCCTCGCCATCAACGAAGTCGTCAACCGCAAGGGCCTGACGATAGGCCTCGACAAGATAATGGCCTATGATTCTCACTGCGCACTATCGGAATATCGGATATTATTTCTAGATTTGGCTCAGTGAAACAGTTATCATGACTGGGTTGTTTAGGACAATATCTCACTGGAGGTTGAGGTCATAGTGGAAGCTTGCAGCATCGCAGTAGTTGGCGCAACGGGCGCAGTGGGGCGCGTCTTTTTGGATGTGCTCGAAGAACGCAATTTCCCCGTATCTGATATCCGCCTGTGCGCCTCGGAGCGCTCGGTCGGCAAAAAGCTGAAGTGCATGGGTGAAGAGATTGCGGTCGAAATGGCGACTCCGCAGTTGTTCAGTGAAGTTGACTTCGTGTTCATCTCCGCGAGTGGCGATGTCAGTCGCGCGCTCGCGCCCGTAGCGGCGAAGCAAGGCGCGGTCGTCATCGACGACAGTTCCGCGTTTCGAATGGAACCCAATGTGCCTTTGGTCGTTCCGGAGGTCAACGGCAAGGATGTGGAAGACCACAGGGGCATCATATCCATCCCCAACTGCTCCACGACGCCGCTCGTGATGGTGCTCAAGCCCCTCATGGAAGTCAACCCCGTCAGGCGCGTCATCGCCGACACATACCAGTCGGTCTCCGGCACGGGAGCGGCGGCAGTCGAAGAGTTGCGCGTGCAGTCAAAGCAGCTGACGAATGACGACAGCCTCACCCACCACGATCTGACACCGCATGCCTACCCGCATCCCATCGCCTTTAACGCCCTGCCCCACATCGAGCCGTTCCTCGAAAATGGCTACACGAACGAAGAAATGAAGATGGTGAACGAGACTCGCAAGATTCTCCACGCGCCGGACATCGCGGTATCGGCGACATGCGTGCGAGTGCCCGTAATGCTCAGCCACAGCGAGGCGCTCCACATAGAGTTCGAGAATCCCATCAGCCCCGGGGAAGTGCGCGAGATTCTTGCCGATTTCCCCGGCGTCAAGGTGGTGGACGACCCGCTTGCTAATGTGTATCCTATGCCCATCGAGGCGGCAGGCCGCGACGAGTATTCGTCGGGCGCATCCGACAGGATGTATCGCATCCCAACGGCATCGCAATGTGGGTCGTAACCGATAACCTGCGCAAGGGAGCGGCAACCAATGCGTTGCAGATCGCAGAGGAAGTTGTGGAGCGCAACCTGCTGCCGAGACAGTCCGCCGTAAGTCGCTAGGCGCGACTCTGTAAGAAAGTAAGCGCTGCGAATTTCCCACTCAAGGAGGCTCAACAATGGTAGAACTAGGCAGACTCATAACCGCAATGATTACGCCCTTCGATGAAGATGGCGCAGTGGACTTCGACGAGGCAGGACGCCTTGCATCCGCCCTCGTGGATTCCGGTAGCGACGGTCTTGTGATTACCGGCACGACGGGCGAGACTCCCACACTCTCTTTCGATGAGAAGCTGGGGATGTACGAGGCGACCAAGAAGGCTGTCGGCGACCGCGCTGCGATTATCGCGGGCACGACCGGCTACAATACGGCAGAAGGCATCGCCCTGAGCAAGGAAGCCGAGGCGCTTGGCGTTGACGGCATACTTATGACGGTTCCGTCATATAATAAGCCGCCGCAGGAAGGACTGTACCAGCACTTCAAGACGATAGCGGAAAACGTCAGTCTGCCCTGTGTGCTATACAATGTGCCGAGCCGCACCGCCCTGAATATGACCGACGAGACCACCGTGCGCCTCAGCCACATCGACAACATTGTCGGTACGAAAGAAGCCAGCAGCGACCCGGTGCAGATTACGAAGATAATCCGCGACACCGACGACGACTTCAAGGTGTGGAGCGGCAACGACGACGAGACATTCCCCATAATGTGCTCGGGCGGCTACGGCATCGTTAGCGTGGCATCCCACCTCGTCGGCAGCCAGATAAAGACGATGATGGGCCTGATTTTGGAAGGCGACATAGAAAGCGCGGCTGCCGAACACCTGCGCCTGTTCGAACTCTTCAAGATACTGTTCGTCGTTACCAACCCCATCCCGGTGAAATACTGCGTGGGCAAAGTAGGCTTTAATGTCGGGCAGCCGCGCCTGCCGCTCATTCCGCCGGATGAGGGCACTGCAGCGACGCTTGACGCGGTCGTGTCGCGGTACAATATCGACCTGAGACTGCCCGTTGCAGTCGGAGGCGACGACTAACGAAATTGAACTTGACATTTTGGGTAAAATAACTTAATATTTTTGTAATTACTCCCCGTCCGTTGGAAATGGTTTATCCAAATCCCCGGGCGGGTGTTTTTTGTTCTGCGATGCGCACTATAGTATTTATTGATGGACAGAACCTCTATCATCTGGCAAAGAATGCGTGGGGTTCTGCCACTATCGCTAACTCGTCTCCTTACTCTTGGCCAAGCTACGACGTTGAAAATCTGGCAAATGATTTGGTGGCAGACATCGGTCTGATTTCATGACCAGATAGACTGTCAAGTGACAATCCAATCTTGCGCATCAGGACTACGCCGAAGCCACATTGATCACCGGTCGCACCACAATCGTCTCATGCCGATGGGGGCCCGTGGAAATCAGGTCTATGTTGCAGCCGATGACCTCTTGCAGGCGCTCCACATAGTTGTGCGCTTCCGTTGGGAGCTGCTCGAAGTTGGTGATGCTCGCGGTGGGGCTGTCCCAGCCGGGCATCTCCTCGTAGATGGGCTTGCAGCGTTCCAGCGCGGCCAATCCGCCGGGGAACTCGTCCACAACATTGCCGTCCAGTTCATAATGCGTGCATATCTTCACAGAATCGAAGCTGTCAAGCACATCAAGGCGAGTGAGTATGGCAGAAGTGTAGCCGTTCACCTCCACGCTGTAACGCGCCGCCACGCCGTCGAACCAGCCCACACGGCGAGGCCTGCCGGTCGTTACGCCGAACTCCTGAGCAAGGTCGCGGATGTATTCGCCTGTATCGTCGAGCAACTCCGTGGGCAAGGGACCGCCACCGACTCGCGTCGAGTACGCCTTGAACACTCCCGTAATGCCGGCGATATGTATAGGTGACATGCCGAGCCCGATACAAGCGCCGCCCACAGTTGGGTTCGATGATGTAACAAACGGATATGTGCCATGGTCAAGGTCGAGCAACGCCCCCTGAGCGCCCTCGAGAAGAACGTTCTTGTTGGCTTTGAGCGCGGTGTGAATAATCTTTTCGACCGGGGCGATTATCGGAGCCATCCGCTCCGCCCAATTGCGGCACTTGTCGAAGACCTCTTCTTTGGACACAGGAGAGCCGCCATAAACCTTCGTGATGACGGCATTTGTGTGCTCAAGAATGCGCTCAAGTCGCGGAAGCAGCGCCTCAACATCAAGCAGGTCTGCCGCTCGAATGCCGGTGCGCGCTGCCTTGTCGGCGTATGTAGGCCCTATGCCCTTGCCCGTTGTGCCGATGGCGTTGTTTCCCCGCGCCTGCTCGGCAAGCATGTCAAGAGCAACATGGTAAGGCATGATGATGTGTGCGCGGTCACTGACGACAAGCCTGCCGTCAATGTCGATACCCCGCTCACGGAGACTGTCTATCTCGTCGAGCAGCACATCCGGATCAACGACTACTCCGTTGCCGATGACATTGATTGTCTTTGGCCAGAATACGCCACACGGGACCAGATGGAAGCTAAACTTACCATCCTCGTTGACCACGGTATGTCCGGCGTTATTTCCGCCGGAAAACCGCGCAACAATGTCGGCGTCCCGCGCCAACACATCGATTATCTTACCTTTTCCTTCGTCTCCCCATTGAGCGCCTAAGACAGCGTAGGCAGGCATGCCTTCTCTCCTGTATTTAGCATTGGCCAGTATTGGAATTGGGATTTCCTTTGGCACCTAGAGCGGGCGCCGATAGTCTGCCCCGCCTGTTGCCTCCGGCCCTGTTGCCTCACAATGAGAAAAGGCCGCCCTCGACGACCTTGTTCCCAAAAGCGCAAGCCTTGCGAGTATATCAGACGGAATACCGATGCGAAAGTGATTGCCCTGCCCACTCAATCGCAGTCCCAGCCCCGCTGCTCCTTGCCCGATGACAGCGTCCATCCTATAATCAATTCGTGCATCTACTTCAAACATCGCAAGGAACAGCAGCCAATTGAAAGCGGACTACGAGTGTACTCTGACATTGGCGATAGACGGGCCCGCCGCATCCGGCAAGTCCGTCGTCGGCAGAGAGGTCGCGCGCAGGCTCGGCATTCGCTTCCTCGATACCGGCGCGATGTATCGGGCCATTACATTGGCATCGATTCAACAAGGTGTCGCCGCGGATGATGCGTGTAAACTGTCCTCGTTGGCGGCATGCGCCGATATGCGACTCGTAACGCATTCGAATGGCGACAGATTATTGCTGAACGGCGACGACATTACTCCCCGTCTCAGGCTCGCGGAAGTAGATGCAAGCGTATCAGCCGTCTCCGCCGTTAGCGGTGTGCGCACGGCGCTCGTGGCGCAGCAGCGCGCCATAGCCTCTGATGGCTCAATCGTGATGTGCGGACGCGACATCGGCACGGTCGTACTACCGGACGCCAGCGTCAAGGTCTTCCTGACGGCATCGGCAGAAGTGCGCGCTGCAAGACGCGCCGCCGAAATGCAGCAGCGCCAGGAGACTTTCGACACTCGACAAGTCTTGGCAGCGCTGCAACGCCGTGACAAAATTGACAGAGAGCGCGACGACTCCCCGCTACGCCCCGCCGCCGACGCGCTCGTAATCTGCAGCGACCACCTGACGATCGAAGAAGTGGTGTGTCAGATTCTCGCTGAGGTGTCGCAATGCTGACCGACTTGGTTTATCGAATCTGCACAATAATACAGCGACTGGTGATGCGCTTGTTCGCCGATTGGCAAGTCAATGGCGCGGAGAATGTGCCCCCGATGGGCCCGCTCATCATCATTGCCAACCACCAGAGCAATTTCGACCCGCCTCTTCTTAGCGCAAGCATACCTCGCCGTGTGTTCTTCCTTGCCAAGTCCGACCTCTTCATGGGCCATGTCATCACCTGGTTCCTGAGTTCATACGGTGCCTTCCCCGTAAACCGCGAAGGGGGCGACATCCGCGCGTACCGATGGGTAATCAGCCAGCTCAGGGCGGGAAAGCCGGTTGTGCTCTTTCCGGAAGGCACCCGTTCACGCAACGGCATGATGAAAGCAAAGCCCGGCATCGCGCAGATTGCCCTCCAGTCCCAGGCGTCCATCCTGCCGGTCGGCATCGTCGGCACTCACAGGCTTGGCACATGGTTGCGCGTCCTCAACCCCACAGGCAAGATTACCGTGAACATCGGGCAGGTATTTTCCGTCCCCATGATCGAAGGCAGGCCGAGCAAGGAACTCCTGGACTCAATCTCGGATATGATTATGCAGCGCGTGGCGATGCAGCTCCCGGAAGAAATTCGTGGCGTATATGGCAGCGGCGCTGGCATAGATGGCGCGGCGCAGCGCAGGTGACCTGGCGCAGGTGAAATTATGTGCGGCATCATTGGATACATTGGCGACCGAGCGGCAGCCCCGATAATTCTGGAGGGGCTTGGCGCACTCGAGTATCGCGGCTACGACAGCGCCGGCATCGCGGTGCTGGACGCGGACGGCGTGCCGCAGCTCTTCAAAGTCGGCAGGCAAGCTCTCAAAGCTCAGGAGCATCCTCAGCAACGGCCTGCCCGACGGCAGCAGCGGCGTTGGGCATACTCGCTGGGCAACCCACGGAGGGCCGACCGACTTCAACGCCCACCCGCACACCGACTGCTCCGGCGACATAATGGTCGTGCACAACGGCATATTCGAGAACTACCTCGACCTGAAGCGGGAACTCGCGGACGAAGGGCACATATTCAACTCGCAGACGGACGCGGAGTGCATCCCGCATCTCATAGAGTCCTACATGAACAACGGCTGCTCGCTGGAAGAGGCGACGCGCGCCGCGGCATCCCGCATTGATGGCGCGAATGCCGTCGTCGTTCTATCGCGCAAAGAGCCTGACAAGATAGTCTCATTCAAGCTCGGCAACGCAGGCGGCATCGTTATCGGCTATGGTGAGAGCGAAATGCTGCTCGCCAGCGACATCGCCGCCCTGCTTCCTCACGTCCGAACCGTTGCCTACCTCGCCGTTGGCGAGATGGCGACGGTTACCCGGAAACGAGTGCAATACACGCGCATAGACGGCTCCGCAGTGAAGAAATCCACGGCGCGTGTCTCCTACGGCGCCCTTACTGCGACAAAAGGCGAGTACAAGCATTTCATGCTCAAGGAGATCCATGAGCAGCCCGACGCAGTGCTGGACACGCTGCGAGGACGTGTTCAGTTCGATCCGCCAGGCATCACCCTGCCGGACTTCCCCTTCTCCGATGACCGGATCAGAAGCTTCAATCGCGCGATCATCATTGGCATGGGCACGAGCCTGCACGCCGGCATGGTCGGACGCATGTGGATCGAGTCGCTCGCCGGCTTGGCGTGCGAAGTGGACAACTCGTCCGAGTTCCGCTACCGCGATGCCGTACTGGACGAAAATACGCTGGTAATCTCCATATCCCAATCCGGCGAGACCGCAGACACCTTAGGCGCGATGGACCTGGCAAAGAGTCGCGGCGCGCGCCAGCTAACCCTGTGCAACTACGAGGGTACGCAGTCAACGCGCGTAGCCGACGGCGTGCTGCCTATTCGCGCTGGACTCGAAATCAGTGTCGCTGGAACGAAAACCTTTGTCTGCTCACTTGTGACGCTATACGCTCTTGCAGCGTATCTTGGAGTCAAGCGGGGCTACTTAAGTGAAGAGAGGCTGGCGAATATAGTGCAGGAGCTATTGCACCTGCCAGAGATGATTGGGCAGCTCTTGTCCGATCAGTCGCAGTATGAGCGGCTGGCGCTAAAATACGGCAGGCGCGCCAATTTCCTTTTCCTCGGGCGCGGCAAGAACTATCCCCTCGCAATGGAAGGCGCGCTCAAGCTCAAGGAGATAAGCTACATCCACGCCGAGGGTTATCCCGCTGGCGAGATGAAGCACGGCCCGATTTCCCTCATAGACAGAAAGATGCCCGTAGTTGCCCTTGTTCCGCAAGATGACCTTTATGAGAAGATGCTGAGCAACGTGAACGAAGTGAAAGCGCGCAGGGGAAGCGTAGTCGCCGTTGCGGCCGAAGGTGATAAGCACATCAGCGAAAAGGCTGACGAGGTAATTTGGATACCCAAGGCGTCGGCGAACATCACCCCGATCCTGAATGCGATACCGATGCAGCTCCTGGCATATTACATCGCGGTCGAGCGGGGCTGCGATGTTGATCAGCCGCGCAATCTCGCAAAGTCTGTCACCGTCGAGTAGTTGAGGGACATCAAATAACGTCAATTTCCTGATTAGAAACCTCGGCGCGAACAGGTATAGTTGCCCTGCACGCCCGGCTCGCCCGGTTCACCCAGTTCCCCATTGAAGATAATCAATTCGTATGCTAATTTAGTGCTATTATGTTTAGTGCTATTGTTTAGAGGTACAGATGCTACCGTACATATCCAAGTTCGGCATATACCTGAATCCCACTGAGCACAAGGTGGTACGCATAACTTCCCCCTACTGGTTCCCGGAAGAACCCGATTGGGTTTATGTGACGAACGAAGTTAATGAGACCCTGCTGAACATTCGGCAGTTAATTCGCGACAAGAACCTCGCCGACAACCCCGACTCGGTTACATGGGGAAGGATTCCGCTCAAGGCCTAAGTCAAGACGCCAAAGTCAAGACGATCAATTTGGGCGGCTCGGAGGAAGATTTGGCAGAGCAAGCGCTTGGCGTCAGTCGGGTAATTCGCTTCAAGGAAGCGGCTAGCCGTAGAGTGCCTCCGGCGCTGCGCTACCCGGCGTATCGCACATATTGGCTTGGAACGCTAGCGTCCGTCAGCGGCTTCCAGATGCTCACCTTCGGCATACTCTGGGTAACCTACGAGCTCACGCAGTCGCCTCTATTCCTGGGCTATGTCGCCGCAGTGAACGCGCTGCCCGCGATTGCCCTGAACCTGTTCGGCGGCGTCTTCGCAGACATGTTCGACAAGCGCAGACTCATCATCGCCTGCCAACTCGTAACTGCGACTCTCATCTTCATCCTTGCGCTGATGACGATGTTCGATGTGCTGCATATCTACTACCTCCTGCTCATCGCGTTTTTTGCGGGGGCGGTGAACGCTTTCGATCAACCCGCGCGACAGGCATTGTATCCGCATCTCATCGATCGCTCGGTGATGATGAGCGCCGTATCGCTCAACGCCGCCATCTGGCAGGGCACGCGAATAGTGGCGCCGGCTTTCGCGGGCTTTATCATAGCTTATCTGGGCACCTCGACTTCGTTCTTCATCTCGGGCGCGGGCTTCGTCACTATGGCGGTAGTCATCGCCGCTATCAAGCTGCCTGAGATTCCGCGCGGCGGCAGCGGCAACGCAGCCCGCGACCTGCTCGACGGCATGAAGTTCATCGCGGGCAACTCCGTCTTCTCGTTCCTCATCGGAATGACCTTCTTCAACAGCTTCTTCGGCATGGCATATATCTTCATGATGCCCATCTTCGCGGTGGAAATCCTGAAAGTCGGCGCGGACGGCCAGGGGATACTGATGGGAGTGGGCGGCGTGGGCGCGTTGGTTACAACGATGCTGCTTGGCTCAATCGGCAACTTCCGGCAGAAAGGGCTGATGCTGATAGGCGGCGCGGTGGCGTTCGGCGTCGCTCTGCTGCTATTCGGCCTGACATCGCAGGTGTACCCCTCATACTACCTGGTAATGGCCATAATGCTGTTCATCGGCATATTCAACTCCATCTACATGATTTCCATAATGAGTTCGCTGCAAATGATGGTGCCGAACAGTATGCGGGGTCGCGTGATGGGCTTTTACGGAATGACATGGAGCATAATGCCGCTCGGCGGGATGCAGGGAAACTGGATAGCCAACTACCTGGGCGCGCCCATGGCAGTCATCATAGGCGGCGTTGCCGTGATAGCCTTTGCGGTAGGACCTGCGATGCTCAACCGGCAGGTGAGGAACATCAGCACGCTACTCAATCAGGTGGAGCAGGTTATGGCGGCAGGACGACAGCAGGCTCAGCCGACAGCGCCCTCCGGAGACTGATGCGCCCAATCTGCTCAATTACTCTAGGGCTGGGCATAATTGCCGTTAATCTCGTTCCTTCCCCCTTGATGGGGGAAGGTTAGGATGGGGGTGAAATGAATCATGCCCACCACTAATTACTCGCCACAGTATTAGCCCGTACTGGCTGCGCTGCACACTGGGAGACACGAATGCAAACCAACGAACTACACTACCTTACGGTAAGCGACGCCGCATCTCTAATCGAATCAAGGCAGCTTTCCCCGGTCGAACTCGTCGAGGCGCACCTTGAGCGCATCGAGCAGACGGACGAGCGCCTGAATTCGTTCGTCACCCTGCTTGCGGACGAGGCAAGGTCAGCGGCTGCGGACGCCGAGTCAGCAATACAAGGCGGCGGCTATCTCGGTCCGCTGCACGGCATACCCATTGGCTTGAAGGACCTGTACTACACGAAAGGCATTCGCACGACCGTCGGCTCCAAAATCATGGGCGACTTCATTCCGGACTATGACGCCGCAGTAACGGAGCGATTCCGCGATGCCGGCGCTATCCTGCTCGGCAAGCTGCAAATGCACGAGTTCGCGCTCGGCGCAACAAGCGAAAATCCGCATCACGGCCCCGCGCGCAACCCTGGGATACCACGCGCATCACGGGCGGTTCAAGCGGCGGCTCCGGCGCTGCCGTCGCTTCGGGACAGTGCATGGCGGCGCTCGGCAGCGACACCGGCGGCTCTGTGCGTATCCCGTCGTCCGCCTGCGGCATCGTAGGGCTGAAGCCCACCTTCGGCAGAGTCAGCAGACGCGGCGTATTCCCACTGTCTAACAGCCTCGACACGGTAGGTCCGATGACGCGCACCGTCACAGACAATGCAATCGTCATGAATGTCATTGCTGGCTACGACGAACGCGACCAATCCTGCGCCAACCGACCCGACGAGGACTTCACTCGCTTGCTCGGTCAGGACATTTCCGGCTTGCGGATTGGTGTGCCGCAGGACTACTTCTACGACATGATTGACGATGAAGTGCGCGCAGCCGTCCAGCAAGCGGCACGAACGCTTGAAGGTCTAGGCGCGCAAGTCGAGGAATGCTCCATCCCCGCGCTCAACGACTCCATAAGCATATCCGGCGCTATCCTGCTCACGGAAGCGGCGGAGATACACCTCGACAACCTGCGCGAACGCCCGGACGACTTCGGCTCCGACGTGCGCGGACGCCTCGAAGAGGGCGCTATGACCCCGGCGGTCAGCTACATCGCTGCACAGCGCGCCCGCACCGAGTTCAACCGCGCCATTGCGGAGGCGATGAAGACCTACGACATCCTGCTCGCGCCCACTAACGCAGTTCCTGCGCCCAGAATAGGCGAGAATGTCGTCGAGGTCGGAGGAGTCACAGAGGCGAAGCTCGCACTGATGCCGCGCCTGACGCGCCCGCACAACATCTGTGGCATACCGACAATATCAGTCCCCTGCGGATTCAGCTCCGAAGGGCTGCCAATCGGCGTGCAGCTTGCCGCCCGCCCATTTGAGGACGCCCTAGCGCTTCAGGTCGCCTACGCCTACGAGCAGGCAACCGATTGGCACTCGCAGCGTCCGCCTGTCTAAGCCTCGGCTTGCGAGTTAAAAAAGCTTCGGCTTACGTGTGTTACTAGGTTCCCTCCAGTCCGTCACCGCGGTATTGTTCACACGTGTTGATGTGAGTCATATTGTCCCTTCCCCCTCGATGGGGGAAGGTTAGAGCCTGCCCCTGCGAAGGCAGGGGATGGGGGTGAAGTCGAAGTCAAACACAATGTTGAATACAACACCAACACCTATTGGCAATACCGTCGCCGCCAACTGCCTGACAAACCTCCCTGCCTAGTGTATGATTTGGCGCGTTGACTTGGCGCATTGGCTTGGCACATTGAATTGAATGCCGCTCACTCGGCTTAAGGCAATCGGAGGAATGGACCGTTGACTTCGCAGGCAAGCAAACAAGCTCTATCACTTTACGACGCCGCGCGCGCCATGGGCGTCAAGTTCACCAACGAAAACGCCCCGCAGGACAAGTTCGTTGACGCCAACGGCATGCGCTTTCACTACCTCGAATGGGGCAATCCGGGCAATCCGCCAATGCTGCTCCTTCACGGCTTCGCGCAGACCTGCCATTCGTGGGACTTCGTCGCACTCGGCTTCAGCGACAATTACCGCGTCATAGTGCTTGACCAGCGCGGACACGGCGACAGCGACTGGGCGTCAGACGGCGACTACTCCCCTGAGACCCAGCAAAAAGACATCTCTGGCATCGTCAATGAGCTGGGACTAGCGAACTTTGTCCTGATGGGCCTTTCCATGGGTGGCAGAAACTCCTTTACATACGCCGCCAACAACTCCGGCAAGGTCAAGGCGCTAGTCGTCGTTGACGCCGCCCCGCAGAACATGCAGCAGGGCACCCAGAACATCCGCAGCTTCGTGCAGCAGGACGATGAACTCGACTCGGTTGATGCCTTCGTCGAGCGCGTGCTGCAGTACAACCCGCGCCGCGACCCACAGCAGGTGCGCGGCAGCATCATGCATAACATCAAGGAGCTGCCCAGCGGCAAGTGGACCTGGAAGTACGACCGCGCCCTCCGCAGCCCCGGCCGTCGCATGGGCAGCGATGCCGAGACCGAGAAGCGCCTCTGGGGCTATATCGAGTCGCTGCAATGCCCGACCCTGCTTGTTCGCGGCGGCGCGAGCGACATCGTCGCAATGGACACCGCCGACAGGATGCACCAGGCAATTCCCAACAGCCGCATAGCGACCATCGAGGGCGCGGGGCATCTCGTGATGGGAGACAGCCCATCCGGATTCCAAAGCGCGGTTACTGATTTCCTAGCCTCGCTTACGGACTGACAATTAGGCAGGTCCTGGACTGGGTCCGATGGATGAGGAGGCACATTGTATTGCGCCTCATGCTCGCCTCAAAGGGACACCAATTCATTGCGTGCGTTATTCGCTCTATGCTAAACTGCTAGTGAGAAGAAGGAATATCTAAATTAAAACAGGGGAATTCCCGGGAGAAGGGATTGAATAAGGCTGAAAAGCAAGCCGTAATTGCAGAGCATCGCACCCACGAGAACGACTCAGGCTCCATAGAACTTCAGGTGGGAGTCCTGACGACCCGCATACTCCAACTCACCGAACACCTCAGGATCCACAAGCACGACGAGTCCACACGCCGCGGCCTGTTGAAAATGGTTGGTCGCAGGCGGAGATTGCTTCGATACCTCAACAGGGAAGACGTAGGCCGTTACAGAGCGCTAATTGCCAAGCTCGGTCTGAGAAGGTAGCTCTAACACTCTAGTTAGAGCTGTCCCTCTTTTTCTCACGTTCCCCGTGGAGGATTAATATCTTATGCTAAACTCGTTTGAACACGTCTATGAATCCGGCACGCTCGTCATGGAGAGCGGCCAATTGGCTCTTCAAGCCAACGGCTCCATCTTGGTGAAGCAAGGCGACTGCGCCCTGCTCGTTACCGCAACGATGTCCAAACCTCGCTCTGGCATCGATTTCTTCCCACTAACCATTGATGTGGAAGAGCGCCTCTACTCCAGAGGCAAAATCCCCGGAAGCTTCTTCAGGCGCGAAGGCCGCCCAAGCACACACGGCATCCTTATGGCGCGCCTCACCGACAGGCAGCTCCGCCCGCTATTCCCCAACGACTTCCGCAACGAAGTGCAGGTCGTCGCAACGCCGCTCTCCCTCGACATGGAGATGCCCTTCGAGACGATGGTCATGACCGCTGCATCGGCGGCGCTCAGCATCTCCGACATTCCCTTCACCGGCCCCATCGCCGCCACGCGCATCGGCTACATCGACGGCAAACTCGTCGTGAACCCCTCCTACGCCCAGATTGACGAGAGCGATCTTGATCTCGTCGTGTCAAGCTCCCGTGAGGGCGTGACGATGATGGAAGCAGGCGCAAACGAACTTCCTGAAGAGGTCGTTTTCGACGCCATCGAGCTCGCGCACGAAGTCAACCTCGGACTCATCGACTTTCAGGATGGCATGGTGGAAGCCATAGGCAAGCCCAAGTCGCAGGAATATGAATCTTTCGCCTATCCCTCGGAGCTTGACGATGAGCTTGCGGGCATCCTCGGCAGTGGTGTGACGGACGCATTCGCATCGTCCACAGGCAAGGCAGACCTAGACGAGAGACTGGACGTACTGCGCGCAAAGGTCGCGGACGATCTTGGCGAAGAGTACGAAGCCAACCACCTGCGCGACGCCTTCGAGGTGCAGCTTGAGCACGCCTTCAAACAGAACGTGCTGTCAGGCGGCAAACGCCCCGACGGACGCGACAGGCGCGAGATACGACCCCTGTCTAGTGCCGTAGGGTTGTTGCCCCGGGCGCACGGCAGCGGGCTGTTCAATCGCGGCGAGACGCAGATTCTTGGCGTCGCAACGCTCGGCTCAGTCGGCGACGCACAGCGACTGGACACCCTTACCCCTGAAGAGACCAAGCGCTTTATGCTGCACTACAACTTCCCGCCCTATTCAGTGGGCGAAGTGCGGCGCATCGGTTCGCCGGGACGACGCGAGATCGGACACGGCGCGCTCGCAGAACGCGCCATCGCACCTGTCCTGCCAAGCCAGGAAGATTTCCCATACACGCTGCGAATCGTCTGCGAAGCACTCGGCTCAAACGGCAGCACATCAATGGCGAGTGTCTGCGCAGGCACTCTTGCGCTGATGGACGCCGGCGTACCCATAAAGTCGCCGGTCGCAGGCATCTCAGTCGGACTCATAGATGGCGGCGACGGCGAGTATGTCACCATCACCGACATTCAGGGTATGGAAGACCATATCGGCGACATGGACTTCAAGGTCGCCGGCACGCGCGAAGGCATCACGGCAATTCAGCTTGACATCAAGGTGAACAGCATTAGCTTCGATGTCGTGCGGGACGCGCTTGAGCAGGCTAAGGAAGCCCGCCTGTTCATCCTCGACCACATGCGCGACACAATCAGCGACACCCGCGAGGACCTCAGCCTGTTCGCCCCGCGAATGCTGCAAATCAAGGTTGCGGTTGACAAGATTGGAACAGTGATAGGGCCAGGCGGCAAAACCATACGCGGCATCACCGAAGCGACAGGCGCGACCATCGACATTCAGGATGATGGCACAGTTGTCATCGGCTCTCCTGACGGCGCCGCCGCTCAGAAGGCTGTGCAGATGGTTGACGACCTGACACGCGAGGTCAAGGTCGGCGACATATTCACCGGCACGGTAGCCCGCATAATGGACTTCGGCGCATTCGTTAACATCCTCCCCGGCAAAGATGGCCTTGTGCACATCAGCGAGCTCTCGGAAGAGCGCGTCCCGTCCGTAGGCGAGACCGTCGAGATCGGTCAGGAACTCACAGTAGCGGTTATCCAGATCGACGACCTCGGACGAGTCAACCTATCGCGCCGCGCACTCCTCACTGACGAAGAGATCGACCCTGCAGGCAGAGAACCGGTAGGCGGCGGACGTCCGCAGCGCACCGGCGGATACAGGCGAGACGGTGGTGGCAGAGGACGCAACGATCGCGGCGGCAGAGACCGCGGCGGACGCGACGGTGGTGGCAGAGACCGCGAAAGAGGCGGCTACCGCAGATAGCCCATTTACAATAGCAACTACTCAAACCTCGGGCTTCTGCCCGGGGTTTTTCTTTATGCGCGCCGAATACGGTGGCCGAATATGGTAGCCGAATATGGTAAATGACCGCAGAGACGCTCAGGGAGAAACCGAATGACCGCCGGACAGCCCACATACGGAGTCAGGCCCTGTACGCGAATCCGCGCGAATAACCAGCCTCGACCTCATACGCGGCGTCGCCGTGCTCGGAATTCTGCTGATGAACGCCGTATCGTTCAAGTTCGGTCTGCCACCATACCTGAACATGAGCGCGGGCGGCTCCGAGACCTGGCTCGACTGGACGGTGGGCATCTTCGGTGAGATTTTCATCGACCAGAAGTTCATGGGGCTGTTCTCGCTGCTCTTCGGCGCGGGAATGATTCTCTTCATCGACCGCGCCTCCGCGAGAGGCATGCGCGCAGTTCTCCTGAATCTCTGGCGCAACGGTCTGCTGCTGATAATAGGCATCCTGCATTTCCTGCTGTGGGTTGGTGATGTACTGATGCTCTACGCAATTTCGTCGGTCTTCCTGATCGCCCTCCGAAAGCTGCCGGATAAGGCGCTCATTGGGGTCGGCGGCGGCGTGTTCACGCTGTCGGTTGCATGCGCGTCTCTGGCGCAGAACATTGCCGACACGACTGGCACATCCCTCGCTGGCATCTGGACGCCCGGAGAGATTGAAACTCTAGACTGGATAGGCATCCCGGTATTGTTCGGCTTCTTCCTGCGCGGTCCAGGGATGATTCTGATCGGGGCCGGCCTATACCGCACCGGCTTCATAAACGGAGGCATGCCGGAGAAGATATACCGCAGTACGGCAATCGTCGGTCTCTCCGTGGGACTGCCGCTAGCCGCACTCGGCGTCATCTTAACCGCGTTGAACGACTACTCACGCGAGGTTGCATTCATTGGCCAGATTCCCAATACCCTCGGCACGATCCCCGCATCGCTTGGTTACATGAGCCTCATCATCCTCTGGAATAACAGCGCAGACAATTGGCTCAAGCATCGCCTGCGCGCCGTCGGCAGAATGGCGCTTACCAACTACCTGACACAGACCATACTGGGTATTCTCATACTCACAATGCTGCTCGGCGATGTGAGCGGCGTAAATCGCGCGGCAATCCTGCTCTTCGTCTTCTCAGTCTGGACACTGCAGCTCTGGTGGTCACAGGCGTGGCTAAGCCGATTCCTGTTCGGTCCCGCCGAATGGCTCTGGCGCGTAGCCACCTACCGCACCGGCCAACCGTTACGCCGCCCCTATCCAATTACGACCCGCGCCTGCGCCACCAGCCCAGACTGACGCCATACCGCCCATCTTCCTCTACTGTCATTCCGAACGCAGTGAGGAATCTAAACTCATTGCAAATACACCATTGCGATCGCAACGCACGTCTATCCCGTCATCCCGGACGCGGTGCCTGTTCATCCGTCTCAGTCTCTTCATTCTGACACAGCGCATGTCTATTCTGTCATTCTGAACGTAGCGCAGCGGAGTGAAGAATCTAAAAATCGCTGTACAGGCGGCAATCTCCGATTTCAGATTCCTCGCCTGCCCTCGAAATGACAGAAAATATCCACACAACCTAATCCCACATCGCCCGCCTGCTTTTGTTGACACATGTTGATGTGAGCCATATTGTCCCTTCCCCCTCGATGGGGGAAGGTTAGGATGGGGGTGAAGTCGAAATCAAGCACAATGTTGAATGCAACAGCAATACCGCCCGCCTTTCCCCCTTGACAACACAAACATTCGTGCGTACCATAGAGATCGATATAAAGAACATACATTCGTGCTTGGCACATCGAAACCCATTACTGGCAACTAACAGCTGTGAACTGAAGACTAACGCCAATGTGCATTCCCGACACCCTACAACAGAACATCCTGACGAGCACCAAAGGCGGTTGCGACATCGCCACCTTCCTCGCAGAAACAATGCGTGGCGAAACACTAGGCGTCAAAGTCAACCACCGCCTCGAAGCCGCCAAGCAACTCATCAAGCACGGCTTCCCAAACGACCAGGCAGCCATCCTTGATCGTCATTCCCGCGCAGGCGGGAATCCAGAGGGGCAGGGCGAGGGGACACCCCCTTCAGCCAATCCAGTGCAGGTAACCCACCTCGACATCCTAAACTACCAAATAGCCCACCTCATCCGTCACGAGACTGCCGAAGGTCATACCATCGTCAACTTCCTCGTGGACACTATGACCGGCAGAGACAGGCCATTCACCCCCAGGAAGTTCAGGATCAAACCCGCAGACCGCATGGCAGCAGCAAGAGAACTCCTGCGCCGCGGCTTCGGTGACCTCGGCTCACGCCGCAAGCTGTCAGACACCACCGACGAAGCAAACGCCTACGACACCCTGCACACCGACCTCGCCAGGCGTATGCGCGAGTACAGCGAACGCGGCACCGACACCATCCGCTTCCTGCTCGAAGTAATGTCAGACCCCAACCCTGAAGAAGAGTTCACCGTCCACCACCGCATGTCAGCAGCACAGGAGCTTCTGCGCCGTGGCTGGGACACCAACTACGACAACATCAAGCCTGAGCACCTCAAGGACTACTGGCAAGACAAGGAAAGCACGCGCCTGTCCAAAGGCCAGAAAAAGAAGCAGGCAGGCATGTCTGTCTATGTTGACGAGTACGACATCTATGACGATGTGGACTACGAAGCCATAGCCCGCCAACTCCGCGAAGACGAAGACCGCGAAGCCAATTCAAAGCCTCTTCGTTTCCACGAGACCGTCCCATCTTCTCGCCATTCCCGCGAAAGCAGGAATCCAGAAGACCAGCAAGCCGTAGCCACAATGCTCCCTCTCCCCCAGGGAGAGGGTTGGGGTGAGGGCAACGAAAACTCCCCTGCATCTCCTCCATCCATGTCAAACAACACCCCGTCCACCCCGACTCTGCAGAAAAGCCTGCCCCTGAGTAAATCAGAGAACGAACCCTCCGACCCCAAAGCAATCATCAAAGAGTTCAAGGAAGCGATGGACAAGGGCGACGAGCGAGCCGCCCTCCGCGCAGAGGCAAAGTACCGCCGCATAGACATCAAAGCAGAAAGAAACATCTACGACTACGGCCCCAACGACCCCGACCCAACAATCGACTACTACTACGAACCCCTGAGCAAGGAAGATCAGGCAAAGTCCGACGAGGAAGACAGACGCGAACACGATAAGCCCGCGCCCGACCCGTCCATCAGCAAGCCCACCTTCACATACATCCGCGCCCAGCCGGTCGACGACCAGGAACGCGCACCGCCATGATGGAAAAGACGTTAGGTTCTGTTGACATCTGATGCACAAAGCGTTTTAGCACTGAAACGTATGTTTATTCTGTAGTTCTGAACGCAGCGCCTTTGTCCCCGTCATTCTGAACGCAGCTGACACTTACACTGTCATTCTGAGCGCAGCGCAGCGGGGTGAAGAATCTAAGATCGTTGCACATACACCATTCACAGACTTCAGTTTCTTCGCTTCACTCGGAGTGACAGGGAGCAAATGTGAGTTGTCCACACAACCTAGTCACTGATAGCCCCATCTGTCCGGCACTTGGAGGTTTGTTGCCGCCGCTCAACCTACTTGCCCGCACCACCATCCCCGATTATACTTGCGCGCATCCATTAGCTATAAAGGGGGTGGCGTACATGCCAAAAGCTCCAGTGAACGGCATACAACTTTACTACGAATCCACCGGCGAGGGCTTTCCGCTCATCTTGGCGCATGAATTCGCGGGCGATTTCCGCTCATGGGAGCCGCAGGTGCGCTACTTCTCGCGCTACTACCGCGTCATCACCTACAACGCAAGAGGATACCCGCCATCGGATGTGCCCACTGACGAAGACGCCTATTCACAGGATATAGCGGTCGAAGACCTGCGCGGCTTGCTCGAACACCTAGGCATCGAGTCCGCCCACATCTGCGGCTTGTCAATGGGAGGCTCGCTCGCCCTGAACTTCGGGCTGACATACCCGCACTTGGCAAAGTCTCTGATCATTGCCGCTGCGGGATCAGGTTCAACTGATGTGGATGCCTGGCGAGATAACGTATTCCAACGCTCGCGCGCGATGGAGGAACGAGGCATGTCCTCAATGGATGACTACGCGAGCGGTGAGGCACGCGTTCAGCTCCGCCGCAAAGACCCCCGCGGCTACCGCGAGTTCGCCGACCAGTTCCTCTCCCACTCCGGCCTCGGCTCCGCGCTAACCTTCAGAGGCGTGCAGGGCAAGCGCCCGCCCGTCTTCGCAATCGAAGAAGAAATGCGTGCGCTCACAATACCCTCGCTCATAATGCTCGGCGACGAGGACGACCCATGCATCGAGCCAAGCATCTTCATGAAGCACTGCATCTCTACATCCGGCCTCGTGATGTTCCCGCAGTCCGGACACGCCATCAACCTCGAAGAGCCGGACCTCTTCAACCGCAGCGTCCAGGATTTCCTGATCGCGGTCGAAACCGGCACTTGGGCACAACGCTAATCCTGAAGGAGGCAAGCAGGAAGAGCAGAAGCCATCAGCCCCAACCCCGTCGCAGGGCAGCTATACTCAAGGGCAGCGAAAAATGTTTACTCTGTCATTCTGAACGCAGCGCAGCGGAGTGAAGAATCTAAAATCATTGCGAATACACCATTCACAGACTTCAGATTCATCCCTGCGCTCGTAATGACTGGAAATGTCCACACAACCTAGTTAAGCGTAGCCACGCTGAACACAACATGGAACGGCATGCAGTATATGACCACGCTGCCATATCCGGATCCGTCATCGCCGTCCGGCAGGAAATAATTCTGGTTGCCCAGGTTGCCCTTCAGCTTGCCCAGACTGATGTACCCTTCGACATCACCGCGCCCCTGCGGGTCCGGATTGGGAACAAGCAGCACATGCAAATCCGGCCCATTGGTAACGCTGAATTCCTCCAGCCGCAGCAGGTTCTTACCGTCCGCGCTGCGATAAATCGTCGCGGTGCCGCTGCCCTTGTGGAAGCTGTCGGCACCCTGGAAGCTGCCCGACCTGACCTTCACGACCGAAGCGTCCATCTTGGTCGAGTCGTCCGGCATCGCCATTTCTTCAGGCACTTGCTCTTCGTAAGTGTTGAACCTGCTTGCCGCCTGGACCATGGCTTGCTCGGCCTCTTCCATCGTCATGTCGGCCGGAACGACAGCATTGGCCGCGAGCGGAAACTCCTCATCGATAGTCGTGCTGATGAATAGCGGAGACAGCAGCCACCATGCCAGCGCCAGTCCCGGAATGCCTATGATGACTACAGCCGCAATAATTATGCGCTTACGAGTGAACATCCGCACACCTCCCACCTACCATATAAGCGATTCGAAAACTCTCAAATCAGACCTTGGAGTACTTCGGAGTCGCCGTCTTTGAGCCGTCGGGCAGTGTCTCTGTCGTAAAGTCCCCGAACAGCAGCGGCGCTTCGACTTCCAGTGCTTCTAACACCATTATAGCAAGTCTGCGTATTTCCACATCGGCGAAGGCGCTGCCTCGCATTTCGATGAAGTGCCGCCACGCCCGCACGTTGGCGGTAACGAATATCTTGGTCTCGGTTGCATTTGGCAGAACCGCGCGCGCCGCCTGCCGGATTGCCTTGCGGTGGTCAGTTGCAAGCTTGAACCGCTCGCGGGGTATGGCAGACTCCAGCGCCTTGACCAGTTCATCATAGCCCTTCGCCGCGCTTTCAATCGCCGCCTCGAAAACAGCCTGAACCTCGTCGTCGGCAGCGTCGGCAAGCACTGGCGGCGCGACGAACCTGCTGCCGCTCTCGTCCACATATCGCTGGCTGCGCTGGCTGTATGCGAAGCCCGCGCGGTGACGCACCAGTTCATGCGTCAGCGAGCGCGACACCCCCGTGAACACGAAACCGTAGTTGATATGCTCAAACACGCTTCCGTCCTTAAAGCGCAGCAGATTATTGATAAAGTCAGCGATATCGCGTCTGCCCCTGCCGTAGCTCATGTAGCATAGCCTCGCGGAAATCTCCGCTATGGCGGCAGATTCGTCTTCGCCGGCGCGTATGCTGTCCGGGATGCCGGGCACACCCTCATCCGCAAGGAACGCAGCAACCTGCTCCCAATCCACCGAGGGCTTTGTAACCAGATAGGCTTTCGGCTGCGTGATTATGGCGCTCACTACGCAAACATCCTTTTCGATGGAATTACAGATAAAGGTTAGAAGAAAGACCGAAATCCCCAAAGGCAAATCGAGGTGAAGAATAAAGTAAAAACCTACGCGCAGTCATTGCTGCGCGTAGGCTGACAGTTCGACCCAAAGATTAGATCTCTATAGCATAAGGCTCAGCGGATTTTCGAGTGCGTTCTTCACTTCTATGAGGAATTGCGCGCCTTCTGCGCCATCCACCACGCGGTGGTCGGCTGAAATTGTGGCATTCATAGTCTGCCGAATCACGATTTCATCGTCTCTTACGACTGGTCGTTTGGCGACAGTGCCAACCGCCAGGATGGCGGTTTGAGGAGGCTGTATGATGGCGACGAATGTGCTCACGTCGAACATCCCGAGATTGCTGACGCCAAATGTACCGCCCGTGTATTCGTCGGGGCGCAGCGTACCGTTCTGCGCGCGGTCCGCGAGGTCTTTGCTCGCGAGTGCGAGCGACTTCAGTGGCATCTGCTCGCAGCCCATGATGGCGGGCATCAGCAACCCTTCTTCAACCGCCATGGCAATACCGATGTTCACATTATCGTTCGGACGTATAACATCGCCGTCAAGGAAGGCGTTGAACTTGGGGTGCTTCTTCAGCGCGTCGGCGCACGCCTTGATGATGAGGTCGTTGACGGTCACGCGCACGCCCTCGCCCTCCAGCGTCCTGTTTATCTGCTGGCGCAGGACCATTGCCTCGGTCATATCTACTTCCGAGGTTACATAGAAGTGCGGCTTCTCTTGCTTGCTGCGCACCGTGACCCTGGCGATCTGCTGTCGCATTCTCGAGAGCTGCATGGCATCGTCCGCAGCTTCCTCTTGTGCGACCTCGGCGGGCTGTTCTTCGATGACCACCGGTTCCGGCTCGGGTTCGGCCTCCAACTCCTCTTCTGCCACCACCTCTACTTCAGCTTCAACTGCAACCTCCGCTTCAACGGCTTCTACCTCTTCCGGCTCGGGCTCCTCCATTATGTCAGGTTCCACTGGCTCAGGTTCTTGGTATTCGAGGACATCGTCTTTGACAACGCGTCCACCCGGACCAGTGCCCTGCACTTTCGTGATGTCGATGCCACGCTCATCGGCGATACGGCGCGCTATGGGCGATGCGCGCAAAGGGGATGCCGCTAAGGGTGGTTCTTCCACCTCTGGTTCCAGCTCCGCGACATGTAACTCTTCCGTGGCAATATCGCTGCTAGCGGGAGGCATGGGAATTGCAGCGCTTGGTGTCGGCTCGTCCGCATCGACATCGACGGGAATGGTAGGCCCTTCGTCCGACGCAGTGTCGTCAACGGCGTCGAAAGTCTCATCCTGCGCGCCGACTAACGCGATAGGTTCGCCCACCGGGACAGTTGTGCCAGCGGGAACGATTATTCGGTGGAGTACACCCTCAGCGTAAGACTCGAACTCGACTACCGCCTTGTCGGTCTCTATTTCAGCGATGGGTTCGCCGTTCGCCACCGCGTCTCCCTCACCCTTCAGCCACCGCAAGACAGTGCCTTCCTGCATGTCATAGCCCATCTGCGGCATAGTCAGTTCGGTTGCCAATCGACACCCCCTGTTACAGTAAATCTCATGACTAAAGATTAAAGCGTGGGAAGATCAACATCAAGGTATATCAGAGCTATGCTTCTGCATAAGGTGAGAGTCCAAGCAAGCCTGCAACTACTGGATAGCTTTCAAGTTGGTCACTTTGGCGCTCGCGCTGCAACGCTACGCAAGGCACAACCCGCGTACCATCAGATGCCGTAGTTGTCCGATAAGGCCTTGATGATCCTCTCTGAATTCGGAATCGCCGCCGCCTCAAGAGTGCCGTTATAAGGCGCCGGCACATCTAGGCCTCCCACCCGCGCAACTGGGCCGTCGAGGTCATCGAATGCTTCTTCCTGTATAGTGCTGGCAATCTCACCGCTGAAGCCACCAGTTTTCCAAGTCTCCTCGACAACAACGACACGGTTCGTCTTACGAACGGATTCTAACACTGTTTCCTTGTCCCATGGTCGCAGTGTGCGAAGGTCAATGACTTCCGCTTGTCTGCCTTTCTCCTCAAGCATCGCAGCAGCTTGTAGAGCCACATGAGTCATGCGAGAGTACGCAACGATTGTCACATCATTGCCTTTTCGTTTGATGTCCGCTTGACCAAATGGAATCTCATACCATTCATCGGGCACTTCGCCACGCATGCCATACAGCAGGGAGTGTTCTGCAAATAAAATGGGATTATCGTCCTTCATCGCGGCGCGGAACAGTCCCAGAGCATCGTAAGGTGTTGCCGGCACGGCGACCTTCAACCCTGGCACAGAAGCGTACCAGTTCTCGAAGCTCTGAGAATGGGTTGCGGCAAGCTGACCTCCGCCACCAGTAACCGTGCGTATGACAAGCGGAACCGAGAATTGACCATCAGACATGTACCTGAGCTTCGCGGCGTGGTTCACAATCTGGTCGATCGCGACAAGGCTGAAGTTGATGGTCATCAACTCGACGATGGGCCTCAGGCCAGCCAATGCTGATCCGACTCCCGCGCCCACGATGACTGACTCGGATATCGGCGTATCCATTATGCGCTCAGGACCAAATTCATCGAGGAAGCCGCGAGTTACGGCGTAGGCGCCGCCATAGGCGCCAATGTCCTCACCCATTATAAAGACGCGGTCGTCCTCCAGCGCCTCACGGAGCGCTTTGGTGACGGCCTCCCTGAGAATCATCTCAGTCATGTCTCACCCCACATCTATGCGTAAACATTTGTGTACATCGCGTCCATATCAGGCGCAGGACTATCCTCTGCGAACTGCACGGCTTCATTGACTTGCTCGTCCACTTTGGCTGCAATTTTGGCGAGTTCCTCTTCACCCGCGACATCGAACTGAATCATGAAGTTCTTCAGACTGTCTATCGGGTCCTTGATCCCTAGTTCTTGAGCCTCATCTCGTTCTCGGTACATCGTGGGATCCGCCATGGAGTGACCACGATAGCGATAGCACATCGCCTCTATGAAGCGCGGCCCCTCACCCTTTCGGATGGACTTGACAGCCTCTGAAACGCACTCGTTGACACCAAGAACATCCATACCGTCTATCTGGACGCCGGGAATGTCATACGCACTCGCCACTTCGTAAATGTGCCTGCCGCCCGCGTGAGTGCGGTCAACATGCGTACCCATGCCGTAGAGGTTGTTCTCAAGCAGAAACAGTATGGGCAACTTCCACACCGAAGCGAGATTCAGCGTCTCATGGAACTCGCCCTGGTTGACGGCGCCATCGCCAAAGAAGCACAAGGTAACAAGGTCTTCCTTCTTGTACTTGCTTGACAGTGCAAGTCCTGCCGCTATGGGCATCTGCCCTCCTACAATGGCGTGGCCGCCCATGAAGTGCCTTTCAACATCGAAAAGGTGCATTGAGCCGCCCTTGCCTCCACTGCTTCCCGTTGACTTGCCGCACAGCTCCGCCATCGCAATTTTTGGGTCCATTCCCTTAGCGATGGCATGACCATGGTCGCGGTAGTGACCGATAACGTAATCGTCGGGACGGAGCGCAGATATAGCACCGACTGCGATGGCTTCTTCACCAATGTAGAGGTGCAGGAAGCCGCGAATCTTGCCTTGCATGTAAAGGCGCCCGCACGCTTCCTCGAATCGTCTAATCAGCAGCATCTGCCTGTAAAACTCGGCTAGTCGCTGCTTGTTAAGTGTCGATTCCACTTTGGCAATTCACCTCTTGTTGCTCTTTCGCGTAGTTAGGTCGGCCTATATGTGAATGGCTTCGCCCTCAACTGCTAGAGCCGCCTCTTTAATCGTTTCCGAAATAGTAGGGTGTGGATGCACAAGCCATCCCAATTCAGTAGTTGTGCCTTCAAGGAGGCGCGATAGTCCGACCTCGCCGAGCAGCTCGGTCGCCTCTGGGCCTATAATATGCGCGCCCAGCAACTCCCCTACTTCGCTGTCCACAACCAGTTTGACCATGCCGTTCGGCTCACCCATTGCAAGAGCCTTCCCGCTTGCCGCCATGGGGAACCGTCCCACTTTGAAGGAGTATCCTGCGTCGATTGCCTGCTGTTCGGTTAAACCAAAGCTCGCAATCTGCGGCCTGCAGTATGTCGCGCGTGGCATCAGGGAATAGTCCAGCGGCATCGGGTTCATGCCAGCAATCACCTCTGCCGCGATAACACCCTGAGCAGATGCCACATGGGCGAGAGGCAACTTTCCGGTTACGTCTCCAATAGCAAATACACCCGGCACGTTGGTACGCATTTCATCATCCACTGTGATGTATCCGCGCTCCGTATTGACACCGGCTACTTCAAGCCCAATATCTTCAGTGTTGCCCTGTACGCCTATCGCGACCAGTACCTTGTCGCACTCAATCTCGCTCACTGACCCATCAGCATCAGTGACCGTTACAGCGGCGGTGCCTTCGCTCACAGTGACACCACCAACCATCGCTCCTGTCTTAAATCCGATGCCCCGACGACGGAAGACTCGCTCCAATTGCTGGCTTATCTCCTCGTCTTCCAGCGGAACCAGCCTGGGCAGCATCTCGATTATCATAACCTCTGCGCCATAGGAATGGTAGATGTCAGCGAATTCGACGCCGATCGCGCCGCCGCCAACTATAACAACTCGCTCAGGAACCTCACGCAGCACGATCGCCTCGCGGGATGTAAGCACAGTTTCGCCATCAACGGGAATACCGGGGATATGCCTGGCGCGTGCGCCAGTGGCAACCATGATATTGTCTGCGCTGATGGCGCGATCTGCCCCGTCGATCGCAATGGTATTCGCACTTTGCAGGATGCCGCGTCCGCTGATATGCTCTACTCCGTTTTTTCTCAGCAGACGAACCCACACCACCGGTGAGTCGCCTCACGACCTGGCGGCTGCGATCAATCGCCAAACCGTAATCGAAGGTAACATCGCCGACACTGATGCCGTATTCGCCGGCATTCTTCACCAACTCCAGAACTTCGGCATTTCGCAACAGCGACTTGCTTGGAATGCAGCCCCAGTTCAAGCACACTCCACCAACGTTATCGTCCTCGATAACCGCAGTGCTCAAACCAAGCTGCGCTGCGCGAATCGCCGCGACATAGCCGCCAGGACCCGCGCCAATAACAACCACATCATAATCTGCCAATCCAACACCTCAAAACGGAGAGCCTCATTCACCCTATCGTATCGCTTGCGCGATCACGCCAAGACATGTTTCTGTGTTTTCTATCAAGAGCCTATTCTACACTAACAATAGCGCTTCAAGAAAGCGCGAGTCGAAAGCCTGAATCTTGATAGACTACATGGCTGAGTGTTCCGGAATATGGCAGCAGAACTGCCAATGCATATGCGAGGTCGTGTGCCTCCAGTTGTACAAGCATTCAACTTGACACTGCGCTGAGCTGTTATTAACATGTTTAGACGCGCCGAGGTAGCTCAGTAGGTAGAGCACAGCACTGAAAATGCTGGTGTCGTCAGTTCGATTCTGACCCTCGGCACCAGCCAAGTCGTCGGCACCCGCTGGCCGGCGCGCAAGGTTCGCAGCGGGCGGAAGTAGCTCAGTTGGTAGAGCACATCCTTGCCAAGGATGAGGTCGCGGGTTCGAGCCCCGTCTTCCGCTCCAATTTTCTTCCCCGCCATTTCATAGGACCCCGTTCATTCCTGAGAGTGTTATGCTCACCCCCTCCGCTATTCAGGAAGATTCGCGCCGCGTAGGTGTGCTGTGTCATTTATGCAGACGGGAAACCAGCCTTCTCGATTGAACCTGAAGCGACATATGGATGTATTCTCCAATACCGTCTTCCAGATGAACTGCTCGTCGAAGCCGAGTATGTAGTGTAGGATGCAGCGCGTAGCGGCGCCATGTCCAATGATGGCTATCTGAAGAGATTGTGGGACACTGGTGAGGTCGGCGTTGTACAGTATTTCATCCTCTAGCCAGTTGGCGTAGCGGCGCTGCACCATTCGGTGCGACTCGCCCTGCGGTGGGACAAAGTGACTGGCCTTCGCCCGCATATACGCGAGCAGCTCAGGCGTCAGCAAGTCATCCGTACGCAAGCCTCTCCAGCCCGTTGTCTTCTGCTCGACAATAGCCTCCACGCGGGCAAAATCCTTGTTTGCCTCACCCATTGCGTCCAGCATGGTCTGGGTTGTCTGAACGGTACGGACAAGGCTGGAGCAATACACCTTGTCGAAGGTGATGCCATCTTGCTTAAGCCTCTCTCCAAGAAGACGTGCCTGAGCGAAACCTCTACGTGTAAGCGAAGAATCCGCGTTCAAGGATGTTCGGTCCGGCATGGCGTTGGACTCAGATTGGCCGTGTCTGATGAAATAGAATTCGCACTCAAAGTTCTGGTGAATCAATTTAATTTGCCTCCTGCATGGATACAGCGAAGACGCCGGCGACTATCCTTCCTATGTGTAGAACAGGATTGTGAGAAACTTTTCAAACATGCGCCGATAAGGTATCATGTTGCGCGCGGTTTAATCTGTAACAAGTGGTTAATTTGCATTAACGGATTGTTAAGATTTTGTCGCCCTTGATGGACCACCGCGAAGGGCAAACTAGCGGTTCGGGTTCGATCTGATTCGACCAATTACAACTTGAGCGCAAAAAATTCTAGTCAGTACGGAGGTGGAATACATGGGAAACCGCTTAGAAGGCAAAACAGCGGTTGTAACAGGCGCGGGCCGCGGAATAGGCAGGGCAACAGCACTGCTGCTCGCGGAGGAAGGCGCGTCAGTCGTGGTCAACGACCTCGGCTGCGATATTGACGGTAGCGGCTCGTCGCAAGACCTCGCCGACAGCACCGTTGAGGCAATCAAGGCAGCCGGCGGCAACGCTGTCGCCAACTACGACAACGTCGCTACAATGGACGGTGGCGAAGCCGTCATCCGGTCGGCTGTGGACAACTTTGGTCAGGTGGATGTCCTCGTCAACAGCGTCGGTGTGTTGCAAGACCGCATGATTTATCGCATGACTCCGGACGATTGGGATCGAGTCATCCGGTACAATGTTAAGGGCGTGTTCTCGCCAACTAAGTTCGCGGCCATACTGTTTAGGCAGCAACGCAGCGGGCGTGTAGTTAACTTCACTTCCGATGCCGGACTAGGCGACATAGGTCGCTCGAACTATGCGGCAGCGTCAGAAGCAATTATCGGACTGACGCGCACAGTCGGCAGGGACCTGGGCCGTTATGGCGTTACCTGCAACGCCATCTCTCCGCTGGTGGAAACTCGGTTATTCCCTGGCTCAGTGGAAGAGTTCCGCGTAGTGCAGGGACCGTCACCCACACCGGCAGAGCGCGCAGGCATAGGCCAGTCCCCGCCCGTCTCCGAATGGGAAGGTGAAGGCAGCCCGGACGACCCCGCGAATGTCGCTCCGTTGGCAGTGTATCTCTCCACTTATGCCGCGCCGAATGTGAACTGCAATGTGTTTGGCGTGCGTGGTGGCAGCATATACCTGTATTCCAACCCTGAAATTGCAAACGCTATTCATAAGTGGGGCACTTTCACAATGGACGAGATGGATGTGCTGGTCCCGAAGATTTTTGGCAAGGGCCTCTAGCCCGCATTTAATCACATTTCACGGTAACAAGCTGAGAAAGGAAACAAGTATGGGCAAGAGACTTGAAGGGCGAGTAGCGATTGTTACTGGCGCCGGCCGGGGGATCGGTCGAGGTGTAGCAATGCTTCTGGCAGAGGAAGGCGCATCCGTCGTCGTTAACGACCTCGGCGGGGGTGTTGACGGTGTGGGAGGCTCTGACGCTCCCGCTTCTCAGGTAGTGGCAGAGATCGAGGCTCGCGGTGGTACCGCAGTAGCCAACTTCGATTCGGTTGCAGACCACGAGTCCGCTGGCAAGGTAGTACAGACGGCTATCGACAACTTCGGTCGCATCGACGTGGTGAACCACGTAGCCGGTATCTTGCGCGACCGGATGGTGTTCAATATGACTGAAGAGGAATGGGACGCTGTATTGCAGGTCCACCTCTACGGAGCATTTAACATGGTGCGTCACGCCGTACCACATATGATTAACCAAGGGTACGGAAGAATTGTGCTGTTCTCGTCCGGCTCCGGAATGGGCGCATCCGGGCAGGCGAATTACGCAGCAGCCAAAGAAGGAATGGTAGGCTTTACGCGGGCGCTCTCGCGTGAGCTTCACGAGCACGGCATCAAGGTAACGCAGTTTATCCGGGTGGCGCGACTCGCATGACCGAGACTATACCAGAGAGCACGCAGCAGCTTAGGCAGACACAGCGTCAGGCAGCTGCAGCGTCTGTTGGCGCTACACTGACGACGCAGGGTGCGCCGATTATGGGACCGCCTGAGGCGCGGGCGCCTGAGAACAATGCTCCTAAGGCAGTGTATCTCTCGTCAGAGAATTGCCAGATTACTGGGCAAGTAGTCGGTACGAGCGGTTGGCCCGCAACTCTTTACTCGCCACGGCACGTAATTCGCAGCATTCACAAAAACAACCGTTGGACTCTGGACGAGCTAGACGAGTTGCTCCCGATTTCCCTGGGGAACGGGCTAGTTAATCCGGTTCCACCACAGGCATCACGTTAATAGCCTAGAGCGATATGGACTCATCGAACGGGAGCAGCGACTGGTGCGCTGCTCCCGTTCTGCTTTTTGCCTAGAATTGGAAATTGCCCGCGTGCCATGCTTACGTGGCGTATCTGGAATCAACACCTACCCATGTTAGGCAGTCAGTCCTATGATAAAATCGTGAGTGATGAACTGGCTTGATATAGTGTTGATTGGTCTTGTGGTCATTGGTGCGCTGCGCGGGTTTCGCATTGGGCTGATTGGCGCTGCGGTCAATGCCTTTGCCTTGATTGCGGGGTGGCTGTTCGCAAGCCAAATTGCCTACGCTCTAGGGCTTATCGGCGGTAATTTCGGATGGGGTAGCACCAGCGTCATAGTTGCCGTGTATGTAATAGTGATTGCGCTGACGGTGGGAGTCATTCAGTTCGCGTGGAAGATATTGCGAAGGTCAATGGGCATAGTTACTCTTGGAGCATCTTCACTGGTTGACCGCGTGGGCGGGTTGTTGCTTGGTGTCATACTGGGGGGTGCGCTCGCCGCGGTATTGATACTCGGACTTGCCAGATTCGCATATAACGTGCCCCTGGAGAACGCCAATATGCCCGGTGCAAGCGGAGATGTGCGTGATGGGCTGGAGCGCGCACTTACAGAGTCTGCGGTAGTAAGGATTTTCGTCGAGGAAACCGATGCGCTGCCACTGAACGCATTCGGATTCATATCCCCTGTTTTTGCGGAATCGTTGGATTTATTGGAGAGAAGGCTTTAAGACGTAGCGACGTTAACACCAGAATTTGAGCGGGGCTGATAATGTCAATAAACAATCCTGTGCTGGTGCTGAACCAGAATTATCAACCTCTGAACGTATGTAACGCGCGGCGAGCGATTGTGCTGCTGGGGCGGGGCAAGGCGGAGACACTCATTGATGGGGAGGAGCACATTGCCACCGTGTCCCGGCGCGTGCCTATTCCGTCCGTGATACGGCTCATCTATATGGTGAAGAGGCCTCTCGTGAGGCGGAGGCTGTCGCGTCGCGCCGTGTTCTATCGGGATGGCTTTCGATGCCAGTACTGCGGCATGAAATCCAAGAATCTGACTCTAGACCACATCGTGCCGCGCTCACGCAAGGGAGCTCATGTCTGGGAGAATGTTGTCAGCGCGTGCACTCCTTGCAACCACAGGAAGGCAGGCTTCACGCCGCGTGAGGCGAATATGAGGCTGCTGACCACGCCTGCCGCGCCACGTCCAAATCCTTATTATATCTTCCACCACCGGCAAATCGAGGACGAATGGCGTCAATTCATGCCGTGGATGGAATAACGCGATAGCAGTTAGACGTACACGATTGGGTTGTAGCAGGCCAGGCGGTGGTTCGGCTCGACCTCCACTAGCGGGGGAGCGGACAGGGTCCGACACTGGTTGACGGCTTTGCCACAGCGCTCCAGGAATGGGCATCTGTCAGGGGCGTCAATCATCTTGGGCGGCGCGCCGCGTATGGGGTTTAGTGACTGCTGCCCGGTGTCCAAGCGGGGTATCGCCTGGAACAGCGCCCAAGTGTAGGGGTGAAGGGGCTTTGCAAATAGCGACTTGTGTCTGTGTATTCGACGATCGTACCGCCGTACATGACCGCCACTGTCTGGGTCATCTGAGCAACGACACCAAGGTCGTGGGTGATGAGCATAATCGCGGAGTGGTTCTCCTTGCGGAGTAGGCTGAGGCGATGCAGAATCTCGGCTTGCAGGGTTACGTCGAGGTTGGAAGTAGGCTCGTCTGCGATGAGCACCTTCGGCTTGAGTGCGACGCCGATTGCCAGGAGAACGCGCTGCGCCATGCCACCGCTGAGCTGGAACGGGTAGCGGTTGAGCATATTCTTGGCATCGGGAATGCCCATCTGACCGAGCAGTTCTATGGCGAGGGCGCGGGCGCGCCTGCCACCGAGGTCCGTGTGCTCAAGGACTATTTCCTCGACCTGCTTGCCGATGGGAATGACGGGGTTCAGCGCCGCACCTGCATCCTGGAATATCAGGGAGATCTCCTTACCGCGGATGTGGCGGATCTCCTCGGAGGTCATGCCCAGCAGCTCGCGGCCGTTGTAGGTGATGCTGCCCTTGACGATCTCGCCGGGGAATGGCACGAGCTGAAGCACGGAGAGGGCGGTTACGGTTTTTCCGGAGCCACTCTCGCCCACGACGCCGAGTATGGAGTCTTCTTCGAGAGCGAGAGAGACGCCGTTGACTGCCTTGTTGACACCGTCCTTGCTGAAGAAGTAGGTGTGGAGGTCTTTGATTTCGAGAAGATGGGTTGGCATGGTACACCATCAATCCGCTTGGAATTGGGTTATGCGCGCGCAAGCGCGGCGGCCGGGCTGCGCAGGGAATAGGGGCTGAACCTGCCCGCTTTCAGCTCGGCGATGAAGTCGTCGAGATCGCGCACGGGCTGCTGGAAGTTGGTGGCGTATGTGCCGACCTGCTCGAGGCTGTGGGCGTCGCTTGCGCCAGTGGCGTTCAGGCCAAACCAGTCGGCGAGGTCGCCCGCGAAGTGATTTTCTTCGTCGGAGCCGCGACCGTTGAAGATCTCGACGGCGTCTATGAAGCCGAAGACCTTATTTCGTGATGCCCTGGTGAGCATCTCCTGATAGGCTTCGTCGCTAGTGTGAGCCTGCTTGCGGTAGAAGCGGCGGTACGGGTGGGCGACCACCATGGCACCGCCTGCGTCATCAACAAGTTCCTTGACATAGGATGCCTTGTGCATGCCGAATATGTACTCCTTCAAGCCATAGACGAGCAGATGGCCCTCTTCGGTGGTCACTTCACAGCCAGGTAGCACGAGATAGTCGTGCTTGCGTGACAGGGCATGAATGTCTTTGGGTTCCCAGAACCTATCGTGGTCGGTGATACAGACGCCGTCGAGGCCTATTCGCTTTGCCTTGGCAATCAGTTCCTCGGGAGTGAGCGTGCTGTCATCGGAGGTGGGGTAGGTGTGGGTATGAATGTCTATTATCATAGGAAGCAGGGCAAAGGATAGGCCGGATTATCCGCAGTGGCAAAGTCGGCTTAGAGCAGAAATATCTGCCCTAGTCTGACATTGGCTTTGAGTAAAGTCAAGGCGAGGGATAGAAGGATAATCTGTCAGTTAGAGCATTGCCAATAGGTGGTTATGTTGCATTCAACATTGCGTTTGATTTCGACTTCACCCCCATCCTAACCCCCGCCTTCGCTGGGGGCAGGCTCTTCCCCCATCAAGGGGGAAGGGACTTTGAGGTTAGGGGCTGCGGATTGTGGGGTTTATGCGCTTGGGGGCGAGCGGGTTTGGGTGGATGGGGTGTGTTGTGGGCGGCGGCGGCTTGGGCGAGCTGCTCGAGCGTGTCTGATTTGGCTTTTTGCGTGGGTGTGCCTGAGAAATCCGCGATTTCATCTTCGGTCAGGCCGTGTTCGCGTCTGTCTTCCTTGTCGAACTTCCCCTGCTCTTCGGGGCTAAGGGGTTCGAAGTAGTAGTCAACGGTTGGGTCGGGGTCGTTGGGGCCGTAGTCGTAGATGTTCTTTTCTGGTTTTACGTCTATGCGGCGGTACTTTGCCTCTGCGGGAGTTGATTTCGATGAAGAGGGGCTTTCGTTGCTGCCCTCTCTCCACCGCTGCCCTCTCCCTGAGGGAGAGGGAGCTTTGCGGCAGGAGTGGCGGCTTGGCGGTCTTCTGGATTCCTGCTTTCGGAGGGATGGCGCGAGAAGATGGGACGGTCTCTTGGAAACGAAGAGGCTTTGAGTTGTCGTCTCGGTCTTCGTCTTCTCTTATCTCTTTGGCTATGGCTTCGTAGTCTGTGTCGTCGTAGTTGTCGTAGTCGTCGATGGAGGTTGAGAGGCGGGCCTGGGTCTTCTTCTGGCCTATGGAGAGACGCGTGCTGTCCTTGTCGCGCCAGTAGGCTTGGAGGTGCTTGGGCTTGATGTTGTCGTAGTTGGTGTCCCAGCTACGGCGCAGAAGCTCTTGTGCCGCTGACATGCGGTGGTGGATGGTGAACTCTAGTTCAGGGTCGGGGTCTGACATTACTTCGAGCAGGAAGCGGATGGTGTCGGTGCCGCGTTCGCTGTACTCGCGCATTCGCTTGGCTAGGTCTGTGTGCAGGGTGTCGTAGGCGTTTGCTTCGTCGGTGGTGTTTGAGAGATTGCGGCGTGAGCCGAGGTCTCCGAAGCCGCGACGCAGGAGTTCTCTTGCTGCTGCCATGCGGTCTGCGGGCTTGATGCAGAACTTCATGGGGGTGAATGGCCTGTCTTTGCCGGTCATGATATGAATGAGAAACTCTACGAGGGTGTGACCTTCGGCGGTCTCGTGGCGGATGAGGTGTGCTATCTGGTAGTTGATGATGTCTATGTGGGTTACTGGGGCTGACACGGATGGGGAGGATGTAGGGCAGTTCTACAGGCTCATTACGAACGGAGACTTCACCCCCATCCCAACCTTCCCCCATCGAGGGGGAAAGGAGCTTTTGTACCCTCATCCTGAGGAGCGAGGGATTGTTGTGGCAGTCGGCGTTGGGGAAGCCGTACTTGATTAGGTGCTTTGCTGCTTCCATGCGATGGTTGACTTTGACGCCGGGAGTTTCGCCTTGCATTGTTTCCGTGAGGAAGCGGGCGATGCGTTCACCGTCTCTGGTGAAACTGATGATGTTCTGTTGTAGTTTGGTTGGGATGCACATAGGCTTTAGTTTTCAGTTCACAATTGTCAGAAATATGATCCGACAGGTTTGTTACGAATATATGTTCTTTTATATTGACTTCTCATGCTTACGCACGAATGTTTGGATTGTCAAGGGTCAATATGATGGTGTTAGACGGCTGTTCGATATGAAATGGGTGAGGTTGCGCTTATGGTACAATTCGCCAACGGTGGGATTCAGAGGCGTGCAGACAGTAAGAGAGAGGACGTCGAAAAATGACCACTATACTAGGAAACGAAGACCCTTTCGAAGAAGTAGAACGTGGGATTGACTGGCTTGAACGGTTGGAAAACATCAGGGAGCGTCAAGACCGTGAGGCGGCGATGCGGGAGACTGTGGAATACGTGGAGATGCTGCGTGGCGCCCTGATGGAATTGTCGGGCTCCACCACATTGGAATCGATAGCAGACCGCCATGGTAATGAAGTCTCGGAATTGATAGAGAGCATCAGAGGGGATGGCGAAAAGGATCCCTGGGTCGCGTACCTAAAGCCTATGCTGATCGAACGCTAGCGGTCAGGCTTTTCGACCCGGGACATTCAAAAGAAGCAGCGGCTACAGAAGCAGAGGCAGCCTGAAGGTTCCATAATCCGACATAGGCTTTTTGCTGAGTGGATTCCTGCCTTCGCAGGAATGACGAACCAGTGAAAACCGAATACCTAGGAGAGGATGAATTGACGAGAAGTATAGATATTCATGCGCATATTACGCCGGAAGGATTTTTGCGAGCCGCGGAGAAGGGCGAGGACTGGTACGGGACGCTGGCGGATGCCGGAGGTATGGTCAATTACAATCCGAGGACGGCGTGGTCGCCCGAGGAGCGGCTGGCGGACATGGACTCGATTGGTGTGGATGTGCATGTGCTGTCACTAACGCGTACTTCTATAACTACGACAAGGACGCAAGACTATCGCGGAGATGTCGCGTGAGGCGAACGACTATGTGTCGCAGTTGACGAAGGACCACCCTACCCGCTTTTCAGGTCTCGCAAATCTGCCGATGCAGGACGTCGGCGCATCAGTGGCTGAGCTTGAGCGGGCGGTTACTCAACTGGGGCTGAAGGGCGCGATGATCGGCGACCATGTGAACGGGAAGACATACGATGACCCGTCGTTTGCGCCGTTATGGGCCGCGGCGGAGCAGCTTGGCGCGGTGCTTCTGATACATCAGGGAGGGCCGACAATTGTCAACCCTCGCTCTTCGAAGTATCACCTGCCGAATACTATCGGCAATCTCGCCGATCGCACGGTTACATTCGCGTCGTTCGTGTTCGGTGGTGTGATGGACAGGCATCCGGACTTGCGGATATGCCTGTCGCATGCGGGCGGGTATGTGTGCTACGGCATTGGCAGGATGGACCGGGGCTGGCAGGTGCGCTCGGAGGCGCGCGAGCATATCGACAAGCCGCCGAGTGAGTATCTGAGCAGCTTCTATTACGACTGCCTGACGCATGACGAGCTTGCGCTGCGGATACTGATAGACCTTGTGGGCGTAGAGAGGGTGCTGTTCGGCACTGACTGGCCGTTCGACATGGCGATTGACTGGCCGGTGGCGTGGCTGATGGGGCTGGAGAGCCTGACGCAGGACGAAAAGGAAGCGATACTGTACAAGAATGTTGAGGGGCTGCTGGGGATCTAGGCGAGGTGACAGGATATACAGAATGGGTAAGGATTGAGCGATTTACACCCCCATCCTAACCTTCCCCCGTCAAGGGGGAAGGGACTATAGGAGTTCAGCGGTACGATGATTGCGAAAGAGCGGGACACCGAATACTACATCGACAAGGCGCGGGAGCTGGCTGCGCTGATTGCGGCGAATACGGACCGCATTAATGAGCAGCGCAAGATACCGACGGATGTCTCTGACGAGATTGCCGATGCTGGGTTCTTTCGCCTGCTGATGCCGCGCAATCTTGGGGGCGCACAGCTTGACCATCCTGACTTCCTGCGGATCGTGCAGATTATTGCCGAGGCTGACGGCAGCGTGGGCTGGTCTTTCAACCAGAATAATGTCTTCGCAACGAACTCCACACGGATGAACGACACGACGCGAGAGGAGATATACAGCAATCCGCGCGCGGTGATTACTAATGGGCCGCCGATGTCGCGGTCGAGGGCTATCAAGGTTGACGGAGGGTACAGCCTGAGCGGGCGGTGGAACTTCAGCAGCGGGAGCGATCATGCGACTGGATCGCTGCGCTGACGCCTATTCAGGATACGGACGACAACAGGGCGAGTCCTGCCGAAATGGTATCCAGAGATGACATGCGGATACTGCTGATTCCAAAAGACGAAGTGGAAATGGTGAACAACTGGCAGGTGAACGGGCTGCGCGGGACGGCGAGCTGGGGGTTCGAGGCTGACGGCTTGTTTATTCCGAAGCACCGGATGTATAACCCGGGCACTGCGCCACGCGAAGACGGGGCCGTTTATCGCATACCGACTTCACTGCTTTTCGCGTCAGGGTTTGGGACGGTCGCAATGGGGGCTGCCAGGGCTGCGTTGGACGCTGCGAAGGAGCTTGCGAACCGCAAGGTGCCGGGTAATTTGGATCCCGCTACGCCGCTGCTGCGGGACTGGTCAACGACTCAACGGCAGGTGGGCGAGGCGGAGGCTATCTGGCACTCGGCGCGGGCGTTCCTGCGCGAGGCTGCGGGTGCGGTGTGGAAGACGGTGTCGACGGGAGAGCCACTGGCGATGAGCCAACTGGTACACATGCGGCTGGCGAGCACGCATGCGAATCGGAAGGCGGCGGATGTGGTGGATATCGCGTATACGATGTGCGGGTCGTCGGCGATATTCGAGAGCAATCCGGTGCAGCGACGATTCCAGGATGTGCATGTGATCAATCAGCAGGTGCAGGGTCGGCTGACGCACTACGATACGGCGGGTCGGTTCTTTATGGGGATGGATCCAGGGCGGGATGGGTTGTTTTAGGAAGTTTGTCAGTTAGTCAGTGTGTCAGTCGGTCAGTATATCGTGTTGACGCTGTAGCACATTGACTATAATGGTACATCCGCCACGAAGTTTGCAGAGTCAGTCTCTGGAGGTCCGGAATAGAATATGGCTAAGGTCGAGGGTGATGTACTGGAAGGAGATTCCGGTGCAGATTCAGGCGCAGGATGCGGGCGCGCCGCCGGTTGGCGTGCCGCTGGACGCGCGGTTTCAGCAGGGGGTGGACGCGATAGCGATGTTCGATGGGAGCATGGGCAGCGACGACTACCTGATGGCGTGGGAGTGGCACGATACGGCGATGTGGCGGGAGCGGCGCAGGATGCGGCGGAGGCTGTGGCGGCGCGGTTCAACGAGGGGTTTCCGACGGACTTCGTGGCGCGGATACGGACCTGCAGAACGCGGGTGAGCGGGATGCGCGGCCGGGGGCGGTCGATCACTGGATAGATGAGAAGCTAACAACTTAGAGACATTGGGCAGCGACATTTGGAAGGTAAGAGTGGAATGACACAGAGCGAGACGCAAGCACCTACGATACTGGAGCGGCTGGCGAGGGGTGAGCTGATAATCTCGGACGGCGCGACCGGGAGCTATCTTCAGCAGCACGGGCTGGAAGACGGCGATCCCGAAGAGTGGAATGTGAGCCATCCGGAGGTTGTGCAGGGGATGGCGAAGGCGTACTTCGATGCGGGTTCGCAGATGGTGCTGACGAATACGTTCGGGGGGACGAGGCTGCGGCAGAAGCACTATGGGTTTCAGGACAGGGCGGCGGAGTTCAACAGACTGGCTGCTGAACATCGCGCGCAGCCAGGCGCCTGAGGGGTGCTTCGTGGTGGGGTCTGTGGGACCGACGGGCGAGGTGCTGGACGATCCGCTGCGAGACGAGCCGCTGACGGAGGATCAGGCTTATGACGCGTTCGCGGAGCAGATAACGGCGCTTGCGGAGGGTGGCGTGGATGCAGTGGACATCGAGACGATGATCGATGTCAACGAGGCGACGATAGCGGTGCGGGCTGCGAAGGAGAACACTGACCTGGTGGTGATATCCACGATGTTCTTCGACAAGGGGCCTCGCGGGTTCTTCACGATGATGGGGACGCGACCTGCCGAGGCGGTTAGCAGGCTGCATGAGGCTGGCGCGGACATCGTGGGGGCGAACTGCGGGAATGGCATCGATGTGATGCTGGAGCTTGCGCGGGAGCTGCGGGCGGCTACGGACGGCTACTTGCTGATTCACTCGAATGCGGGGCATTCCGTCGCCGATTGGGGGCGAGATCGTGTATCCGGAGACGCCGGAGTACATGGCGGAGCGGTTCAAGGTGATGGCGCACGATGTGGGCGTGAATATCATCGGCGGGTGCTGCGGGACGACGCCGGCGCATATAAGGGCGCTGGTGGAGGCGGTTAAGTAAGTCAGAGGCTATTTGAGGCGTACGATTATACTTTCGTTAGTGGAGTTGCAATGCAACGATGTTAGATTCCTCGCTTTGCTCGGAATGACAGCGCGAGTAGGTGAGATACCGACGCACTGACTAACTGAAAAACTCATGCGAGGTGCTTGATTATGGTTGAAATGAGAACGCGACTGCGGGCGGTGGATGTGATTGAGAAGTACGGGAATTGCCTTGAGCTGGTGTCGATGGACCCGAACTTCGAGAATATCAGCGTGGGGCTGTACATGAAGGACGGTGTGTGTACTATCTGGACTTTCAGCAGCAAGGCGGGGGTCTCGGCGCGCATTGAGCAGATACGCGATCAACTTGTTGCGCTTGGCGGCGTGGAGGCGGTGGAAGGTACGACGAACCAGGTGCGCTTCGCGTGCGGGGAGCTGCATGAGAGGGCTATCAAGTTCCTGATGAGCCAGGCTGTGGGGAAGGCGCCGGACTTCGCGCCGCCGCAGGGTGAGATGGCTATCAAGGACTCGCGGTCGCCGCTGACTATCAAGGTATCGGGTGCTGCGCAGGATGACGCCTATGTGTACTCGGTGTCGGCAGAGGGGGATGCGCCGAATCCGGCGGTGCGGCTGCGGATGGTGGTGGCGGGGTTCCTGCGATATGGCGAGATGGAAAAAGGTGGGGGACGTGGAGGTGGCTTTCCCTTGTGGGGAGCGGCATGATGCGCTGATGCGGCTGCTGATGCCGTACTCTCGGAACATATCGAGCGATGGCGCGGAGAGACGCGATGATGGCGGCAGAGGCGCACTGCCACCCCGCAGATTGACGACTGCCGGACGCTCGGCAGCGAATGTCTCGCCAGACGTAGGGGCGGGACACGATGGATAATAAGGAGCGGAGTAACGAACGTCTGGTCAGGCGAGCTCAAGACCTGAATTCGGTATTGGTCAAAAAGGGCTCGGGGACCCCATTTCCCATCAGTAGAGAGTGAGTATAGCCTTGACACAGCACAGCCTATCACTACCCACCTGCGATCTGCTTCTCTGTCTAGTGGATACCATTCGCACGATTATGACAAAGCGAAGACGTGACGTCTAAGTTTTGTCAGAGTTCAGGGCGTACGGCACTCGCGTGTTGTCTGGAATACACATCCGCGTCTCTCGAGCGACCCACCGAACAGCATCAATCAAATATGGAATGGCTCGAACCGTACTCACAGTCGACCGAGATTGGGGATAGTGCGATCAGGGAGAGAAGGGAAACTTCTGAAGAGCGTCGCCACGCTTCGACGGGATATCTCTCTGCAATGCTGGAAACATGATCGGCTTGAAGCGCAGCAAGGGCATGGTTGCCATATACGCAATGATGTTTGTTGCTTAGCAAGGACGCATTCACTAGAATGAAACATTGGAGCGTGAGCGGAGGCCACACACAAACTCTCACAAATCGCAACACGCGTGCGTAAGCGCCGAGAAACGCAGAGGCCCAGGCAGCGGATAGCCAAAGCAGAGAGTCGTGAACGACTGCAAACACTCGCCAAGATTTCTCAAACTTATCACAATGGACAATGCCCAAGGAGGGAGTGCAACGATTGAAAAGGTTCTGAATGACTCTTCGATTCGGCGGTATTCTCGTACGCAGAGAATTTTAGAAGACACCTACCAGCATCACGGGACAGGTTGTCATTGAGCACCAATTGATGGCGTCATACAACTTGCTGGTCACATCTATCTCGGCCCTTGAAATGAAGTGCCGCTGAACAGACCCACCCCAGTCCATCCGTTGAAAAAGTCGCACAGCAATCTGGTTCGGGTGGTCAAACCAGTCCTTCTAGCCGTGGAGCTATCAGTTCCACAGTGAATACACGGCGCACCACAGCAAGTTGCACACGTGTAAGGAGTCCTTAACTAATCAGGTAGTCCCATGTGCCACGCACTGTAACAATTGCAGGACTTCGTGTTCGACTATGGAGAAAGAAGCAACCTGAAAGATTTCCTTATGACAACAGATTCAACATTCGATGCGATAAGCAGCCTTTCGTTAAGTGCCGCTCGTACTCAAGTGCAATACGGCAGAAATATGATACTTTGCCGTGATCACGAGCTAGATGGTTGAGCGGCTGCTGAAGTTTAAGGAAGTGTTTGGGCCTCAGGTTGGCGGAGCTGGTGGATTGACGCAAAAAGCGCAAGGAGCAATCTCATGGCGCAAGCAAAACCCAAGAGGGCGAAAGCAAAATAATCATGATTTCGCCGACGAAGACGACCGTGTTCAACCCGGGCGACATCATACCGCCGCATATTGAGATCGACGGGATGGCGGACGCCCTGAGCGGCGGCCCCGTCTTTGAAGGCACGGATGTGCCTGTAAAGTACCTGTTTCACTACACGGACGAAGTGCATAACTGTACGCCTTCCTTGAAGACTTCCCGCAAGTGAGTATGCAACAGGCGTTGGCTGCGCTTCGGGAGCGTGTGGATACGAACGGCGTCATCCACAGCAACAGGGAGATTGTCAGCGGCACGCCCATATTCAAAGGCACGCGCGTGCCGATTGACATCCTTTTTGGGTTGCTGGCAGCCGGGGAGAACATAGATGAGTTTCTTGAAGGTTATCCAACGGTAAGCCGAGAGCAAGCTGTCGAAGCACTTGCTTTGGCAAAATACGCTTTGGAAAACGTTGCCTATGAAACTGCTGATAGATGAGTATTTGGATGTTCGGCTGAGACATCATTTCCCTGAACATGACGCTCGTACAGTTGACTACATGGGATGGAAAAGCATTGGCAATGGCAGTCTAATAGCGCTGGCGCGGCAAGAATTCGATATCTTCATTACACGCGACCAGAGCATACCAGAGCAGCGGCGTATCACTGCGGAGGAGATACCAATCATAATTATCTATCCTCGCTCGGACAGCCTGAAAGATATGATACCGTTAGTTCCGCAAGTGAGCGAAGTCCTACCCATTATCAGGCCCGGGCAGGTTGTCAAAATCAGGCCCGACAGCGAACCTGAATTTCTGTAATTTTTGACAAGGAGGCTCCTTATGACATTGGTTGAGACTATGACGCCGCGGGAGCGGGTGATGAATGCTTTGGCGGGGTTGCCGGTTGATAGGACGCCTGTCGCTAATCCGACTAATGTGGCGACGGTGGAGCTTATGGATATGGTGGATGCGCCGTTCCCGGATGCGTGCCGCGATCCTGAGCTTGCGGCACGGCTGGCGGCGACGGGGCACACGGAGCTGGGCTTCGACGCGATTATGCCGTATTTCACGATCATCCAGGAGTCGGCGGCGCTGGGCTGCGAGATGCAGTGGGAGGAGAAGGATAACTGGCCGACGGTGCGGATGGCGAATCCTATCTGGAAGGGCGTTGAGGATATAACATCCCGCCGGGCTTTCTGGAGCATCCGGACAATATCACGATCACGCGCTCGATAAGCCTGCTGAAGGAAGAGTTCGGCGAAATGAGGTGGCTATCATCGGCAAGACGATGGGGCCGTGGACGCTGGCCTACCATGTTTCGGCGTGGAGACTTTCCTGCTGATGACGGTTGACGACCCGGATATGACGATGCGCTGCCTCGACGAGCTGAAGGAAATCTCGGTGCTGTTCGGTCAGGCGCAGATTGATGCGGGCGCGGATGCGCTGACGTTCCCGGACCACGCTACGGGCGACCTGTGAGCGGCGAATACTACCGGCGGTTCCTGCTGGAGATCCACAAGGAGATGGAATCACGGCTGGATGTGCCGCTGATCTGCACATCTGCGGCAATACGCTGGACAGGATGCCGTACATCGCGCAGACGGGGATGGCGGCGTTCCACTTCGATTCCAAGAATGACCCGCAGGCGGCGATGGATGCGGTGGACGGCGGAATTCGACTTGTGGGGAACATCAACAATCCGGAGACGCTGTACGCGCGGGGGCCCGCCGAAGTGCGCGAAGAGGTGCGGAAGTGCCTAGACGCGGGGGTGCAGCTGGTGGCGCCGGAGTGCGCGATACCGCTGGCGACGAAGCTGGAGAACTTGCTGGAGATTCCGAGGGCGGTAAAGGAGTGGCATGGGGAGCGTGACTAACGTTGATGGACAGGATGGATAGTATAGAGTGAAGAAGATTTCTCACCCCCATCCTAACCTTCCCCCATCGAGGGGGAAGGGACTTTTCAAACTATCTCGTGTCGCGGATAGCTGACGGCTTGATTGCTACCTGATAAAATCAATTGAATACACGAAAAATGAAACATTACCTTAGTTGAGGTGTAGAGCGATGCCCATACATAACGAAGGCTTGGAGCAGGAATTGCAGTGGGTTACCAAGCCGTTCGAGATCAAGCACATACGGGGACTGTTCGAGGGGACGACTCCGTTGATGCACGACATCGCGTACAACCTCATCACGGGGGCTCATTTTGAGGTTGACAGGCTGGTGCAGGAGGCGCTCGCCGAGGGATATTCGGCGAACGATGTGCTGGACGATGGGCTTATTTCGGGGATGGCTATTGTGGGCATCAAGTTCCGCGACAATATCATCTTCGTGCCGGAGGTGCTGGTAGCGGCGCGCGCGATGAAGGCGGGCATGGTGTATCTCGAGCCTATCTTGTCGGCGTCGGGCATCGAGCCGGTAGGTACTATCGTGATGGGCACGGTGAAGGGCGACCTGCACGACATCGGCAAGAACCTGTGCATCATGATGCTGCGGGGCGCGGGGTTCATCGTTCACGACCTTGGCGTGGATACGAAGCCGGACGAGTTCATTGACGCCGTGATGGAGCATGAGGCGCAGATACTGGGGATGTCAGCTCTGCTGACGACCACGATGCCGAATATGGGCAGGACGATCGAGGCGTTCGAAGAGTACGGGCTTCGCGATACGGTGCGCATCATGGTCGGAGGGGCGCCGGTGCGTCTGGAGTTCGCGGACGATATGGGCGCGGACGGCTATGGCGAGAATGCGATGGAGTGCGTTGATATGGCCAAGCGGTTTATGGGTGCGGGAGAGGCTGAGGAAGTGGAAGAGGAAGTAGAGTCGGTACCTGTGGCGGGTTCGGATTAGGGCAGAATGTGATATAATTAGGCCGACCAGAATGGTTATGTGTGAGACAGATGCCTTATGGCAACACTGGAGAGACGCGTCGGTCGGCAACAAGACGAAGAAGAAGGAGACGTGAGCAGCGTTCGAAAGCGGCTAGAACGAGCTGGATGTCGAAAGCGGTCAGCTTCGATAGGCTTGACACGGGACATTGATTGAATCGGGATTTGAACGAACCGACAGGGCTATTCAGCAGACCAACGAGGCTGTCAGAGGCTTACACAGGCTACTGGTGGGTTTGCTAATTGCGTTAATTAGTGGACTGGTCACAATAGTCGTTCTCTTGCTGATAGTAATCGTCAACCCGTTGAATTGAGGGAGAATGCAGGCCGTAGGGGTGCATCTACGATATGGCAACAACGAGCAGGCGTAGATAAGGCGCGTTACAAGGGCGCAGTATGTTCCGGCTTGAAGCGATATTTCGGGGGATGCTCGGAAACGGGACGGAGGGTCGCAGTGCGATGCCACTACAAGAACGCGCAGAGCCGCTGACACCGCTAAATCCGGCTGCCCGGAACTCAGGATCGCGGTACCGGTCGGTGAGCTGTACATTGAGGGGGGACGATATAAGTGGACTATCGGAGAGCGTGGAGGTCCTAAGTGCTTGACATCCATAGAGTAATGCACAGCCTTGCGGAACGTCGTATGATATTAACCTTGAAGGAGACCTTTCAAGCACCAAATTAGCGTGGCACATCAGGCGGTATCCGAACTGGTAAAGTCCGTCTCGAAATAAGCCATTTCCAGATGAAGGGGTCTATCTGGGACATTTGGCTTCCAAAACCTTTGCCGCAATGGAACTAATGGGGTGGACCCACAGCTAGGACAACGAAGAGGCCAAGTTAAGAGAGACTCCCGCTGGAAAGTCTGACGTTGGCTCACGAGATGATAACGTCGATGCCTGCTCTGGTAAACACCTGAGTGGCCTTCCTTCTGCAAACACCTGAGCCGGAGTCCGATAGCCAGAGCAGGTGCGGGTTGCCGCTCTCGGTTGCTACAGTCCAGATAGCGTCAATCCTCTCCGGCTTCACTACCATGGCGATAAGCTGTCAGATATACCTCTCGATTTGACGCTCGCCACAAAAACGCACTCTACAAAGAGCAATGTCAGGTAACTACCCTTGCCATCGAGGCTGACCTTGATCCCCGCAAAAGCAGCAGGCCACAGACGCCTCACTGCGAACTGGCACGCTTTCCCATCGGTCGGTGTGAGGATCTACCGGCTGTGCCTTGCTCAAGGCTTCTCTCAGCGCATCGATACACGAAGCCCACCTCCCGAGTATGGGAGAGCACTCCAGGCCAGCACACGTACCGGCGTGTGCCAGTCCATATGGCCACGAGATAAAGAATCACCCCGGGGACCTGGGCAGGTAGGTGATGTGTCGGCTGCCCAAACCTGATTGACCCCTGTCGACGACACTCCTTTGAGCAGGAAGGGTATATCCTGTGTCCCGCGCAGGCTTGATGGTATTGGGCGTGCGGTAGATGGCTTACGGCCCATGCCCCGCCATCAGTCGCATCGTACACGATGGCGGGGGAACATGTTCCCTGAGTCGGAGCCAGGCGGCATCCCTGCGAGAACCATAATAGGGCGTTCTCAGATATGACGGTACATAAACGGCTAATAGGTCAGATACGCCGGGGTAGTCGGTGTCGCCGGTAGTACACCCGCTGAAACGGCTGGCGGCCAGACGACAGCTTACTACCGAAAGCAGGGGTGGTCCTCGGTCTACCTAGCCACGACGCCGTGACGCCGTATAGCCCGGACTTGCGCGACAAAAAATCCCGCTCACTTGAGTGCCCAATCGCTGTAGATGTGCAGTCGCGCTTATGGTCCCGCTACGCTTTTGCGGTATTGGTGCCGAAGACCTCGGCGCGCTCCATGAATCAGGGCTTTATTCCAGGCAGACTCTCGGGGGAGAATGCAAACCGGGGCAAGAGAACAGTCTTCCCCGGGAGGGGAGGCGCAAGTCTACCTTGGCTTGAACGCCGGGAGGGCTTCTTTCTGTTTCGATCTTTCCGCTCTCCTTCCCATTATCAGGCGGGGGGGCTCTCTTATAACCACCTGTCCGCTTAGGGGTCCACAGCACTAAAGTATACACGTGCACTGATATTGAAGGTCATAGCGAGCGGGTCGTTGGTGAGAACAAGGGATTCCACAACGCTGAGCCGCCTATGATTCGTCAAAGGAACCTAGCAAGCTAGAGAGAGTGTAGATGTACAATGCGGCGTGCACACGGGTATCGCTTAACTGTTAACAATGATTGCTTGTACCTGGAAATCTCCTGCAGGCCAAGGAGGAACTATAGAGGGAGGCCCATTTCCGCTAA